TTTTACGTCAATCAGCCGTATTAGTTTTCAATTTTTTGCATAATAAAGAGGGAAAATTGGAAAAATAAAACCCACATCTTTTTCAATAATCTGCAATGCCATGGAATTTTCTAAAACAAAAAGATATCCAGTTATCTATTAGCAGCAGTTCGAAATGGATTTTATGATCGACTTGGTTACTGTATTGCAGTTAATGGTGACTTATTCGAACGTTTATTGTAAATTGTTATATTAGGAAAACGTTTTTAGTAATTTGGTCTTTCTTTATGTTGAATTTGCTGTTCTAATTATAATAGTTTTTGATAGAATTTCATTTGTTTTATAGCAGACATTCCATGGCATGACGGATATTGGCGTAGTTTTTGTATTATAAAATTCCATGGCATCACCGACTATTGAAAAAGGTGCGGGTTTTATTTTTCCAATTTTCCGTCTTTATTATGCAAAAAATTGAAAACTAATACGGCTGATTGACGTTTTCCTACAAAAAACCTTAATACATTTTTGCTCTAAAATAATTTGGGGAGCCAATAATCGCATGTTATGAATTTTACATTTAAACCCCTATGATGCGTTACGCAAGTCACCACCCTGTATATGCGAATGACTTAAAGGCAAAGCTTAAATTCTGAATTGTGTCTAGCCTCACTACCACCAACCGAAGAAGCTGCCAAACAGCACATTAATAACATGAATCTTTTTTTTTTATTGATGTATTGCTCCATGTGAATTATTTGGATATATTTAATGTAGCAGGTAAGTAGAGGGAAGCAAATAATTGAATGTTTTTATTTTCTTTAGGTTATCGATTTCGAAGCTCACTTAATCATCAGACCTTGCTAAAATATATAAAGGACTCTAGTGAGCCGATAACCTAAAGAAAATAAAACATTTATTTATTTTTTATTACAGGTAACTTTTGATTCTCCTTAAAAAAGTCTCTTGAGTTTTTTTGATATAATGTATACTTTAGGAAATATTTAATAAATTCGAAAAAAATCAAGATGGCGGCCATTTTTTGCAAGTTCCACCAATGCGACAAAGTGCGATTTTTGAGGGGTTAATAAGGACATTTCCGCAGAGATCACTTTGTTACTAATTTTTTCTACCCTAACCACCTATTTTGACTAGCCTAAAAAGGGTCTACGTGGAAAACATTTTCAATCCAATGAAGAGGTCAAAAAGTAAGTGCAAAAGTGGCCAAAGAATTTTATTCCAAAATTAGCAGAATGATGGGATAAGTGTTACTGAGGACTGAAAAGTAGCGAAAGTTTTGTACTGATTGCCGTTTTTGAGCAATAATAATTTGTCTCATCAATTATTGGATGACCCTCGTACTTTGAGAGCTTAAGAAGGGCTGGAGAAGAATTTGATGGAAACTTCAGAAAGCAGAGACCGGTGGCAAAAGCATGTGTCAGATATTTAAGAGGAAATTATGGGAGGCTCGAGGGAACACGAAGAGAATTTATGAACTGTAGAAGAATTTGAGATGAACAAAAAAGTTGGGAGAAATTGGGGACTGTCCATGTCCACGCAACCGCTTTCTAACCTTAAGATTTAAAAAAAATAATTACTCACACAACTGTTTTACCACTTCTTGTCAAATGTACTAATTTAGTGCCCGATTATCATACATCTGGTTTAGGTTTTCGTTTATTTTGTATAAGATAATTGTTGCCGGTAAACGAACTGTGTTAATATTTAAAATTGTTTTCAAATAACCCACTTAATGTTTACATAATTATGCTAATCAAATGTAACAGGTTTCCTATGTACTAATCAATTTTACAATTTAAATTACTTAATATTATGGTCACCTATCAACATCTTTGTATAATTAATACGGTCCAAACCACACTAATGACGTCAGTCCTATTGATAGAATGGAAAAGTAATTATCTGTCACACTTCACCGACTTAGTAAACTTTTAAAATTCATAAAGGAAGACCAAATTTGTTTACTGGCAAAGATCGAAATTAAAATGCCCAGTTTAATTATGATTGCAGGTATCGAGCAATGGCATTGAAGTAATGACATCATTGATAGACAGGCTGGGTCACGATTTTCGTCCTTACTTACAAACTGTGTTACCGGCAGTCATAGATAGATTAGGCGATTCAAAAGATACGGTCAGAGAGAAGGCACAGCTGCTGATCCTTAAACTGCTCGAGCGTAACGTGCTCACACCCCAGACACTCCTCGAGAAACTTACGCCCGGATTCACACACAAAAACGCGAAGATTAGAGAGGAGGTTTTACGGTGCCTTGTAAATACGTTAAATGAGTAAGTTTTCGATTGCGACTTTGACCGTTAATAATTTTGATTCGTAGACACGGAGCACAATCAGTAACGCTCAGTAAGTTTATATCGTACATAGTGAAGTTATTATCCGATCCGACTGCGACCGTTCGAGATACCGCCTTTAGTACTTTAGTCGACTTATATAAACACGTCGGCGAAAAATTGAAAGTCGATTTGCAAAGGCGCAACTTAGTTCCAAGTACGAGACTTCCCGCTTTACTTTTAAGATTTGATGAAGTTAAAAGTGCCGGTGAATTACTTCCGACTGCGTGTTGTGCACTCGATCGTAAGTTCAAATGTTAGCCAATTTCTGACTAAAACTTTTGCCGATTACAGTCGGAATGGACGAAATTGACAGGATATCTATGCCAAAACCCGCCGTTCCAGTGAAGAAGGTTGGACTGCTAACGAGCGCGAGTAAGCGTACGGTTTCTGCGCCCAGCAAGATGGCTGCAGGAGCGAGTGCTCCGAACTTGGGTAAGAATAATGTGCACGAATTGGCATGAGACCATTTGTGGCTGACAGTTGTAAAAAAAGGGTGGAAGTCACCTGTGTCTAACAATTATTTGTTTTGCTAAAGCTTTATGATTAAGAAAAGGACAGAAATATTTTCATGTTACTTTGTTTTTAAATACACAGAATTGGACAAAGTGGATGTTTTCTTAGGAATGAATTTCACAAGCTTTTTACCATAAGGAAGTGTTCACTTTGACCAGAGTATGCAAAATTATATAAATTTGTGTTGCTCTCTGGCTTGATTTTTTTGTGTAGCTTTGTAAGATAATTTTTATTATTTTTTTATGTTAATCCCGCTTGGCCTTATTACAACTTAATTTTATGTGAAGCGACTGTAAGCAGAACTGGATCGATGCGGAAAGCCACTAGTGCATGTGAGTGTTATGGCCATTTATATTTTTGTGCTAACTTTTTTTTTAATTGGCGCTTATGTTACATTCATTTATGGAAAAGATCTTGTTACACTGCAATGAAATTTCGATATGATCGCCAATACTCACAAATTGACAATTGGGTCAAATGTGGTCGTGTTGTGGGTACTCAGTTCCAACACTCCGTTCTCGAGACATTCGCACCTTGCCTTTGTGAGTACCCTTTTTGGCACTCTGTTTGCTAAATACTCACATTTGAACACCCCCCCCCCCCCTGTTTACCATTACTTAGGCAATAAAGCATAAAACTTGCTACAATTGTCTTTGTATAAATATTTACCCACACATAAATTCACTTTGCACTTTAAAATTATTAAACAAAAGTCGCGGCACCCCTAGTATTATTATTTTTTTGCTTTTTTACCGTTAGTAAAGAGATGAAGGATGAGAAGTCTACAAAAAAAATTTCTAAACACAAATAGTCCAGGCAATACAGAACATATGAGGACCTTAGCTTGCAAAATTAATGGTAGTTCTGGAAATAGGCTTACTTTATGTTTTTTGGTTTGCTGAATCTCAATTTTTAACTTCCCACCAAAAATTCCCTCTGCAACCTCCCCAAATCTTGAAAAAAATATGTTTTTTTAAGAAATCGTTTTTTGTGGTTTCACAAGTAAAATACCCACAAATTTGAAATGTAGATATAGTATGCAACCAAAAACGTCAGAAAAGATTTTTACGTACTACGCACGTAGGTGGCGCTGGCGAGCGTTGAAGTATGCTCATTGGCGACTCAGGCGCACTTCGCCTAACAACCCACGGCGTTCGTGTTCGCTCTCTCTTCATCCGCTTTATCTTTCGTTTTAACCCCCTCCCTCCTTTAATCTCTCTTATTTTTTAACATCGGGAAGTCAACCCTCAACCTCCAACTTTCCTCCACCTATTTTCAGACAAGTTCAGAATTAAGAACACATCTACACATTTAAAAAATATAGACTTTTGTTACTAAATTAAATTATAAAAAGAGTTTAAAAAAAAAGGAAGTTTAGAAGCGACTACTCTGACAATTCTTCCATGTTTTCGGGCTTAGGAAAAGCTGGAACATCAAATTTACGTGATTTCTCCAAAATAATCTCATCAGCTTGATGGATCACCTTTTCAAATAACAGTTCAAGTTCATCTGTTTGTCGATCTTCTTCATCCAAATCTTCCACGATATCTTTAGGGCTATTATCGCATGAATTGTTGCACTCGAGGCACATTATTGAACATTTCAACCCAATTTCTTGCCTTTTTTTTTACACCCAGGAGATTAGCTTTAGAATTAATTTTGGTGGAGCGGATGGTTTAATAGTGACAGGAGATAGTCCGTAGCTAGTACTTTTCTAGCTCCATTTTTGTGGTTCCATGACATTTTCTAGCCATAGTTGGACTTGATGGGACGTCCTGAATAAGTGTTGTTCAGTTGGAGGCAAAGAGGCTTAATTGTGTTTTACAGCGAAGTTAGGAATAAAAAATCTGAGTTCTAGACGAGAACTTTAATAAATTTGGCTTTACCGTGACCAAAAATCGCAGACATAAAGTCACAGCCGCTGAAAGCGTGTAAAAATAGTATATTTTTAGCCACTATGTTTTCTTTAAGACCAAAGGATGAGTAGATCTATTGTAAAACTTTGGTTTTGCCGGGCTTCATGCAGTAAATATTGGCGGATTGAGGAAGTGCAATTAATAGAACTGATAAATGTATATCTTCGCCGACAATAATCACCGATTGATGATTTGATGCCATTTCAATTGCTGCATTAACGATGAGACAGTCTGCGTTTTAGTCAGCTTGTCGCACTGTTGACTTCCTTTTAATAATTTCAATGAGGCGATGTTTATTTCTGCTGTTAGATAAAAAATTTGCCTGGCCAACAAGGAGTCATATAGATTCATCAAAAATTATGTCAACCGATGACTTGCTTTCTTTCTCTTCGCAATCTTTCTGCGCTTTTCAGGAAAGGGGATGAACAAACAAATTGAAAATTACAGTCACCGATAAATAGGCAAGGTCGCAAAAGTGGCGAAAACCACGCAGTTATCGTCTAATGTCCCGGCGTGCGTACGAGACCAAGGCGCTTGTTCTGAGATGTGCTAACGCCATACTCATTCGCCCTACGTCAAAATATTATATGATCTTTTTGTCGCAAATTTTTTCTACTTTCCAAAGTTCCAGATAGTATTTCTCTAAAATACACAAAATAACGGTTTTAAAAAAACGATATTTTTTCTTTTTTTCAAAATTTGGGGGAGTTGCGGGGGGATTTTTTGGTGGGAAGTTGAAAATTCGGATTCATAGATCCAGAAAACATAAAACAAGCCTATGTCCAGAACTACCATGAATTTTGCATCCTAAAATTATATATTTCCTGGACTAAAAAGCATTTAAAACTAGTTATTCTTTGGTTCTTTGGTCATAGTATAACATTTAGAAAATGCCCTCTAGCGTCTTGCTTTTGAACCCGACTCAAGAAGTGTAGACGCCTTTTTTGTAGACCTCATCAAGACACATCTTTTTTGTAATTGACATTTTCCACTCTGATGCTTACTTTTAGAGAAAAATGAAATTTAGAAAAATAAAATAAATAGTTTAACTTTTCAATTCAAAACTTCTCAAAAACAAAGGAACTCACAAAAAAATTGTAATGAACTTTTTTGTAGAGTTTTTTAAGCCATTTTGGTCAGTGTATGCCAAAAAAATTTTAAAAAAATCTTCAAGCCGTTATGACTTAAAATTTTGACACTCAACAACCTTGAAGATGGTTACGGATGAAAACCAAAATAGGACGTTTTCAATTCCCCATACCACCCTATGCACCACAAATATAAGTTATAAGCTTGAGAAAGTCTGATTTAATGAAATACCATCATATGATTGATTAATGAAATATGAATCATAGAAATAAATAAAATAGAAACTAAAAAACAGAATTGTAATAAAAAACAAATTTTCATTTTTTTAAATTATTTTAATTCCTTTTTTAATTTATGTAATTTTAAGCTTAGTAAATATTTAAAAATTTCGTGGCACCCTTATGAAGTGCTTGCCGCACCCACTTTGAGAACCACTGCTCTAAGACCATCAACTATTGTGTCAGTTTCCTCTTTAGCTTTAACTGTATCATCGAAACATAGCTGTACCACAGCTTTGCTTAAACTAACAGACGATGTATTACATGCAAGAGACGCTGGAAAGGTTACCCTACTAATATTATTAGATTGCTGGCTATACTACATTATATTGGGGCTTCGCAATCTGGGATTTCACTAATTAATAGTTATCTGAATAATCGTCAGCAATCAGTATTTTGCAATGGTCAGGCATCAAAGTACCTAAATATCAAAAGAGGGGTCCCTCAGGGATCCATATTAGGGCCTTTACTGTATTTAATTTACACACATGCTATCCCTTCTGTTCTAAAAGATTGCCAATATCACCTAGGTATATGCTGACGATACTCAGATATATTTTTCGTTTTTTCCAAGAGACATAGTGAAGGCGTGTGAAACTGTAAATAGTGACCTACAACACATTTTTGAAACATCTACAAACCATTGCCTCAACATAAACATGAGAAAATCAGTTGTTATGTTATTTGCAAATTCTAGTGATTTGGAGATTTTGTCTGCTCAAACGAATATACAGTGAGTTTTTTTTTAATGCAAACATAGGAGTTTGCATGCAATGTAATTTCCCTATGTTCGATTTTAAAAAAAAACACATCAATCTATGAGGTGTGCGCGGTTCACATTCCCAAAACGCGCAACTTGTGTGACTATGAACAGCAACTCATAGTCTTTATGATGTAGAGCACTAGGTAAGATTTTTTTAAAGAAGCCATGTGAGGCCATAGCAACTTTAGGATACATTTTTCTTAAACTTACGATAACTTGACTTCACATGGCACGCGCTGACATCACCATTCATTGTGAACTAACCTTCAATTATTTTTAGGTCATGTGCACCTGGTATTCTACTAATTTGATCTATTCAATACATAAATGAAGGAAATAAGAAAATAAATAACGAGAACAATTACAATAAAGGTTCGAAGTGTCTTCCTAGACATTCTAAGCAATAACCTAACCGATTTCATAATTAAATTGGACGGCCGTATTTTTAAAAATGTGACAGCTGTCAATTGTATCTACTACTCATTTGAACTACTCAATAGGTTGAGGTGTTTTTTTTAAAATCGAACATAGGGAAATTACATTGCAGCCATATGTTCGCATTTAAAAAAAATTCACTGTATATGTAGGTGGTTATAGTTACCAAATTGCACATCTGTATAACAAGATACCATTTGATTTCAAAACATTAAGCCAAGTTAATTTTTATGCACTTAATTGCTCCCTTCAGTTGAATTTTTGCTTGTGTCCTATTAATTCCAATAATATACCTATATGATTATGCGTGTATGAAACGTGTACCTATATGTATATAAATAATTATGTACCTTAGTGTTCACTGGAGATATTCTTTCTTTAATTTTTTACATGTTTATGTTTTATCTGTGGCCATATCAATATTAATTTCTGTTTTTTTTTTTTTTCTTCAGGAGAGGAAATGCAATGACGCACTAAGTGTGGGGCTCCCCCAGATACCGGGTATACCCACTAAAACCCCTCCTGAGGCATCGACTATTATGGTCATTTGCCTTATTAAATATACACGGTGTCCATTTTTCGAGTGCCACTATGGGGATCTCACTTATCTTAAGAGATAGAAAGTTGGTTAAATGGGGGCAAAGTTGCCAATTTTCGTGCTGAATAAGAAGCAGCCATATGTGGGCATTTCGATGAGAAGTGTAGTAAATTTGGATCATATCTGTTTCATCTGCACTTGAAAAAGGCATTTTCGCAATACAACTAGCATAAACCTAAATGACACTACATGAAATAAGTCAATCTTTTGTTCACAACAAAAGAACGTTTTGTTTTTCCAAAGCACTCTTCTCAAAAAACTAAAAATTGTATTTTTAGGAAAAATGTGTTACTGAACCACCATGTATGATATATCGTTGTAAAGAGAAAAAAAGACGTAATCCCAAAATGTCAAAATTCAATATGACGCTCATAAGAAAAACTAAAGTTGCAACGTGTTTCTCCGTCATCTTGAGAGTTATTAAAAACAGGATGCCATGTTTGGAATCCCCATTAGAAAGTGTCCGAATAATGTGTTAATTAGAAATGTCTACTACGATTAGTTTATCACAAAAAAATTAAAAACAAAAATCAAACATTTTAGTTTTTTGCGATATCTTCAAAACTATTGAAGATATTTCAAATTTCTTTTCAGATTCTTATTCAGCACGAAAATTTGCAACTTTGCCCCCATTTAACCAACTTGCTATCTCTTAAGATAAGTGAGATCCCCATAGTGGCACTCGAAAAATGGACACCGTGTATATAGGTATCAGTGTAATTTAGTTTCTATATGTTATATCGGATTAGGTGCAAGAGCAGCACATGACATACATGTCATTGTTGAACCTCGCCCATTCCCAGTGAATAAAGGCATTATTATTATTATTTATTTATTTATACCAAATATCAATGGTAAAAACCCCTCGGGACAATAGACATTTTTTAGACATTCTAACACAAGAGCTATAAGTGGTGAACGTTTGGGGGAGGATGTAGCACTGCGGGGGGGGGGCAGCAGTTTTGCATTTCTGAAATAAGTTGCTCCCACTTTTTGTCGCCGAAAGCAACCGGATGATTTGCCCCAGTTAGCAAGATCTTTTCATAAATGTTAACACAACAATTAAATCAGTGAAACATAATATAACTTGTACTAATTTTAGCAGGAGCAGTGGACGAGAAGACCTTCACTTCTTCATTCGAAGAGGTACCAAACACCCAAATTTTCTCAGCAAGGGAACTGGGCGAGCAAATGAAGGCAGTACAGGAAATAATTGCGGATCCGAATAAAGAATGGTATAAACGAGTGGATGCGGTAAGTGTGACCTTGCACTTTTTCGGTAGAAATTTAACGTCGCGTAAACGCAGCTAAAAAAAGTAAGAGCGCTGGTCATTGCGGGCGCTACAAATTACGAGGAATTCTACATCAACCTACGTAATTTGGAGATTCCGCTTCAAGGCACACTAAAAGATTTACGTTCGCAAGTAGTTAGGGAAGCTTGCATAACGATAGCGTATTTATCTCAAGTTATCGGCAACAAATTTGACCATTGCTCAGAGTGCTTGTTAAACGGGCTGATTAACCTCATTCAAAATTCAGCTAAAGTAAGTATATTTCCGTCTTTTGGGCGTTCGCTTAGTAGAATTTTTTAGGTGGTCGCGACGGCTGGTAATATTACCGTTCGTTTCATCCTGCAATACACGCAACATCACAGGTTAATACCGATTATTACGACAAATTTAGGTGGTTCCAAAAGTAAGGAGATTCGACGAAGTTGCTGCGAATTTTTGGAATTAATATTAACTCAGTGGGCGACGCATCCCCTAGAGAAACATATTAATGTACTTCAGGAAGCTTTGCGGAAAGGTATAGCCGATGCCGATCCCGAAGCTCGTGTTTGTTCACGAAGGTACAGTGTTGAGGTTGCTTCTAATGTACTGAGTGAGTCATTTCAGAGCATTCCGTGGCTTTAAGGATCACTTTCCCGATCAAGCCGAATCGCTTTTGCAATCGTTGGAGCCCAGTTACCGCCGCGCCTTACAAGGGGAGTTGTGCCTCTCGAGCAGTTCATCCAGCAACAGTTTGGCGCCGACTCCGGGTGTACGCACGCCTAGACAGTACCGAGTGCCTACGACGCCTCAAAGTGCTACAGGTAATGGCACTTCAAAGTTTTGCTGATCGCAGGGGTTTAAGTGTGTTTAATTAATTCGTGTTTTAAATGCTGCTCGGAACTTTAGGCAGTACAGAAAATCTCTACAGTGGTGGATTGCAGAGGGTTCCATCATTGCCTAGAAGCTATAGACAACGTAGCTCTATACCTGTTCTCTCCAGAGACAGTATGTAACTGCCATTATATTTTCGATGTTAATGTTGCAGTTTGCTAATATCTTCACAGTACAGTAGCCAAAGTTCTTATAATTCATGTTTGATTAATCATCGGATGTCCAAAGAAGATTTGAAATGTTAAATGATCTTCAAGTAGCCTCCTAAAATCAATAAAAAAAATGTAATTAATGGGAAAAATACTTTTCTGTACAAATTTCATTTTTGCATGTGCTGCACTCATCCAAACGCTGTCGTTTATCGTATTTTTTTACTATTTTAAAGTAGGCAGTGCTTCAGTTGATGCTATTCTTTTAACGCAACCCCCTGTACATAATGCAAAATTTTCATACACGAATCCAGGTACAATTTCTGACATATGTCAAAGATGCTATATTATTAAGTACATTTGTAAGTACCACATTTTGAATGTCGTTCATAGCATTTTTTGACAGCCTTTAAATTTTATGTGCTCTCATTTATCATATATCGTACAGTGAAATAATAATTAAAATTTGTATACAGGGTGTAAGGCAAGAAAAAATTTTTTGAGGCCCAAATGTCTCCAAAAGTCCCAAACTAAAGCTTAAAGAGAAAACTAATACTTGTTTTTTTGTCTTACACTTTCGCTCCCAAACTAACTGAACCCCATGGCACATAATTGTATCTAACTTGATAACAAAATACTATGTTTTGTTCCAATGAACTTCGGTAGTTTGCACGCAATTGGGGGGCTCCCGAAGCTCTATAGAATAATTAGTGACATTAAAAAAATAAAATTTAATTAAAAACCCTGCTTGTGGTCGACAAAACTCAAATTAATTAGCGGTGTCTACGGGAAATCAAATGTAAGAAAAAACTAAACAATATCCCCCCTATAATTAATGGAACAGAAAGTAGCAAACAGCTTACCTTTGCAATTAAAGAGTGGGGAGAGAAAAAGCAAAATCTGTAAATACAGTGTGGTAAATTTAATGCAAAACCAAAAATGAAACTACGAAAAATACAAATTAAAATGTAACTAGCAAAATGAAATGAAAAGCAAGAAGATCGTACGTTTCCGCACTTTTATGGTTTAACATGTCATGCCCAAAGCGAGACTCAAAATAAGTCACCTTTATAACACTACAACAAAACGCAAAGGAGCAGACATAAAGTAATTAATCCTCAATGCCAAGTGCAGTATTTAACAATCTTGAACTATCACAACTCGCCCCCAGAAGACATACCCTGTAAATAAACAGCGCCACCTACAAAATAAATGAAATGCTGTAAGAAATTCAATTAGGTATATCAATTAAATGTTGATGCCATCACAAAATTGCCATAAAATTATTTATACCAACTGGAGGGGATACACTTATTAACCATTATTTAACCAATAAAAAAAAACCATTATTATTATTATTACTTTTGCTTTATACAATTGCCAGAAGAGGAATGCAATGACATAATATATAAATTAATATTGCTCACGCTGTTTCTGCTTCATCTGTCGGGTGTTTCATTTCATCCAACTGAAACCCTTCTGTAATAGGAATTTTCTTAATTAAACCCAAAAAAAACAGAATAAAAAGAACTTTAAGGTGGTTTATACGTTTTCTTGTAACTTTTAAATTGTGGGCGGTTCGTTTTGTTGCCGGCGTGGGGGGTCATCCTACCTCTTCGCATTTTATAAATCGATCGAGATCTTGGCGACGAAATATCGTAGAACCTTTGGATTTTCCGCGTGAGATTCGCACTATCGTGTTTATTCCTGGATCACTTAGGCCCGGTTGTATAATGTCAGTTTAAACTTCAGTTTGTAGTTGAATTGTGGGTTAAAGGATTTGATTGGCTAGTATTTCACAAGTTGGCCAATCGTATTTCTCAAATTTGTCGGTTGAACCCAACTGAAGTTTAACCTGACATTGTACAACCGGGCCTTAGTCTGAAAGGGGAAAGCTATTCCCATTCAAGTCAATAATTTATGAATGTAGGATGAAATTGCGTTTTATAAATCGACCGAGATCTCGATCCCTGATGGGCCACTAAACTTCAGGTTTTCGCTAATTGATAGCTGGCTATGGTCTATACAGGGTGATTATTAAACATGCGGCAAAAATTTAAAGAGCTTTGTTTAATCTAGCGAAAGTCCGAACTCGATACATGACCTATAAGGAACGAAATATGTTGATTTCTATTATCTTGAGCCTCGGTTGAGCGCACAGTTTTTCCTGTTCCCGATTCACTCGAAGTCCTATAACTTTTGTTCCGGTTGAGCCTGCTTTCTGAAAATCAGTAGCGTCTTTTCTTAATGTCCAAAGTACCTGTACGCCAATTTCAATACGATCGGCCACTTTCAAAAAACACGCACGCAGACGGACGGACGGACAAGTACGAGTATAAGAATCTGAGGATTGATTCTTAATAATTTAGTGACAGTGCTATGTTGTAAAAGGGCGAAGTCAATCTTTAGTGGCTAACTTTTAGGTCATAGTATCCATTCGATAAAGTTGTCACTTACCTCTTACAACGAGCTTTATAGCTTTTTTCCGATATGAACTTTCATCTTTTCTAGTAGTGCGCCCCATTCGCATACAAGTTACAATGTAATTACAACAAACAATCCCCGAGTATTAGAATGATGTGGTTCGCAAACTCCTATCCGCAGATTGCATTAATAGGTGTTTGTCTATCGCTGTTACTAAATGATATAGACAAATCATACTAGATTACTACTGCTTACCTACTATATAACTCTCGCCAGGAAAGATTGCCGGTCGCAGCACACCTTGTGTTGATCTGCAATCTATGTTTTTGTTAAGATACGAGCGACTTCCGGAATAGGACCGTGCCAATGTTGAACGAAAAGTCTTTTTGTTCAACATTGACACGATACTATCCCGGAAGTCCCTCACATCTTTAGAAAAACATAGATTGTAGACCAGGATCAAGTGTTCTGTGACTGACAATCTTTCCTGGCGAGGGGTTTATTTATTCTTATTTTGCTTTTTTACACTAATTTAAGCAAAACTATGTGGATTGTGAACAAAACATTGATTTTTTGGGGTATCTCCCGTAATATTGAATAAATAAATAAACTTGATGTTAGTTTTGTTTTTATTTAAAGTCTATATGTATATGAAATTTCATTTAATTGCTTCCATAAGTAAGAAAGTTGGCACTGCACATCCTACACAAAACCAAATTTAGAAAATGGCGATTCATTTGCTTTTATTGCAAGTGGCTATGTATCAAATTTCATTTGAATGCTTCCATAAATAAAGAAAGTTGGCACTGCGCATGCGCAAAACCAGATGTTGAAACTGGCGTTATATTTGCTTTTATTCCAAGTGGTATTATGTATCAAATTTCATTAAATCCCTTCATAAAAACTAGAAAGTTAGCACTGCGCAGACTCAAAACGAAATTTTGAAATTGGCGTTAAATGTGGATTTATTCCAAGTGGCTATGTATCAAATTTTATTTAAGTGCCTCCATAAATAAGAAAGTTGTCACTGCACACGCACAAAACCATATTTTGAAGCTGGGGTTAAATTTGCTTGTATTCCAAGTAGCTATGTATCAAGTTTCATTTAAGTCCCTCCATAAATAAGAAAGTTGGCACTGCGCATGCGCAAAATCAGATTTTGAAATTAGCATTATATTTGCTTTTATTCCAAGTGGTTATGTTTCAAATTTCATTTAAATTTAAATTAAAAAAGTTTGCAATTCTGTTTATAAATGGTCGAGATGCGAAAAGGGCACTGTGAATGCTGATCGATTAGGCTCAATTTTTGGAATTTCGTTTTATATGGCTAAAGCTATACGCATATTGAATTTCATGCAATTCGGTTCATAACTCACGGAGATGCCAAAAGGGCCTTCCTTATTTTTTGGGTTACATTGCCAACTCACAAACTCCGATATACAAATTTGATAAAAAATCCACCTGCAAAATTTCATCGTAATCGGTCCATTCGTTTATGAGTTACGTGCTAACAGACACCGCAAAATTATAACTTCGCTAGGAGCTCGTTAATAAATACCTATCTTTCGGTCCTCGGTTTTCGTTTGCTATTGGCCGAACTCACTTAGGTGCACCTCCCTCTAATTTACAAGTCACAGGAATAGACACACCCATTATCATCAAAATCCATACAGTTTTTACAATATTTTGGATTTATTTTTTAAAATATTTTGAAATGAAAAGACGCAATGAATAGCAAATAAAAAAACTGTATCGAGTTACGTGGAATTTTTTTCTTATTGAGTAATTTTTGTTATGTCGCTCTCTTTCTATAATTGTTTATGCGAACTACGTCAAACACATGTTCAAAATCATGACGTAACTTGAGACATATAGTCATTAAGGACCTATCCCAAAAGACAGAATCCATTTTTAATAAAAATTAGAGCTATAAAACTGTAAAAACTTTTGCGTCGCCTTGATAAAGTACCCTTAAGCATACAATAGCGGAATATCAGGGGCGTATTAAAAAAATGATGTTGAACATATTTTTGAAGAGACAAAACGAACTCCGTCTAAATGCTTTAGGTCAAATATTAACGCCAGAAAAAATTAGTTCGTAAAATGGAAAAATCCATTTTTTCAAAATGTTTTAAAAACAAAAGAAAAATGCAGAGATCTCTAAAACGCTATCTTTCTAGACCCTTGATTGTACAATTTTTTTCCCAATTACCCAAATTTGTATCTCTTACCTTTTGTAGGGGCCCCTCTTCATCTCGGACATAGTGTATATTATCATTAGTGAGGGCTATAGAGTGTATAGAGAAATGAATGGATCCGATGTAAGGTCACCGACAAAAATAATGATAAAATGAAGCTTACTGCCACTTAGGCAACCAACCATACACTATCTAAAATGGCAACGTTGAAGTGTAAGTTGTTGGTGTAGAAATGGGCTGCACGGCATCGCTCATTGTCGTCTTTGCTTCGGTAGTTCTTCGTCGCTACCTTGAGACACACGCTACAGTAGGTAAAATTACAAGAATTGGTAAAGCCTAGTTTTACGAATTATATTTTGGGACACATTGGTATCTTCTTTTTCTTTGAAATGAAAACTGGTTTTAAGGTTAATTTTCTTTTTTTAAATACTCTCTTAGGTTTAAATGATCCAGTTTTGTTGCACAGTGACAAAATAGGCTCACGTAAACGCAGTAAACAAATAAAACTGAAAGATTTAAATAGTACTTGCGTTTTTTTATTGCGTATTCAATAATAAAAAACACTTTGTTCTGTTTTTAAAAAAATTTGCTTGTTTCCAGTCAAACCGCAAGTGAAAAAATTGTAATTATTGTCCAGGAATCCTTTTCTTTTTATTCTAAATCGAGAAAATAGAAATAACAACTTCAGCAAGCATTGTATAAATATACTAATTTAAACGATGCCGCGAAAAAACTTGCCTTTCAATGTTGCTATTGTAGATAGTGTATGGTTGGTTGTCTAAGCGGCAGTAAGTTTAATTTTATCATTATTTTTGTCGATGATCGTACATAAGTACTTCAATTCAAAATAATCTTCGTTAATTCATATACTTTCCCTGGGCCTTTGTTGCTCACAAGGTGAATAATAGTGTAGTAATATTTTCCCATAATTTAACCAACTTCATACCATTTGAGATTTCTTAAGAAATGGACACCCTGTACTAAAATCGAAAACCTCAGGTAATTTCTTCTTCGGAAATGGATATCTATTGCCCATTAAAATGCTACTGAAAGAATGACTTTATCAGTCTTTAGTTTTGCATTGATGCCACAAAGAATTTCACAAAATTCAAATGATTTGATTTGAATTAAAATTACTTATCTTAGCCAGATTGTACATTTTTCATAAAAAGTTGCATTTTTGATTTTAGATTCCAAAAAAGGATTCCGAAGCAATTCTGCCATAGACTTGCAAGCCGCGCAAAGAGCGAAAGCGCGTGCGCAATATTCCGCAATGACCCGACAAAAAGTCGCTTTCGGCACAGCGAGTTTACGTGAGTATCCGGTCACGAAGATCATTGCTTTGTTTTTGCTTTTACTATTAATAACAGATTAGATGCCGTAATATTGTTTTGTAGCGTATTAGCAGCTAATAATTGTACGTTGATATTTTTTTAGCTCCAATAACAGCGTTAATCATTTTCTTGCTTTTGTTTCATGTCTGTAGAGGGAGAGGTTGCGCAGCAAGGTATTTAATATTTTTTAATAATTTATTTTAGCGTTCTTTCTGCTTTTAAATAAAAACTTCCGCTCTAAAATACAACAGTGCACGATTAATAAAGTATCATTTGTAGGGTTCTTACAGAAACAACTGTTACTGTAGGGTTCAATTGTTTTTTTTTATTTCAACGATTATGAAACTATTATCGTTCCCGTTGCAACATGTTAATTTTTTTTACTGACACACTTTCCCAATTTTTCAAATATTAACTGAAGTTTAAATTGTTATTGTTAATATATTTATCCAAAAACAATAATATAAACTTACAGCATCAGAAAATAAACTAAACTAACATTATACAGTAAGGTCATAGCAATCCAAACTTCAGTAATCCGAGGTTCTGTGCCATCCAAGGTCCAAAATTTTAAAAAAACGTGAAAACTTATTTTATTTTCATGTAATCGCCGTGCGCCTGCAATATTCTACGCTACTCACCACAAGCCCGCAGGTGACCTTTTGAAGGTAAATGGCACTAGTTCTAAAAATAGAGCAGTAGGTTATTGTTCGCTACTGTGCACGGATCGCACTTCACTGTTTCTGTGTTATCTGAGTTTGTCGATATCTGAGGTACCACCAATCCCAATTACCTCGGATTATTGAGACTTTACTGTAATCTAAATAATTAGTTGGTACTAGACATGAAAGTATCAATCGTTGCCCTTAGTATCGTGCACGAGAAAATGGACAGGTAATTTCTATGACTGTGAAAACCCTACAAAAAGCTTTAAAATTTGCATGCATGTTGTACCTATATATCGTAACTGCTACTTTTTGCTTGCACTTACTTTGGGTCTATAGCTAAGAATGAAGTGTAAAATCGAATTTGTGTGTAGCGCGCCCGAAAAGGACAGAATTAGCGGCGATGCAGTCTCCTGAAAGACTGGGTAGAACGAGAAGTCGAAATGCGCAGGTGTCACATTCACAACGTAAGTAATTATTACATCTACTTTCATTTGTTCTCTGCCTGTAGACAAATTTTTATTGTCCTGGGAGGTACCCTCTTTTAATAATAATAATAATATTGTCTTTATTCAACCAAATATCGTAAATATAATTATACAATAAAGACTAAAGTGACTACTAACGTGGTAAATATGGTCGAATCCTAAGGCGAAGTTCAGATGAATTGCTGACAGCAATTCTGTTTTGGTTGTATATCTTGTAATGATACAATTTATGATTCTACCCTTGTTAATCTTCACTCCTCTTTTATAGTGGTAAAAGCATATAAACTTAGAGATCTACAAGAGATTGCATTTTTAAAGTTTAGTAGGATGACGTCATCACTAAGTACGTTTACATAGTATCATGCAGTCGATGGAAGAATGGTGATATATTATAGAAGTCGGTTTTATGCTGAAAAATAAAATTTGTGACGAATTTTGTAAGGTGGTAGTTTCTGTTGCCAACTAAACTGTTGAACTGTCTTTAGCTGTTAATGGCAAAGCTCTAAGCGTGCAACCATTTGATTTATTTCTGTTCGCAGTTCTTGATATTTGTACTGTACAATAATTTGGTTTTTTTTTTTTTTTATTAACAGTAAATTTACAATCTACTCTACAGGGAGTATTAAGTAAATGTGTCGACTTATATGAGCGTTGTAGGGAGGAACCACTCATTAGCAGTACTCCTATAGTCGTCCTTTCAGATTAGGGGGCTTGCAGGTCATGAGGCCAGATCCTATTTAATCTTCTAGAAGGTGGGTGGGCAGCGGACAGTTGATGTACTAGATCATTGTTGTGGCCCTGGAGTCTGACGTGGTAATTTTGGGCGTGCCTTTGAATTTTGTTAGTGACAAATGATCCCCAGATCCTGGTGTAGGGTTTCATTTGAGACATACCATGGTGCGTTCACCATAGCGCGGAGGGTTTTGGACTGGAACTGTTGTATTGTCTTAATCCTAGTGCGTTTGGCACATCCCCACAGTTGCACTCCATATGTCCAAATTGGTTTCAACATTGTTTTGTAGAGTGGTAGCTTGTTGGACAAGGACAGTTTCGACTGTCGTCCAAACAGCCAATACATTTGGCGAAATTTCAGATTTAGTTGTTGACGTTTAGTTTGGATGTGCTTTTTCCACGTTAGTCGTTGGTCTAGGTGCAGGCCAAGGTATTTGGTTTCGGTCTTGACTTGACAGGTATTGGAACGCCATTTAAGGTAACTGTTGGACACACGTTGAACCGCGTAGTAAACGTCACTTGTACGGATTTAGTTTGGTTAATTTTTATGCGCCATTTACAGAGCCATTCATTTATAAGGCTTAGGTGGGTTTGGAGGTTTTCAGATGCCAGTATTGCGTTATCGTGCGTAGAAAGAATTGCCGTATCGTCAGCAGTATCGTCAGTCAGCAGTATAAATTAGGTAGAGGACCAAAGGACACTGCCTTGTGGGACACCAGATTTTATAGGATGGTAGTTGGAATGTTCGTTGTTATACTTGACTGTGAAGAATCTGTCAGAAAGGTAAGATTTAAGGAGAAGGTAATAATAGCTTGGAAGGGACCTTTTTAATTTATGTAGTAAGCCAGTGTGCCAGACTTTATCAAACGCCTCGGCAACGTACAGGAACACGGCTGTACAGTATCTCTTTTCCTCAAGGCTCCTTGATATTTTGTTTACTATTCGGTGTACTTGTTGTGTGGTTGAGTGGCCTTCTCGAAATCCGAATTGGTGCAGGGGCAGTTGAGATGATATATCCGTATTGTTCATTAGCCTTTTAAAGAGGAGTTTCTCAAAGATTTTTCCTAGCAATGGTAGAAGAGGTGGCGTTTTATATTTTTCCCGTGTGTGATTTATCTCCAAACACAGCGCCATCTAGGTACTATCTTCTTATTGTGAATGCAGTATAGTTTGGAGTCGCAGGTACGGGCTACTAACGCCCTCCGTGCAGGTTGACTGCCTGTGAGGATGTCTATTTTTGCTCCCTCAGGCCCGTAGTCAGAATGAAGTAGCAGGGGTGGCCGATATTTTTCTAGGTGGGACTTAAGAAATTTTTGATAAAGGCTTCCCTTTCCCCAAAAGAAGTTTTGTTTTTCCAAAGCACTCTTCGCAGAAAAAATGAAAAATTGAATTTTGCTTATGTAACATTACACTGTAATTGGCATTGGCTGTTGGGTAATAAATTATTATTATTATAAAAATGTGATACTGAACCACCATGTGTGATACATCGTTGTAAAGAGAAACAAAGACGCAATCTCAAAATGTCAAAATCCAAAATGGCGCCATAAAAAAAAATAAAGTGTCACATGCTTCTCCATCATCTTGAAAATGATTAAAAGATGGATGCCATATTCGAATTCTCCATCATGAAGAAATTTAATTTTTTGCGATATTTTCAAAACTATTGAAGATTTTTTTTTAACCAACTTTCGGTCCCTTAAGATAAGTCAGATTCCCATAGTAACAGCAAATTTTAGTCCAAGTTCCATCAATGCCAAAGGGTAGTTCAAGCCTTCTCTTTTTAGCAACAAGCCGTTCCGGTTCACCAAGTTCACGACTTCCGTACCTGTACAGTAGAACAGATCACGATTCGCCGAGACCGCGTCGACTGTCCTCCGGTATACCACGCTCGACAACAGGCTCACGTGATACATCGCGCGAAACCAGCCCCACACGTGGCTCCAGCTTGAGCAGGCTGCGAGGGGCAAACGATCGTCCACCTCTCAGTCCGGCATCGCGTCCGGTCATGGCCCAGAAGATTTTACAGCAAAGTAGGGAGGCGGAAAGTGCTTTCGCTGACGCTTTTGTAAGTAGAGAATTTGAAAAAATTGTGAGTAGGACATCTTTGTAGTTTACGCAGACGGATTCGAGCGAGTACCACCGACTACAGAGTCCAAGGAAGGGTATGAGATCTTTGGAGAATCACTCGGATGATTCGGAAACGTCAAGTTTGTGTTCGGAAAAATCGTTTGACTCCTATCGAAGGCCCAGCGATGTAAGTTTTTCTGTCTTGTGGTCATTCTTGTGCAGCTCTTTTGATATGATGTTCTTTTTTTTGCTGTTTTGCTTGCTCTAATTGGTTGTTATTTTGTGTTAAGTCGTACTCTTGGAGTGGTTCTCAGCAGCGTTTAGCCAGCAGGGACATGTGGGAACCCTGCCGAGTAAGTATGCTTTTCTTGTGCGTTTCTCTTTTCTTTACATACGGAACTAAGTCACGTATTAGAGCCTTAAGTGTTGATTTTTGCCAGAAAATTGCGAGCCAAAATTGATTCGATATTTTGCAGGATATCAACGAAATTATACAGATGTGCACGAGTACAGTATGGCAAGAACGGAAAGATGGATTGGTGTCACTTCGTCACTATCTGAATTCTGGTTCGAACCTAACCTCCGCCGAATTGAAACATATTACCGAAATATTTACGAGAATGTTTATGGATTCTCATACGAAAGGCTTGTGTGTTTTTCTCGATACCGTGAACGAACTTATAAAACGCCATAAGAACGAATTACACGATTGGTTATATGTGTTATTGCAACGCATATTTCATAAGTTAGGGACCGATCTGCTTAGTTCCACTCACGCAAAATTACTGAACACCTTAGATATAATTAAGAAGAATTTTCCCGTACAGTTGCAATTAGCTTGTGTGTATAGATTTCTAGTGGACGCGACGCAAACGCCAAACAGTAAAGTGAAAGTAGCAGTTTTAACGTTTTTAACTTCATTGTGTCATATGAGTGAACCGAATCAGTTCGTTTCGAAACCTCCCGCCATTCAAGCGCTTCAAAAAATTATAGGCTACGCTCAAGACTTCAAATCCGTAGAAATTAGGCAAGCCGCAAAGAACGCTTTCGTCGCCTTATGGAATTGCAACACGCAGCAGGTTATATTAATGCTGTCCGAACTGCCGAAGGAGCAGCAGGAAGTCGCATCGACGATTGCGCATAATCATCTCAGGAAGAGTTCGACGGGAAGCGAACCCGGCAGTCCGCTCGTGGCCAGCAGTCCGAAAGCTCTCTCACCTACCACGCTTCCTGGACGAGTTGACGATTTTAATCGTGAAGAGATTTTTAAGAGTCTGCAAAAAACCACGGCAGAAATTCAGAATTATAGTTACGAAACTTTAGGTGAGTGCTTTGATTTCCTACTAGAATTTTTGCCTTTTGATCTCCATTCACCTTTTGTTCCTATTGGTTATCTTTGTAATATTTAGCACTTGCTAAACCAGTAATTTTGGCCATCAGGATACCTTGATTTACCGTATACCCTTTCTAGCCCCAATTGTGCAATCACCCACCCTTCTCCTTAACTCCACACTCTGCACTGCGAACACATTTTTTTATTATTAAACTTTAACCTCTTGAAAAGTATCGCTCTTTGGTATCGTCATAGGGAAAATAATAGAATAGTGAGACGACCTTGCGGAGAAACTGATTTAAACAATTAGATTTTGTCTTGCTTCTGGCCAAGGTCAGTGGTTTCGGCACGCTGCCTGAGGTTTGTCAGAGTTAACTGTGCTGCAGATTCATTAAATGATTAGGCGTTTTGTGAAGTGGCGGATTTCACTAAAAGGCTAAGATTGTACAGTTGGCCAAATAAGAATGCGAGGTACTGTATCTGGGAACCTGTCCATCGTAGAGGCTTGCGGTAAAAAAATTTATTACTAAAACGGCCACGAGAAAAACCTGGAAAATATTTTTAAGTTTCTGCAATGGCCGCTAGGGGGCGTAACTGCAATCTGGAATCTAAAAAAGTGATGTTTCTGTAAATTCCACTATATTAACCTAACAAAAAAATGTCCTGTCTTTGAAGTTGACGATAATTTGAACCTTTTTTGTTTGACAATTTTTCCTGTATCTCTAAAAATGAAGTGGTGGGGGGTATTCAAAGGTTTCCGTAAAGAACACCGTGTATCTTCGAAACGACTGAGCCGATTTTAACAAACTCGGGTTAATTGAAAAGAGTTATTCTTCGGCTACAAATATTATAATATTTGAAGTTTTGTTAGTTTCACATATCGCCACTTGAGGGCTTTTTTCGACATTCCGACAGAAATGGTTAATTTTCTCATAAATATTAAATGCGTTGGTTTGATTTTTTTTCATGAAAAAGTAGCTAAATGATGCCTAAACAAGCTCGCGAAAACCGCATCTCGATATCTTGTTCCTAACCTAAAATTTAGGCAAAAGAAAATTTTATACCCTCAAAATTTTATTTTTTTAAGCTATTTTTTCCGGAATTATTTTTATTATACAGTGTGTAAAGCGAAGGGGTATACAAGAGGGAATTTTTTCTGTAAATATTGATTTATGAAAAAAATTTATTCTTCGTAATATTTTTGCTTGCTTTGAAAGTACCACCAACGTTTCGATTGTTTGTGGTTTGATAGCAATACTCTATCTTAATTATAATGTAGAATGATAACTTTCAATAAAAAAAATTAATTTTATTATTTTTTCAGATTTCTATAAATAAATTTTAGATTATCGAAACGTTATTGGTACTTTCAAAGCAACCAATAAATATCATGAAGAATAAATTTTTTTCATAAATGAATATTTAAATAAATTCCCTCTTGTATACCCCATCGCTTTACACACTGTACATATAATTTGTGGCCCTAAGGTGGATCGATTTAAAAAAGGAAGCTTTTAATGCCGCCGTAAATGCTCGAAATGCTGGCCATCACGATATAAAAATATATATATATATATCTCAAGATATCGAGATGCTGTTTTCGCGAACTTGTTTAGGCATCATTTAGCTACTTTTTCATGAAAAAAAAATCGAACCAATGCATTTAATTTTTTTGAGAAAATTGACCATTTTTGTCCGAATGTCGAAAAAAGCCCTCAAGCGGTGATATGTGAAACTAACAAAACTTCAAGTAGTATAATATTTGTAGATGAGGAATAGCTCTTTTGAACTAACCCGAGTTTGTTTAAATCGGCTCAGCCGTTTCGAAGATACGGGGTGTTCTTTACGGAAACCTCTGAATACCCCCCACCACTTCATTTTTAGAGATACAGGAAAAATTGTCAAACAAAAATTGTTCAGATTATCATCAACTTCAAAGACCTGACATTTTTTTGTTAGGTTAATATAGTGGAATTTACAGAAACATCAGTTTTTTAGATTCTAGATTGCAGTTACGCCCCCTAGCGTCGATTTCAGAAACTTAAAAATATTTTCCAGGTTTTGCTCGTGGCCGTTTTAGTAATAAATTTTTTTCCGCAAGCCTCTACGATGGATAGATTCTCAGATACAGTACCTCACATTCTTATTTGGCCACCCTGTACAAAGGCGGTTTAACCTCGCTTGGAATTAACCAGTGGATTAAGGTCTAAAATTGGTTGAAATTTGACGTTTTATCAAATTTCAACTAATCATTTGTCTTAAGAGGTGTGGAGACCACGTGACTTTTTTATGCGTAAACAAACAGTCCCCTTACTACATCTACCAGCTTATATTCGTCTCTGTCACGCAAATAGTGTTGCTGAATAAGCGCGTTCTAGTAGCATGCGCTTTTTAACTCTGGGAACACTGCTGCGCTTTGACATTTGAGTGATCAAAAACAAAGGTTAGGTCAAGTTTGACTTTTAAAGTAGTTGCAACAAAAATGATAGCGTTAGTTTGAGATTCTGTTTGAGTAAAACAAAATAATGTTTTGTATCTATAACCTTACATTGCAAGTAATCTAATTTTTCTGCGGCTTTTTCGTTTTGCGCTCAGGGTCTTATGTTGATTTTGTGGATTTTTACTATTTTTAACGTAATTTCCCATGATGTTCCAAATTTTCACCACCAACACACGTTTATTTGCTTTGCACGAGTCACATGCGTTAAGAAGTCGATTTCGAAACTACCGTACCGAGAATGATAACACGCGGCCCGAAAGCCAAACAAAGCCATGATACAATAATTTCAGCTTACTTTTCCTCTTGGGGCCAGTTTTTCCATCTTGATAAATTTATTCGGCAAATAAGTGCCTTGACAATGATTATACAGGGTCCGGCAAAATGATCTCCCACATTTTGCACCGCCACTGTGCCAGAATCACTGAAGAGAGGGGGAGCTTAGTGTAGTCGGTTGGTAGCTCTGGCCTTGCCATTTCAGTTGTCAGTCATGAATTGGACGGGTGAGCATCGTGCCTTTGTTATTGAAACGTTTATGAAAAGTAACGAATCTGTGATTACGACGCAAAGAACATTTCGTACTCACTTCGCGCTTGGTAGACATGCTCCAGTTCCAGATCGCAAAACAATACTGTTGTGGGTTTCAAATTTTAGAGCTACAGGTTCAGCCTTAAAAAGAAAATCAACTGGTAGACCCAGAAGTGTCCGGACACCTGAAATTGTTGCAGCTGTAAGAGAAATCAGAAATCAGCTTCGAATGTGTATCGAAAAAAATGGTCGCCATTTGGACTCTGTAATTTTCAAAACTTAATAAAAACAAATGGCATAGCATACATTTTCAGTTAATAAAGCCGCTATATAACATTTACAATGGCGTTTTTATTACAGATTAAAATGTGGGAGATCATTTTGCCGGACCCTGTATCAACAATGGTATCTTATCTATGTAAATTTATTTGGAGAGTGAAGTTATTGAAGAGTGGAAAAACCAGGCCTTCAGTCATTAGAATTAAAAAACAAATCCCATAAGAATTCCGTTTTAAATTCAAATTTTAAGCTCCGCGTGACGTCATGCGCGGACTGGACGAATTTAGAACGGCAATTTAGCATATCTTGTTTTTATTATATCATGAAACAAAACGATTTGTGCCAAGAAGCGCGCGGCGCTATTATTATTATTATTATTAGACGGCTCTCCACGGTGTTGCCACATTCGTAATACCTTTCTCTATTCATCACGTATAAACACAAGATTTTTATATAGCACAGACACTACTTCTTAAATGTATAATAATAATAATAATGTGTCTATTAGAATAACGAGTGGCATTTAGATATTATTATAACCATGTAATTAATAAGTTTACCCGTTAATCTAATGAGGCGAAGTTCAGATGCTTTGGTAAGGGCTGGCATTTTAGATGGTTACTAATTAGACCCTATTTCTTGAAAATAATTTAAACGCTACTATTTACTATGAAATTGTAAGTGCTCAACCTTTTGTTCTGCTTCAGAATGTTGCAGTACACATCATAAAAAAAAGGTGGTTTCAGCATGATGGTGCTCCACCTCATTTTGCTATAAACCTAAAGAATGTCTGAATCAATAATTTTCTTGGAAGGTCGAGGAGGCGCTATAAATTGACCAGCGCGCTCTCCAGACCTTGTACTGCATCTTTGATATAAATCACCCTGTATAACAATTGCAATTTTGTTGAAAATATTTTTAGTTTGTCCTTCAACATGCCCCAACAATGAATTTTAAATATCCACGTTAATAAACCACTGGCCTTTTCTAAACACATCTACAAATGTTTGGTACAATGGGAAAACATTTTGAACATTTATTACAATAATTATTTTTCTTTTATTTTCATTTAAACTTTTAACGGCCTACTAATTACTGAGAGGGTTTGAAAATCAAAAAACACTGAATGGTTAGAAATTGTTGAATTACAAAGAATATGTAAAAGGTAAATACAAACGTTCTTAGGTAGTCAAATCCTAGATTTGATGTAAGAAAAAAAAAGTTCTATTTCAAAGAATCAAGTTGGGTATCTTTGATTGAAATTTTTAAAATTGAGAGAGTGATTTCTTTTAACTTAAAAAAGGTTAAACTTTGACCATTCACCGTTATGTCAGTACATTTCATGATTTGTAACACTGTAGTCACAGCCTTCTAAGTTTTATGATAACTGCGATATTCAATCTTTACTGGAGATCTACTTTTTGAAAAATTTAAGAATGCATCTAAACTTGTGTTTAATACATAAAGTCACTAGAATTGATCAAGGAATCGAAATATGCAATCATATACAGGCGGTTCTGTTTAAAAAAAAAACAAGCATCTTTGATATAATCACCCTGTATAACAATTGCAATTTTGTTGAAAATATTTTTAGTTTGTCCTTCAACATGCCCCAACAATGAATTTTAAATATGCACTTTAATAAACCCACGATCTTCCACCCACGCACTAATGGGCCACCCTGTGCAGGTTTCAAAAACAGTATAATTCTTACAGTTACATCATAATTATGTACTGTAGGTAGAGAGTAAATTGGCGCAACACATTATAATTTGGAAATTCATTACGATAGAATGACATACCTACAGAAAAGTGGCTAAATTATTACCTACCCTTTTCCAAATAGTCGCAAAAGTCTCTACATCGGTATAAACAAATTGAAGAACTTAAAAATCCAACACTATCCAAAATATTGTTTTTGTTGCTAATATTGCTCATGATCTGGATTAATTAATTCAAAACTGTCAGTTATCCTACCCAACAAACTCTTATCAGACCTGGGTTCAATCCTTGACATCTGATCTAATTACGGGTTGGTACATTTTCAGGTTCTAAGTTAGACAAGGATAGAGACACCACATCACAAGATTCGGGAATTTCACAAATGTCACTCGGAAACGATATCAAGAGTGACGTAATAACGCTAGAGGAAAGAATGGAGGAATTAACAATTCGGCCTAACTACGTGAGCCAGACCGGCTGCCGATCTTTGCCGTATTCGCTTAACGGAATAGAGACGAATTTGAACGGCTACAGTGGTACATTAGGTGAGAATATTTCGGAACGAATGATCTTTTAACAGTTGTTTCCAGATGAGGCGGACAATGAGGAATTAATTAAAAAAATTCTACAAGTCTGTTTGGTGGACAATCCTGCATCTGTGACCGATAAGCAGAAGTTATTGTCTCAGTTAGTGCTTTTAATTAAAAAGGGTCAAGTTGATGCCATTATACCGCAATTTAAGTAAGTCGGTGCAACTGTTGGAAGCCGATTTCTTTAGTCTTTTGTAGGAAATTGTTGCGCGTGCTCATTGATAATCTGGACGTGCCCGACTGTAATACTCAGGTCATCGTGCTTGAGGTTTTCGCGGAAATATTTAAAAATGATAATATGAGACAGTGTTGGAGCAACTTCGTCGAGTTGCTTACGTTGCGAGTTTTAAATGCTCATTGCTCAGATAAGCGAGAGGTAAGTCAATCGTCTATGTAGGTTCACAATAAAGAGTGAATTTTGCAAGGTTGTGAAAGCGGCTGAACTTACTGCGGCCGCAATGAGCGTGTTTCCATTCAACGCCATTATAAGTGTGTTATCTCCTCTTATACACACGAGCGCTTGTCCCACAATACAGGGCGCAATCAAAATGTTAACAAAACTTATAGAAGTCCATCCGCTGGAGGTGACGGATGATCACTTGGGAAGTGTCATGCCAGGACTTATAAAGGTAAGTCAAGTTTGGCAATTTGAAAAAAAACGATATTATTTACTTTTAAGGCAAATGACCACGAGGAAAGCGCTGTGCGAAAAAGCGCAGTTTTTTGTATGGTTGCGTTGCACAAGGCTGTAGGAGAAGAAAGACTGGCCCCGTACATCACATCATTGACGGGTAGTAAACTAAAGTTACTTCGACTATATATAGAAAGAGCGCATTCAATACAGAGTAGCCCAAAAAATTCTGCTAATTCGCATAACTCTTTAAGCTAGTTTAATTAGAAGTTAAAAAATGTGGCGTATTTGTGAATTGAAAAACGGACTTAATTTTCTTTCGATTTTACGTTAATTTGACGTATTTATTTATACGGTGAATGTTGTAGATATTCGGATGTTTTTTTGTTATCGCGAATGGAAAGATGTGATTATGAAGATCTGCATGAATTTTATTGAATGTTATCGCTAAATTACAGTTCATTTAAAAAAAAAGTACCTACTAATTACATTGCTTATACATTTTTAAATTACACAGCATTAGTTGTAATATTTAGTATAACAAAAATATTGATCGTTGTAGTATGTTACTGTTAAATGAGTTGATACTTTTAACATTTTAATCTACATGTATATGCAGTTATGTAACTTTTAATGTCTGCTTAATTTTTACCATGCCAATTTCGTTTTAATTTCAATTGTATAATTCCTCCTGTATAGCCCTAATACAATTTTATAAAATTTGCTCATGATTTATCATAGTGATTAGTGATTACACCAAAAGTGTAGAAAATATTCTAATATTAATTACATGTTCGAAAATGCATTATGGGAACTTCGTCCATCAATTTTTAACCAAACGGTATGACATAGAACAATGCGGTTTTTTGTAAAAAAAAAATATTCTTGTTAGACCCGGTTTATTTCAACTGAAAGCACAATATGTAATGCGTAATGTTTATGATTTTAGATGAATTGTAAATTCAAAGTTGAGATACAAAAACAAAAAATTTACTCACCTAATGCCTATTGCCACAATCAGGTATATTATGCACCAATACTAAACATTAGCTAGAATTCAATCCTCTTTCGGTTCTTTTTCGTTCGTTTATTTTCCTGCACAATCTTCTTATTACTTTCAAAACAGCCTTTTTCAAGACTACCAATTTCTTACGAATATTTACAAGGTGAGTAAATTACTTTTTGAATGATAAATTCACATTTTTTTGTTGTTGTAGGGTGTAATAGGTATACTAAGACATGCCTTTTACTTTAGAAGAGGATAAGATGCTTTTGCAGTCCCATTTCTGTAAAGTTTTCATCGATCAAGTTCACTATGACGAATTATCAAAATTATGAACAGCTATAGAACCTGCTATTAGGAATATTATGCAGCAGTAGTGATATGTCGTCGTTATTAACAAGTTGTACAAGAAATAAAATCAATTTCCAAATATATTTTTTAAATTTCTACCTCTTTAAGCGCACTCCCAAACGAGTTTCTAAATTTCGTTAAATTTATTGCACTGCTGTGTATCCTTTTTACGGGTTGAGGAGGAAAGTTCACATACAACTTTTCAAAAAACTTTTTTTTTTGGACAATTCGTACTTTTTCGATTGGACTTTTCAATCAAAACTTATAGACTAGAAACCAATTTCGAAAAAAAATTCAAAGGGCTGTAACTTTTGAACTAGTAGCCCAATCTTGGAACTGTTTGAAATTATGGATTCTACAGGCCACATTCTATAAGAAAATTTTTTTCCGGGTCGATCTGAGACAATTTTTTTTCGGGGCTCAAAAAAAGGCAGTGTATAACCTTCCTTTTTTACCAAAAATCGACTGCACCAAAATTTCTCGGGAAAACACTTTTTCTTATTAATTTTGGTGCGTAGAATCCAAAACAATTCGTACTTTTTCGATTAGACTTCTCAATCAAAAGTTATAGACTAGAAACCAATTTCGAAAATAAAATTTTTTTCAGGATCAATCTGAGACAATTTTTTTTTTCGGGGCTTAGATCTGTGGTAAAGGTTATACCAAATCAGATGATCGCAAACTTAAAAAACAATGTTGGAGAAGGAGCGCTATTTATTTCCTTTATAAATAAAATAATTGTTGGTTGCAGATACTTATTTTACAACAATTAATAATAAACAATTCTTGGAAACAAATTTAATATCATACAACAAACAAACACCAACTTATCTAGAAAACAAACTCCTGCCTGATGCTTTAACATAAAATCGGGTATGAAACTATGAAGCACCTTAAATTGTTTTACTCTACGGACAACTTTTGACATATGCTCCGCGATAGATCCGGAATTTAATTGGCGCAATTTCTTTTTGTTTTTCATCGAAATTTCTTTCACTTGCGATACGTAGATGAAATTTCGTTCGTTAAATAAAATCCAATCTTCCGTACCGAGCTTTTGCAATATTCCACTCAATAAGATCAAGCTAAAATTGCTAACCGAACCTACGAATGCGATCGACACAAAAATTACTTCACCAAACGGAGAATACGCAATGAGGTATTTTACGGTGTGCAAATTTTCGGGAAACTCCTCGAAGGTGCTTCGTATCGATACAAGCAAAAATCCTATAATGATCACCCGTTGCGTGGAATCAAACTCCGGCATAAACACAGACGGCAAAGGTAGAGTTAGAGATGAGTTCCTGCACAGCATATCCAATTTATCATACAGAAGTTCTACACCCGTAACATACACTGAGGGAAATAAGTATGAATTTAAAATCGCTGTATCGTCATCGGTATACAGTTTTGCTAAAACGCTAATTAACTGTTCATATCCAGTGGCACCCTTAAGAACCGGTATTTCCGATTCAATATAAGTTAGAAGTGTGTTAAATACATTAATGTCTGACAACCCGCACATTTCGCAAACGACAGTCGGGTTCCGCCTTAAGTATTCTTCTGTAAGACGCCGAGTATCTTCCTCTGGTGTCTCGAGGAAGTCATCACAATTCTCCTGCTCCGTCTTGATGCAGACGCGTTCGACGTCGTCGTCGACTTGCACTACTTCTTCTTTTGCCTCTAAGGGATGGTATTCTTCCTTTATGACGCTTGATATTTCTGTGGCCATCTTCTAGATAGGAGCTCTAAACAATATTTACCATAAACAAAAGTAGGGTTAACTATTGAAAAACCTACGAGTAAAAAACATGTGATGGTTCCTTCTTTATCGATAATCGAGTATTTGATTGTACAGAGTGTAGTAAAATAATTTCACTTTTGAAAGTGATTTATGTACAACAAATATTTTTGGTTTTTGAACTGTTTACAATAAATGACAAACTTTTCTATTAGTTTGAAATCAATAAACGCTTTACACAAATTGTGATGAACTTTCCCTTTCTTTCCTAGTTTCGGGTAGGGGTGTGCCCTTTTATTTGGAATTAGTTACCCGTGTAGGGTCGGGAATGAGAATAACCCTACTGCAGCGGCACTGCATGTCGTAAGAGGCGACTAATCAACGGTGGTCATCTGCCTTGTGAAATTTCTGACTGGGAGTAATTTTGGCGAAAAATTTTCGATACACACTTTAATCCTGAAAAGTGAATCTTCGGCTGTACGGATCACGGAGAGCAATGCGCTTTTCAGATTTCCCTCTTTCAGTAGCACAAACTTGTCTACTTACTAAAGTCAGGGCCGAATTATGGAAAAAATTATGTTAATATAGTATAAATCTCTTTAAAGTAAATTTGCCAAATATTAGATTAACTATGAAACTCGGCGAACTTCGTACCGCCTATCAGTCAATGTCCGGCTCTCAGATTTTTGTGCCGTAAATCGTCAAAATGCCATTCAGACAGTTTGTCCTTTTTCTGGGTCACATAAAAAAATAAAGTTGATGATTTGTCCGCCATGAAACGTTGTATGGAAAATCCCCTCATGGGTGTCTTGTAGAGCGCAAAAAGTGACAATGGGGGTGTTTTTTTAAAAATTTTTTGTATCTCTATTTAAGGGAGTTTCAAGAAAATTTGAGTAGATCATGCGACAAACTTTAGAGGGGTTTACCGATTAGTTAAGGAGAAATTTATGGAAGTTGGGAAGTAACACGTGGAAAAGCTTTGAGCGAAGAATTGGATAGCAAGGATGAAAGAAAGGGATTTCATAGATATTTAAAAGAAAATTAGGGGAAACTTCAGGGAGATTGAAAGAAAGCATTTGATACAATCATTTCACTAACGCTAACCTAATGTCGCTTTCCTTATAGATTGGCCCATATTTAAATTTAGCGCCTTATTTGAAAATGGTGAATCACAACGCCACAAAAACGATGATTCATTCGGCAATCGTCAGTTCTTTACTTGGGTGTTTGACAATTGAAAATTTAGATCGTTAAAATGGTAAGTGAATTTCAAATAGATTAACAAAATTAATTAAAATGTTAATAGTCTCTAATTAAGCGTTTTCAATTGCAGGTGAATTATTCAGAGGAACAGATGGCCGGTAAGTCAATTATTGCGATAGAAATATTAAAGTAGCGTAGCCCCACCTTAAATTTCTTCCTTATTGCAAGACTGTCATTCAAAAGTTCTGGGGAACCTTAAAACAATTTCAAAATCTGTCTTGACCATAAATGGTACTCGCCATAATGAATCACAACCAGATTTTGTCCTTATATGGTTTTAATGGGAAAGTAGACGATCGAGCAAGGTAACAAATAACACATTTATCTCATTGCCTTCAAGTGCAATGTATCTCTACGAGCCAAGTAGGCCAATTCTATCTTCCGTCGAAGGTGTCTGGATAATCTAGACAAAGATATTCTAACCGCTCTCTTTTGTAGAATTTCAAGAGGCCTTTCAACTGTTTGATAACCGCGGCGATGGAAATATTCACGTGTCACAAATTGGAGACGCACTCCGAGCACTAGGTCAAAATCCCACCGAAGCCGACGTAAAGAAATACAGTCACCAACATAAGCCGGACGTTCGCATTTCGTTCGAAGTCTTCCTCCCGATTTATCAGGTGTGATTTTAATTTCTTATTAATCGTGCATTAACAAACGACCTTAGCAAATTTCGAAATCGCGCACCGCCGAAACCGCCGACGATTTCATTGAGGGCCTAAGACACTTCGATAAGGACGGAAACGGTTTTATTAGCTCGGCCGAGTTTCGTCATTTGCTAACGACTCTGGGCGAGAAATTGACGGACGACGAGGTGGAACAATTGCTGCAGGGTCAGGAGGATTCTCAAGGGAATGTAAATTACGAGGAGTTTGTTCGTATGATTATGTCGGGGTAGGGAAGTTAATTTATTGTTTTAATGTTTGCATTTTGAATGTCATTCCATTTTTTGTATGATTTTTTGGGATATTAAAAACTGACCTGTAGATAATATGTAGTTATTTATTGTTGATGTTATTTAATAAAGGGGTAGTCTTTGTACATACTTCCCATTTAGTGTTGGGGATTATGTTGTTTACTGTAGGTCGTATCAGTCTATTAAAAAAGAACCAAACAAGCTTTACTAACGTGTTGTACCATAAAATTGTAAATTCTATGTGGTTTATATATATTTATTGATATTAGAAAAGGTTTTCTCCTATACTCCTCTACTAATCCAATTCTCTGACCTCTGTACACTCCATGCTTTCTTTAAAAGCAATAACAGATAAAGTGATCAAATTAACCGAAAGGGTAGTTAAAATGAAACAAATAAGTGTGCATTCTAAAGGGTAATTTATTATGGGATAGTAAAACTCACAAGTTTGTGTCGGAGAGCACTTCCCAATAACTCTCAAAATGTAAACAGTGATAGAGAGCTCTCTCTCAGCAAGTAATTGCTGCAATAAATCTTGCACTTCTAAACAAGTTTTGACAGGAAGTTGTCATTTATTTGATTGTTGGTGAGCAAGTGCTGTGCTGTAGCACAGGCCAAATGTATGTGTTCATAAGAAGACATGTCTTCTTTAATTAACACTTCAAGGATTTGCAGAGTTGTGACAAATCAAGGCTAAAATCTCTACTGTGTATACGCACATTCAAAAGCAAGTGCCTGAGAGCTAGAGAAATTTTACAATTTGCTTATATGTAAACTCTAGCACAATTTACTACCCCGTATAAATGATGCTTAATGGTATCTGCCATTTTTATTAAAATGGGACGCGGAGCCCAAAATATAAAATATAATAGTTTCCATGGAAACGACAGGACCTAAGCTTGCTATATTTGACGTCCGAGTTAAATTCAGAAATTTTATAATTATTTATATGGCTTCTGCTATAAAATAAAGTTTTGGTATTATACACAACGATAATGAAAAACTAACCGGCTTGTGACAGTTAATTCACTCGATGGTTAAAATCTTCCTTTATCATTGTGTATAAGCCACTTGCAAGCATACACGGTGTCCATTTTTCGAGTGCCACTATGGGGATCTTGCTTATCAAAGTTGCGAATTTTCATGTTGAATAATAATCTGAAAAGAAATTTAAAATATCTTCAATACCTAGTTTTGAAAATATCGCAAAAAAAGAAAATTTCTGATTTTCGTTTTTAATTTTTTCATAGTAAACTAATCGTTCTAGACATTTCTAATTAACACATTATTCAGACACTTTTTAATGGAGATTTCGAATATGGCATCCCGTTTTCAATAACTTTTAAGATGACGGAGAAACAGGTGGCAACTTTAATTTTTCTTATGGGCGCTGTTTTGGATTTTGACATTTTGAGATTACGTCTTTTCTTCTCTTTACAACGATATATCACACATGGTGGTTCAGTAACACATTTTTCCTAAAATTACAATTTTAATTTTCTGCGAAGGGTGCTTTGGAAAAACAAAACGTTCTTTTGTTGTGAACAAAAGGTTGAAGATTTCAAGTAGTGTAATTTACGTTTGTGCTAGATTTATTGCGAAAATATTATTTCTTCTTAAGTATTTGGTTCTAATTTGAATTATAATTTTCTTGCAAAACGGAAGGTTCAATTATATTCAGATGAAAATCTCAACTCAACTAGTTCCCTGCCAACGCTCTAACCAGACAGATGGATCAAACTGTCATACTTTTGATCACAATAAAAGAACGTTTTGTTTTTCCAAAGCACTCTTCCGGAAAAATTAAAAAGTGTCTGAATAATGTTTTTTTGCGATATTTTCAAAACTACTAAAGATATTTTTAATTTCTTTTCAGATTATTATTCAGCACGAAAATTCGCAACTTTGCCCCCATTTAACCAACTCTCTATCTCTTCAGGTAAGCGAGATCCCCATAGTGGCACTCGAAAAATGGACACCGTGTATACCTATCAGGATGATTAGTAACGAAAAGTGCACAGTCAAGCGCCCTTTTTGCGCCCATTACTGTGAATTTTTTTCACTTAAAGACGTTTCGAAATTTTATATGACCACCCTGTACAAATTTGGTGAAGCCTAAGGTTTACTGAAGCAAGCTTTGATAACATGGGTCCTGTCTCATTTGTAAGCGGTTTGATTTAAATGCAAAGTGCACTTATATTAGCTCTTTGGTGGGCGCGCCTTGCCGCTAATTTTATTTAATTAATTAATTAATTGAATATTTGTAATTAAGAATGCTGTTAGCTATTCGTTGATTGGTCTCTCCCCCAAACACATTCAATTGTCCCTAGGAAAATTCGCGGCTATGATATTTCTTGGAATGAAACAAGCATAAGAATGGGTTACCTTCTATTACAAAGATTGGCATTACTGCACCGCGCCCGTTTGCGTATCTAATTGACGCCCAAAATACTTCAAACTTTGTAGTAGAAAGTTTTTCAGAAATATCTAAAAGCGTTTCCAAACTTATTTATACAGTGTGTCTATACTCATTACTGTAACTAAAATTGGTGATGTAAATATAAAATTTTATTTAATTAACGGTACATGTAAAATGCAAATGACTATGTAAATATTTCATTCAACAAATTGTATGTAGGAAAAAATGTGTTTGTTCAGTATTTACATTAAGACATTGTGTTCTATGTCATCTATGTGTAACCGGTACAACAAATTATTTAAAAATTCAACTGCACAAACATTATTATTATCATTTTAAACTAACATTAAAAAATAAAAGTAACATCTACAATATACGAATCGATCATGTCGACTTAGCGAGACATTCCCTGACATGAACTTCATATTCTGTATTGAAAGGTAACACCTCATCGCAATTTTCGCATGTGATCCTATCGCTACCGTTAAACAAAATTGTTGTAGACGTATCCTTTTGCTCGAAGCTATCGATACATTTATCTGCGTGCGTCTGAAAATTCAACAATAAATTACTGTTCCGTGAAAATTAAGATTATACCGCTAGGACGTCTTGTACGAATTCTAAACCGCAAATTGGACACGCTCCCATTATGTTGGAGGTTGATGATTGTGACTTGTCCTCGATCTCCACATCATACCCGCTCGCTGCTTTTTTGTTGCTGTTCTTAATCGCCTTCGACTTTCCTGTACAGCGTAAGTTACAAGAAATGCGGGGTATAATAAGAATAACCTACCACCACGTCCACGTCGTTTCCCCGAATTTTTCGTTGGATTTGGAGGTACAATTCTTCTAGTGGTAAATGCTTCTTCAGCATGTACCAATTCGGCTACGTCTGTAGAATCATCAACATAATCTTCGTCGCTATTATTAGCCAAGGAATCGACAAATTTTTTAGTTTCCTTCGTCAACTCTTTTTCCTGCTCTTCCTTTTCCTTTAACTTGTCAAACAGTCTCTCCGACTTAGGTGAAAATATCTTGCTTCTTTTCATTATTTGATCGTTATTCAATGTAGATATATTCCTTCTTTTGGATACGGAGCTAGTGGGGGAGTAGTCTTGGTTGTGATGAGAGGACGATTTGTTTCTCCAAGAGTCATTCAAACTTTCCGTATACAATTTACGCTTCGTTTGTCTCCCTGTTTTTGTAATGTAGATGTCAGAAAGGTTATCTTCCACAAAAAGGTCCTCATCCTCGAAATCATAACTGATCACTTTGTCGTTACCCTTTAACAGAGTCCCATTGAATTTAATATCGGGTTGTACGGGTTTGCCCAAAGGAGCGTATACTTTTGATTTACGTTGAAAGGTATCATAAATTTGAATTAGCTTCCTGTGGTATTCAGATAGCAGCCGCTTTCTCTCCTCCAAGTTCAGTTTAATAAATTTAGGGTCACAGTATAGTGGGGGATTATATTTCGGCTTATAGCTAATTAAAGTGAGAGGTGGGTGTTTTGTTGGAGCACTGTTAAATACATCGACACTATCAAAATCATTACACCTCTGCTTAGGATCGACGTTTTCATCGGTAATGCTAGAATTACGTGTGAGTGTTTGTGAAGTGCTCGTTTCTGAAACGTCCATTTGACTTTCACGTAACTCTGACTGCTCCGATTTTTTGACTGGTACGCTGTTTAAACGCATTTCATCAACGAAATCATAATTTGAATTGGCATCTGCTATGGTGCGCCTCTGTTCGTCTTCAGCTGTTGCGGTAGTTTTAGAATGATTGAGAACTCGATATAATTCCGACATTTCCGAGGTTGACATACTGGGATCGAACAAACCGGCCTCTGTAAATGAGACATACAACAAACAGGTAACGAACACTTTCTATGGGATGTAGTATGAGAATTACGTTACACATGGCAGACAATTTACTCGTCTGTGGTTGCAATAAAAATCGCGCTGTGAGCATCCTTCAAAGTAAAACTGAAATAAAATTTCAAATTCCGTGCTCTTACCATTCTTTTAAATTACCACATTAATGTAAAATCTTTGGATATTACAGCTCTATTTAGAACTACAATTACAAAACAGCAAAAGTTTAAGTTTGTACCGAAGTTTCTTGGTTCATTACCTTTTAAGCATTTTGTCACTTGGGTAATCGGCAGGTCCTCATCTTCATCTTCTGATATATTCGATTCTTCGAACATTTTTGACGTGTGTGTGTATATAAAAACTATCCAAATAATAAACTCCAAATAATTAACAAAATACCAAGCATTAATTTTGAGGTTATGTTATCCACTCTGTAAGACCGCCTTATTTAAAATAATGCATCCATTGGCTTGCGTGAGAAGTTCAGCTTCGGGGTGAAAAGTAGTGGCGTAGGTACGATTTGGTTAAAATGTCTTATGCTACGTCGGACTCGATGGGGCCACAACATTAATTGGTATCGTAAATAAATTGTCCAACCACCTATTCCCGTGAAACTTTTTCAAAGTTGTGAATGATGAAGGACGCGGGTACCTATATTTTTGTTCCTTTATGAACATTTTTTGCACATTACGTATTAGAAATCTCAAATCCTAAATGCGCCAATTCTACTTAAAATTGACGTACATCTAGAAAATTCTCCTACCCAAACGGTTTAAACGTAAACGCAAACGATTATGTTCTTATATAGGTATGGTATATAATTAATATGCTTAAAAATTAACACAAATATTAAAGCAATTAAAGACTCTGTAGTGAATGACTATTTTAATAATCCACAAAATATAAAATGTCTTTTAACAGAAATGCACGTTTTGAAACACAAGTACCTAATCCGAATCAAAAAAATTTCGCGGATTTCGATCTGTCTGTCTGTATATACTCTCATTTGCATTGCGAAGTCTGCGTATGCGCCCATTAATCGTCAAGATTTTTCTTGGTTGAGGTGCCAGAAGTATATGCTACCAAATACAAAAAGACATTAATATATAATAAATTACATTTATTATTATTAAATGTTGAAAGACTAAAAACGAAAATTCTGATAAGATAGTAGTTATACACCGCCTTTTTTTGAGGCCCGAAAAAAAAATTGTCTGAGATCGACCGGGAAAAAACATTTTCTTATGGAATGTAGCCTGTAGAATCTACAATTTCAAACAGTTCCAAGATTGGGCTACTAGATCAAAAGTTACAGCCCTTTCAATTTTCTTTCGAAATTGGTTTCTAGTCTATAACTTTTGATTGAGATGTACACTCCATACAAGTGTTGATGAGCAGAAGGGAAGACGAGATAGTTGTATTTGTTTATTGTGCCATATTTTTTTTTTACAAAAGTTATACTTTGGTAAATACAATTTTTTGGAGCTCCATAAACAACAAGGAGAAAGTAATTATCGTTGGAGAAGAGTCAATTTCTTCAAATATTTTAGTACTCAACGTTACGTAAAATTCGTTTTAGCCATTCACACGTGTGGGACCTCGTTTTTAAATTCAGTGTTAGACTTCTGACTAGCCTCTGTAAAAGTGCCCTCTCACTATGTAGCGTCTCAAATAGTGACCCGTTTTCTTCAAATTCTTATCGCAAAGAAACATGCATTTTCCCTTGGAAAAATTCCTACGCGTGGGGTAATTGCAGAAATGCACTGCTCCATCTGTAAGCTTTCCAAAATAAAAATTTGCTGTGACTAGCACAGACACCACCTGCGCTTGTGGGTATTTTCACAAGTCATTTTTTACCCCTGACTAACATGTGGGTGGTAAAAACCTAGTCTGTCCATTATTGTGGATCGGGAGGAGATGAGGAATTCTTTTTGTTTTAACCGCGAACTGTTATGTGTCTCTTTAAGACACTTTCCTCCAACATGTACATAAAAATTATTTCAGGGAAGGGGAAGGTGTTAATTGAAACTATCTCCTAGTAAACGTGGAATTGAATTTTTTTCTTTTTAAAGAAAATGTATAAAACTGTATTTTATAATCATACATCACAAATGATTTTATTCTGTATCCATATTTTCTACGGGTAATTCAAGAATTCTAGGGCCGTATAACAATACATAGGCACAATGCCAATCACCTCCTCCAGATAACTTCAAAATATCCTCGGAAGATACCGGAGATACAAAATCGTCGTCACATTTAAACCAATTGTTATTAGCATGTCTAACCCAGCCTACGTAATGGCCGCTTGAAGATGAGCGACCTTTATGAGTCAACACTGCCTGTAACGTGTAATAGCCGCTATTATTGCTTCCTATATCTGAAACTAACTGTGCAAAAAATAATCGTAATATCGCTCTCTTTCTTACCATTGTCAAACCAGTATGGCACAACCTTTCCTGTTTCCTTTGCTTTCCCATCTTTACTTTTTATGCTGTTTCCCTTGGTCGCGGCCTCGACTTGCGCATCTTCCAATTCCTAAAAGTATTTCGCACTTTATTTTCGGAAAACGCGCACTGTACCGACATACCTTAAACTTTAAGCGCATGGGAGTAAGCTTCTCTTGCAGCTCTGGGGAACAAAGCTCGTACGCATCAAAATCCAACGGAAATTTGACGTCTTTCAAAATTTTTGCGTTAATGGATTCCTTTTCTTTAAAATAAAATCTAACAAATTGTATCGTAAGATATGCGGGTAATCGACTAATTTTGGACTACAATAAATTTAAATCACCTCAAACCTCAATGTGTAATTCTTACCGTTTTTGTATAAACCGCGTCCCTGTCTAAACAAGTTGACATTTTTGTAATTTGTTCTTGCATTTTCTGAAATGTTTACAATGAGATTTTGTATTACAAAAACTGAGGGGTGTGCCTCTGTCTTTAGTATATTTTTAAAAATAAAAAATGTGCTATTGGTCGACTTTTGTCCGTTTGTTCATCTGCGGTAATGAACATTATGCTATATTTTAATAGCACTAAATTATTATGGCTCAATTTTTTTGTGAAAACGGTCAAATGTATCACAATGGCCAAAAACTATCGGGATATTCTATTGGGATTTCTTGGTATTTATATGTAGAGACTTGAGATATTTTTTTATTCGTGACAAATACTTAAGAAAGTGACACACCCCTCTGTATAAACCCAATCTTACCGATCGAAGACCTGAATGCATATATCGTACGTCTTGCGATATGAAACAACTTATTTGCAAAAATTGCTCTTTTGTTTTTGTGGGCGGTTCCTCCTCTGATTCCACACACTTCCACTCTACCTCGAAGGTCCCTCCGAAATATTGATCTATAAGTGACCTTAAATGCACTGGCTGTGAACACAGAATTATCAAATGAGATCTCACTTGTAATTTTCAATTTGTGGCGCTTCCGTTTGCTTTGAGGATAATTTTTGCTGCAAAACTCGCACTAGCTCCGTCCAACATTCGTTCGCGTCCTACAAATTATAACTTTAACCGATAGTTTCCTATGTCGAACCGCACCTGTTGCTGAAAGGCACCCTGCTCGCTGGTCTCAGCAAATCTTGGAAAGGCTATGTGTAACATTTGCAGTAACGAAAATGGGGGGATTGTACGACCTTGGTCCATGTTGGTATAGAGATCTCTTAGTGAGGCTGTGATCGATTGCGCAATCTGAGATTCGTCTTCTCTTTGTACATCTGCGAGACGTTCTATTAGCGATTAAATCTTCCTATGCAATCTTACCTCCTTTAAATTCTTTAAGTGCGTCTCTTAGTTCGGGAACCGTACGTAAACATTGCACGGTAGCATTCATGTAACAAGTATTATTAATGTTATGTAGACCGGGTGGCAACTCCAACTAAAAGTTACAATGTATTAATGTATTAACATTTCTTGATTATTTACAGCTGTAGCCAATTCGCTTTCATTCATGTCCTCAACAAACATGGTTTTTTCTACCGGTTCTTTTGGAACATCTTCTTCTTTACTGCCCATTAACAAAATTGTCGCACCCTGACAATGGAACACTCGTTACAAGCTTAGAATGTAAACAACCCTTACCTCTCTCAACTTAAAATTGCTCCAATCCTCGTCTTTCAGCGTGACACCTTTAAGCATAACCTTCTGTCTCTCCGGTTGTACACCAGTTAAAGCGAAAAGTTGAGCTTTAAATAGCATGGGAGTTTCCTGCGTGTTCACCTCAATGTCGGGATAGGATTCTTTGCCCCATTTTACTTTCACTACAATAAAATGTTAGGATCGCCGGAAAATGTAAGGTTAGAAACAACACAAATGGTTTACCTTTAAACGAAGCCATTGTCATTAACGAAGTGCCTTTTTTTCACAAAAGTAAGGCGACGTTAACTTAGTTTATTCAAAACCAGAATATCGTCTCTAACAAAAACTAAAAAATGCAAATATCACGGTAGGTCTTTTGACAGTACAAGTTAAAAGTCACCGCTCAGTCACCTGTCCCATAGAATACGAGGTCAGTTCGATTTTCCCTTTCAGGAGTATACAGAGTGTAGGCTGGTCACGTGACGACAAGCTACAATAAACGCACGGCATGAAGCATATGGAGCGTCAAAGAACCTCTAAATTTTGTACAGCTTAACCTCAAAGGCTCAAACGTGTGCAGCAGTAATAGATAACAAAAAAATACTTTTGGTTATAATCCTGCATGAGAATGCAAATTTGTTATTTTTCGAAAGTGATTTAGATAATAAAGATGACACAAAGGCTAATATTGTGAGTTTCAAATAAGCTTGACCACGTGATCATGTCTATTGCGCTCCTTGTCTTTTATCGTGCATCAATTTCGAATTTCCTTAAAAAATGTTAAGTTAAAGTAAATTGGCAACATTTTACTACCACAGAAAAAATATTAAGCAGAAAAATGAAATACGCAGCAATTCGCAATTGTATAATTTTACTTTACCACGTTTTGTGACGCACCGTGTACTTAACCACTTTATTTTTCATCGTATCGTTCCGTTTGCTGAGACACTGACAGTTTGACGTTTCGGTGTTTATAGGTTATGACTTTTACCATTATCTAAACTGCAAAAAAATAAAACTTTCTCCAATCTTTTAATAAAAAATTGTGTTGGGCTACTCATTAACCCAACACTGAATTACTATGGATCCTGCCTTATTAAAGGAGCGAGAGCTTTTCAAAAAGAGAGCATTAACAACACCGAGGTAAGCCTTTCTTCACAGTTACACTTTTGTAACACTACCGTTTTTTAGTGTCGAAAAAAGGAAAGCAGAGCCCATACGGGATGATAAGAAGAAACCGAAAACTTCCAGTGCACCTGCACCAAAATTGGACATTAACTCGTAGGTATACCTTAACATTTTCACTATGTAACGATGAAAACTGATACCAGGTACAAAACAGCCACCGGCAGCTCACAATACAGATTCGGCGTGTTAGCGAAAATTGTAAAACATATGCGGACTAGACATCAGGAGGGTGATCAACATCCGCTCACGTTAGAAGAAATTTTAGACGAAACAAATCAGCTAGATGTCGGGAATAAGGTCAAAATAGTAGGTATGTAAGTGTTTTAGGATGAAGTTAATTAAATGTACGCTAGTGGTTGCAAACGGAAGCGTTACAAAGTAATCCGAAGGTGGAAGTCACAATGGATGGCAAATTTATATTTAAGGCTATGTACAAATTGAAGGACAGAAAGAGTTTGCTTAAATTACTAAAACAGCAAGATTTAAAGGGACTAGGCGGAATTTTATTGGATGACGTGCAAGAATCTTTGCCTCATGCCGAGAAAGCGTTGAAGGTATTAAATGTAATGAAACTTTAATCCATTCAATTTGGGGTTTCTTAGACATTGCAAAATCAGAACGAAATTATTTTTGTGTCCAGACCGACCGATAAAAAGAAGATTTTATTTTATAACGATCGCACCGCAAGTTTACCTGTAGATGAAGAATTCCAAAAGCTATGGCGTTCTGTGGCGGTCGATGCCATGGATGATGCGAAAATAGACGAATACTTAGAAAAACAAGGTCCTTCCCATTATCCTTTTCTATTTTCTTACCAAGTTCCATTTCAGGTATTCGTTCCATGCAAGATCACGGCCTTAAGAAACCGATGGCTCCGAAACGGAAAAAGGCAGCGCAGCGTAAAAAGCAATTTAAAAAGCCGAGGGACAACGAACATTTGGCTGACGTGTTGGAAAATTACGAAGACACCACGCTTACGCAAAAAGGACAATTTTCTTCGAAAACTGCTAGTTAATTTATTATTTTATTTTATTGGTTTATTTTGAGTGCTAGAGAATTATGAATGATTTATTTTAATGTATACAGTTTGTTGACTGAAAAATATACACATAAACAAAGATAAATTAATTAATAACATCAAGTATACCAGTTGTCTCATCCCTCCCCCATGTCCTAGTGCTTTTTCTCCACTTAGTTCAAGAGTCTTGCTCTTCATTTCTATGTACCCTGTCTGTCCACAGTTTCTACCAGTGACCTTTTTAATTAAAAGAGAATATTACACAAATTTATTTATTTAAATACTTAGCAGAAATTTAAATAAACTAAAAAATGCTTATTTATTTCTTTTAAAGCATATATTAACCTAATTGGGTAAGACTCGAATTTTTAGTTTGCAATTGTTTACCGGATTCTTACTGATTTATCTAATAATAATTGCCTTTAATAGCTATTTATGTTGCATACATAGAAACTGTATAAAAGGGTATAAACTCGATGTTTAATTAACTGCGATAAACACTCACTACTCATTCAGTATACTTTCAGAAGCAGTCCCTTTCCAAAGTATAGATTCCACCTCCTAGGGGAATTCAATATACGTTAATTTGGTCAGGTAAAAAGCACCGGTGTATTACTTTAATTGCGCATGGGAAACATAGTACCTGGCCGTACATTTTCTGTCACTATTATCTAGTGAAAACATTACTTATGACATACTAGTTGATGGTTGTCAACAAAAAAAAACGAGTTGTGTAATTTCAGATTGGAGAAAATTACCATTTTAAAGAATTAATGTCCTGACCGTTCTCAGGTGGTCCTTCAAAAGTGTTGAGGTCGTCTACTGTGTTAGGACTTGACATGTTGGTTCCTTCGAGCCGGATCGATTTGTGGTTAATGTTCATTGTAATTATTGGTGGTAAACTGTGATTGACTGGTCATGAGCCAACAAGCTGCGAAGACATATGGATTGTGTAAAACAGCAACCAGGGAAAAATGCCGGTCAGGTATGGTTTTCGACTCCTTTTCTCTAAGAATATTGTGACCCATTCCTGGTGCTTCAAATGTGTATTTCCGGCAAAAAGTGGGGGGGGGTCATTTTTTTATCCAAATCCAATATCTACCTTACTAACGTGCGGATGCTAAAAAAACGAGTCATTTTATATAACGTCGTCGCTCGACTTTCAAAAGGGTCGCTACGGCATACCATGAACGTTTATAAGGCGTTTGACAATTAGGGCCGCTGTTAGTTTTTATACCTATGTATATGTACTTCATTATACATTTCATTTGCAAGAGTAAACCCTTGCCAAGTGGTGCAGGGGCCAAGTTATATAGACTTATTGTAGTGTGCACCTGTGGACAGAGAGAATAAGCGCATATTTTTCGTGGGTTACACTACTCTCAGTTTCATTGTAAACATTACAAGCGATTGTATAGGAACTACGCAATTTACTATCTTGGGTGTAGGTGACTACGATAACGATAGCATCCATCCTGTTCAGTTAGAAATGCACATTTATCATTGCACTATGCACTGGCATTTAGTATTACCTTTTATTCTTTCCACTGTACTGGGGTACGATGCACATTCCAGGGTGCGAAGAGTGGTTGGAGGATCCCCTGCCGATCTCCCTCCTCTCGATGACCCGGCGGTGTATTTAAGATTTGGTGGTCGAGCTGCAAGAGTACATGGGGTCAGGGAGTTTCCCCACTACGTATTTAAGGGAATTAGATACGCACATCCACCAATTGGAAAGGAAAGATTTTTGGTATGTAAATAACAAATAACGTTTTACAAAACTACCTACTATACCAAGCGTCCAAGGCAATTCTTCCTGTCTGGAGATGTCAATGCTACCGTTTACCCACCACCCTGCATACAACCAGTTCAGGGGCAAAAAGATGAGACTATCGGTGAAGAGGACTGCTTATTTCTCAACGTTTTCACGCCCGATTTGCCTTTGGGTACTGAAGGTTTACCCGTTGTCGTGTGGATTCATGGGGGTGGTTTTCGTTATGGATCTGCCTCACAGTACGGTGTAAGTTATATTTCAAGAAATATTAGGTAACTCATTAGCGAATTGTAGGTGAAACATCTAGTAGGGAAAAGATTGGTGGTTGTTGCTATCCAGTACAGGTTGGGTACGTTAGGTTTTTTGGGAACCGGTACTAGGGAGTTGCCCGGGAATGCGGCTTTGTGGGATATGGTGTTGGCCATACAGATGGGTCCGAAACCACATTGGGTTTTTTGGTGGAAATCCCTATCAAATTATTGTGATGGGACACGGGACAGGTGCTAGCAGTGCTGTTTTACTTGCGTTAAACAAGGTCGCGAAAGGTATCTTGATCTTCACCAACGCTTTAAGTAACGATTGGATTTTAGGTTACACCAATGGTGTTGTCGCTTTGTCTGGTACGGCATTATCAAACTGGGCAGTAGACACAAAACCAGGCGAAACTGCTAGAGAAATGGCAGATCTTCAAGGATGTCCGACCACAAATCCCCTACCAATGATCAAATGTTTGCAGGCAGTGTCTGCTAACAAAATAGTTAAACGGGACTCGGAAATAGCAGCAGCTCGGCTCCAACGCCAGGGATTTGTTTCGGGTATACAAGGACACCTGTGCTCAAGTCCCGTTGTAGAGTACAAATATGATGGGAGATCTCTGCCCCCAATGGTTGCAGGAGAGCCATTAGAAAATTTAGTTGACAAAAAATGCCCAAAAATTCCGTTACTAACTGGAGTTACAAAAGATGAAACCAAGCGAGCTATTCACGGCAGGTATACATTAAAAAAACCAGTTTTACACTCCTTCTTTTCAGGAAAATTTGGAAAAGAAATCAAAGAGAAATTACAATCTGTTCAACACTACCTCGATCAAGTTTTGGTGAAAAAATTACAGTCGTTCACATCCTTTGGGAAAAACCTCGCAAATCAGACACTTCACAACATTTGGAGTGTATTAGATCCATTGAAGTTCAGAAAGTATGTAAATGTAGGACGAAATAACATTCAAGAGGGTTTAGTTAGAGTTGCAGAAATGACAGGTAGGTAATACCTACCTATACTGCCGACTTATTATTGGTTACTTATTAGTGGATGCTTTGTTCAATTTACCTGCGTTTTTAACCGTTGACTTGTGGTCTAAAACTGGCGCACCGGCTTATCTATACAGCTTTGAGCACACTACGCGCAAGAAACGAGCGCATCATTTCCTGATGGGCCTACCCATAATTGGTGATGGTAGTAAATAAGTTACCGACTTCGTTTAGGCTAAGAGATAATTTCAGATGAGTCGGATGATACTGACATGGTATCGCATGGTGATGACTTAATTTATTTGTTCGAAGCCAATTCTGTAAATGGTACTCCTATTGCCAATGCGGAAGAGGATTTTACTGACGAGGACGCAAAGATGAGAACGATCTTTGTGGACATGATTTATAACTTTGTTAAACGTGGAAAATTAGATGTGGGCAACAAGGAGGTGCCCACTTTCTCAAGCGAGCAAAACAATTATGTCAAAATTAGCACGAGACCCTCGCTGGTCAATAACTTTCGTTTTTGTCAAATGGGGTTGTGGGCAGGGTTAACGAAACGACTACAAAGTACGATGTGTAGCGCACTAAACGTGCTGAATTCCCAAATTAAAGACGCTGAAGTTTTGCTGTTCGATACAGTTCAGTCCGTTGGAGGGCAAATACAAACCGTAGAAGATAAGGTCAGTGGAAGCGTGAACAAAGTGAAAGACTTTATAGAACATGCGGTACCCAACCCTTTTGGGTTGTTTGGAGGAAAATCTAAAAGTGTAACGCCCGCGAATAACGAAAGTATTTCGAGAAGAGGGTTCCTTGGTTAAACAACTGAAGGACGCAGTCTACCAAGTATCTTATATTGTAAAATTTGAATATAGACTACATTATACCATTGAATAAAAATACTATTTTTATTCAATGATTATACCTATACATTTTTTGCAGTAAGGTGAAAAATGAAAACAAGTTAAAAAGTAATCGTAAACGATTTACATAAAGCGCATTTCCACTTGCATCCATTTTCCATTTGTAAGATGCAACTTCTGTTAAAATCGTAAAAATCCGGTCACAAATATGAAAGATAGCGTTGCACATGAGCAATCCATTTTTGATATGCTATTTCAATTTCAGTTTATAAGAAGAATTTCATTTCAATGCTTTTCCAAATAAGAAAGTTGGAACTGCGCATGCGCAAACCTAAATTTTGAAACTAATGTTAGATTTTCCTTTGTTCCAAGCGCCAAAGTATCAAATTTCACTTAAATGCTTCCATAAATAAAAAAGTTGACACTGCGCATGCGCAAAACCAAATTTTGAAACTGGCATTTGATTTTCCTTTATTCCAAGTGCCTATGTATCAAATTTCATTCAAATACTTTTATAAGAAAACAAGTTTGCAATTCGGTTTATAAATGGTCGAGATGCGAAAAGGGCACTGTGAATTTGGAATCGATTCGACTCAACTTTTGGCGTTGCGTATTATATGGCGTTCATAACTAACGGAGATGTAAAAGCGATCGGACATTTCTAAACAAAATTATCGTTCACACGGACAGATAGGCAAAGGAACAGACGGACAGACCAACAGACAGACAACAATACAAAATTATAAATGATCTCTAGGATGGTTAATAAACGGCAAAAGTGTAAAATTATGGAACATGTAAAAAACGGTTTGTTGGTTTTTTTACAATAACTTTTTTAGCAATAAACACAGAAAAAATTCCTTCCTTGGTGCAAGCCTCGACACCATAACGAACCAAATAGCGAAAAAAGTAGAACAATAGCTCTTAAGATAAAGAACTAGTAGCGTCGCAAAGCGAGCGGACGGACGGACGGACAAAGTGGCCACAATAGCGCATTTTTTTTATTTTTGTGGAATTGCGCTAAAAAAGTTGCCGCACTAACGCGAGTAATTTTAGCGCATTGTCCATGCATTGAGCAGTATTTTCCAAAAGCTATAGCTATGTGCAATATGTTTTCTACCATCCACACAATAGTAAGGGATGTATCGCATTGGGGTAAAACATTACCCCCCCTCCCGAATGTTTTTAAGGGAAATATACGTTTTGCAGCACCAGTAATATGAATAAAGCAAAATCTCGATGACGTCGATCGGTCTGTCTGTACTCTCACACAGCAAATTTCTTTTACTAGAAAATTGGAATTGCGCAGTCTGCGCATGCGCACATCTGAATTGTGGGTAAAATTCGTAAAATGGGTCAATTTAATGTAGCTAATGCCCCAAATCTTGGGTGTAGATATACTATGTCACCCAGGGGAAGTACACTACAGCTGGAAAAGCAAAAGAACTCCATAATTTCAAATAAAAGAGGAAGAAAAAAAACTGAAATCGTTAAAACTGTCATTTTTATAGATTAAAGCGAGTTGTGTAGATACATAATCGATTAGCAATAACATTTAACGTATATTTTTCATTTTTTTATACACATAGTTCGCAAGCCATACAGATCCCGTAACAAACTCCAATACTGCAACTATCCCAAAACATCCCCGGTAGTTCACATCTAAAAATCATCAATTAAAAATATTGCAAACCGCCACCCAAAATTATTTACCAATGGCCAATAGAGAAAGTAAACTTATCGCTGTAATTGCACACAACAGAACGTAACTCACGGTGTGTTCTCCGTAATTATTTATGTTCATCAATGGCACACCAAGAATCTGGCACGCGTTCAAACTGATTGTAATAACAACCGCTCCAAATATCAAAGCAGTTTCGTCGCCTGCTTCGTTAAAAACTGAAAACAACTCATTTGATCTTCACCGAACACCGACCGACTTACATAAAAATCCAACGGCACCCATCCAGCAAAAAATCCAAATCAGTAACGGTCGCAACTTGTGACTTTTTTTAGCCCAATTCAAGGCAGGTGAGAACATGAGACTGCTAACACTAAGAGCGCCAACAATAGAGGGAGTGTTATGGATCTTAAATCTGTCTATTTTTATGTATAGATAGGTAGGGAATAGCGTCCAAAATGCAAACATTGCGAATCTGGTGGTTATGGTGAAAAGAAGAGATTTGTAAAAAGTTGGCTCTTTCAAAACGGAGAGAATCTTCTCCCACGAGTTGTTCTTCGCAGGTGCGGCGTTCGGCATAAACACGACCGGGTCTTCATTCCCGACACCTCCCTCGTACGAATATGACGTGTTGTTATTTATACGCGATTCGGAGAACAGCGGCTTGGGGATCGGTACGTAGTTGTCTTCGAATGAAGCGTGCGAATTATGATCTAGGTCGTTGCTGAATTCGATCGCGAAAGTTTTGTGCAGTTCAGTGCGCGCCGTTCTCGGCGTGGTGGATTCGTCAAATGTCTCCCAGTGTCTCGCAGTTCCATTCTGGCCCACTGCATCCGGAGGATTGCTGACGGAAGGTGTCCCACTTTCCATTTGGGACGCTCTCGGATTCTGCAACTCTGTTGTGTTTTTGGCGAAAACGTCTTCTTCTTCATCCGAAAGTCCCTTGTGATTGATTTGCGTTAGATAAAATCTATTCTATGCGTAGGTACTTACCCTGATTAATCTGTATCTCTGACTGGCCGATTTTAGATAGTTCGGTTTTCGGAACGCGATGCTCAGTATTACTCCTTGTAGCAGAATTGCTTGATACCATGTGATGATGTGTAAAAGATCACTTTGTATTATAGTGTGCCCTAGAGCAATTGGGGTGATAATGAAGCCTACGGCTTCACCCAAGTACATTATTGTACGAACTAATTCCAGTTTTAATTTAAAATATTGCAGGAGAAGGATGTCCACTTGTGCTAATATTATAGATGCACCTCCACCTAAAAATATTCATTATTAATTGGTGTAATGGTGGGCTTATACAGTCATTATCTTTAGTTCACGAGCATTTAAATCATAAGAAACAGCCAATGGAATCAAACGTTTATTGTGCGGCCTCAAAGAACGAAACCTTGATCTAATAACGGGCGATCAAAAATAAGTTGCCGTCAAGTCGCCTTTGGAAGTTTAAGTTAAATACGATTTCCCATGTAAACCAAAATTCCAAAGGTCACTCGACAGCAACTCATTTTTGATCGCATGGTACTATTATAGTGCCACAAGCAATTTTTATGTGCACTAATATTTTGGTTGGTTAAAGGTGTATAACGGGTTATATCTCTGTAATTACAAGATAGTCTTGCAAGACGAGCAGGCGTTGCGGAGTCGCCCTGGTAATATAAATGTATGATTAAATTTTTATTTTAAATCTAGAAAGGAAATTCGTCATAGTGATGCCTTAATTTTTTACCGCCCTAAATATTCGCTTCACCATCCTATGCGTAGGTAAATGTACCCTTGATTTTCGAAATATATTTTGCCCAGAACTCCAACCCCTTACCAAAAGATATTGTTAGATATTGTGGTGGTTTACTTGATATTATCACCACATCCTATACATCCAATGCTATTATCGACTCTTACTCGACTGTAAATAACAAACCAAATACTTCAATGACGGAAGTTGTGCAAGTTGTCATTTGCGTTATCGTTTTTAAACGGAACGGAAGTGGTTTTTGATCTAAATTATTATTTGTTTATTTAAGTCAAATTAAAGATTAGTCCTAAGCATGCTTTATACATTATAGTCGTTACTCGTTTGATAAAGGGAACATTACAGTTCATGTTACATTTTTTTAAGATAAACTACTCTTAAATTAGTCAGCAATTAGGTAGGTACTACCATTTTGTCCATCCGCGTGACGAGTGAAATTTACACATTTACACATTAAAAGAAAGTGATTCGCCCTAAAACATCTTAATAAAATTCAAATAATATACGGGAGCTTCTTTTTTTTAGTGCGCTTTCATTTTCAAAAAATAAAAAGTGCTCTTTTGCGCTCTTGATGTTTGTATGTCTATCTGAGTCACAAAGGCTCCGGAACTACATCACTTATAGACTTGGTATTAGTGTCATTCGATCAGAAATTCAAAATTATTTCATGTTCATGTATTCTCGTTAAGACATGAAAGGTCCATAAGGGCTATTAAAATCGGACAAACAAGCGGCTTAACGATTTTTTTAAATTTTTTTTTTCAAAAATTCAAACATTGATACCTAATATACACGGTGTCCATTTTTCGAATGCCACTATGGGGATCTCGCTTATTAAATGAGGGCAAAGTTGCGAATTTTTGTGCTGAGTAATAATCTGAAAACAAATTTAAAATATCTTCAATAGTTTTGAAAATATCGCAAAAATCATTAATTTATTTAATTTTTTCGTGGTAAACGAATCGTACCTACTAGACATTTCTAATTAACACATTATTCAGACAGTTTTTAATGACGATTTTGGATATAGCATCCCGTTTTTAATAACTTTTAAGATGACAGGGACAGGGACACACGTGTGGCAACTTTAATTTTTCTTATGGGTGCTGTTTTGGATGTTGACATTTTAAGACTACGTCTTTTTTCTCTTTATATCACACGTGGTGGTTCAGGATCACTTATTTTCCTAAAAATACAATTTTCATTTTTTGCGAAGGGTGCTTTGCAAAAACGAAACCTTCTTTGTTTTGAACAAAAGGTTGACTTATTTCAAGTAGTGTCATTCACATTAGTGCTAGTTTTATTGCGAAAATATTAGTTATTCTTATGTATTTTGTTCTAATTTGAATTATAATTTTCTTGCAAAACGAAGGTTCAATTCTGTACAGATGAAAATCGAATTTTCTCAACACAACTAGTTCCCTGCCAACGCCAACCAGACAAATGGATCAAGCTGTCAAACTTTTGTTCACAATAAAATAACGTTTTGTTTTTCCAAAGCACTCTTCCCAAAAACTTAAAAAATAAATGTTTAGGAAACATGTGATACTGAACCTCCATGTGTGATATATCCTTGTAAAGAGAAAAAAAAACGTAATCTCAAAATGTCAAAATACAAAATGGCACCCATAAGAAATACTACCCAGATTGGGTATGGTTCATTTTCGTGAGCGCAGTATTTCTCGTTTCGTAAAATTCCATACAAACAATCCTAAGTACATATAAGATTCTTTGTAAATTGAAGACCTTTCTATGTATCAAAAATTAGGGTTAATATTATGTAGATGCAGATAAAGGTATTGGAGGTATTTTCAGTATTGCTGGTTACGGAATACGGAGTATCTATTTATTTAAACAAATTGTCCGTCCTACTTTTTTAAACAGTGGTACGAGACCAGGCAGAGAAATGCTTATCGCGTTTTTATTTATTGCCAAACATCCGGAGCCCCGACATTCGTTATTTTTTTTCTTAACGTACAGCTTGACCATCTATTTTCGATCGCATCAAATTCCTCAGTTTTGTACAGCAGTGCTGCCGAAAGCAGCGAATGTTTCTATTACCAAAATCGTGTCGCTAGGAACAACACTTTATCCAAAGAATACAATAGTTACTCTTTGCTTTATCATAACATGGTCTGTGGTGATCAGAGCCCAACATTTCAAATCGCCCTTTCTAGACCATTATAGACTCGCTTGGAATTTTTAAAAAATTGACCTTTTTATAATCTCCAAAGCTCGTCAGGATGCACCATCCTGTTGAACGCCTTATCGTAGACTATCGTACATAGTTCTCATTTTCCAGGAAATTTGTGCGATAGATAAACTCGATGTTGAAAACGAACCTGGTCTACGGTCTTGTGTTTTTGGTTTATGGGCAAAAGTTGCAACCCCAGTTGCACCAACAAAAATAAGCTTTGCTTAAAGTTAAGTCGAACTTAAAATCTATGGCAAGGATTATTAAGTCCCAGCGCACACGGAGCGACTGTTCTGCAACTACAGTCGCAAACCAGTTGCGCGTCAATGCCTCGACAATGTATTGGAGTGGGAAAGCGCTTTCTCACTCCAATACATTGTCGAGGTCACAAAACAGTTGCACGCGCAACTGGTTTGCAACTGTAGTTGCAGGACAGTCGCTCCGTGTGCGCTGGGGCTTAATAATCTTTGCTATGGTATTTAAGTTATGCTTAACTTTAGGGATACTTAATTTTGACGGTGCAATTGGCCCGTAGTTTAAGATTTCTAAATAAAAGCCTATATCTTCTTTTTTATTAAATTATCAGAAGTGCGTGTATTGCAATAGTTTCTTTGTAATCTTTGTTGCATAATCTTCCGTTTTCAAAATAAGTAGGTATACGTGTCAGGTAAAAAAGTTATCATTTTTGAAATGGATTCAATTAAAAAAGATTAAAAAGAAGTGAAATTTTTTGGTTTTTTTAAAAAATCTTTTTTTAATATCATCCCTGGTGTGCTATAGTTTTGAAAAGCGAATTTAATATGCTGTCTGTGTAGATTAAAATACACAGGGTGTTCCATTTAAAAAAATGATGTTAGATCCGATAACTTTTTTACTTGACCCCTTACACTTATTTTGCAGACCGTAGATTATACAGCAATTATTTGGAATACGCATTTCAGATAACTTAATAAACACAGAATATATGCTTTTGTCTAAAAATCGAAAAAAACATAACTCAAAAACAAAAGGCTGTAGGCCCACTTGGTTTCAGCCTCAATTTTATCCCCAAGAAACATACCTCCCTCTAAACTGCGAGGTTCACTTATAGTTTAAGAGTTACCCAATATTAACAACCAAATTTGGCCACCCTGTACAGAGAAAATAATTTATACACAAACGGGAAAATGTCCAATTTTAATAATTGACTAATTCCGAATACCAAGCATGTTTCGTTATATGATTATTTATGAGCGTGCTATATTGCGGCAATTTTCAAGAGCGGACAAAGTATGTGGGTCGCTCTGGCTACGGCCCTGGGTCAAAGGGGCTAACAAAAGCAGAGGAGTACCTTTGATGGGTGACAATTCGCGTTGTTGCGCCCATATGGCTTCATGAACAAATATGTACGCCAGATTAAAAGTGGGCACTTGAGCAATCTACATCACGTAGGTATAGGACTATATGGAGTGAGGTGAGATAGGAGTAATTTTACTGAACTATACAAAAAATATGCAAAAAGCTGATAGTAATGATTTTAAATAAGAAACCGACAAAGAAAGAACATTATCAACTAACATGAAGGCGCCCACTTAACTTAAATCTTAATCCTCTTTGCAGATGACCGGGCACGTACATAGATACCTTTAATTTACAACTACAAAACCTTAATCTGTTTGATGGTTTGCGGCTCTGGATAGAGTATTTTATTATCCTTTTCCAGGACATGTTATTTTTGTTTGTTCAACAATCTCCAAATACTTCCGGGCAGGACCGGATTTAATGCTTGCGATCCCCTAGGCCCGAAGAAATTTGCCGCCCGTAATTAATGAATGGGTAGGTACTTGAATAACCTATAAACACGGGGTTTAGACCCAGGGCACAGAAAGTCCCTTATAAAAGTTGAAGGCACACAAAAGACTATCGAATAGCGAAATAAAATGGTGGTAGTTCCATTAAAAAAAATAGTTATAGCACTTAGGATTTAGAAACTTTACCATTTCATAGTGAACACCCTGTATCACTAAATCTAACTTTCGCATTGCCAAAGATGTTGCCTTTTGCTCGGATTAACATTATTACTCAAAGGATCAAAAAGAGAATGGATTTCAATGCGGTTAACAAATGGCATCGAAACAACTAAAAATATACAGCGTGTTCTATTTTTAAAAATCAGTTATTTATTTACACCGTCAAAATGTGTACACCCAGTACATTCAAAAATATTTTCACAGACGCACAGCCATCTCTATAGTTGACATTTGCACAAAAGGTTTTTTTATATGCACTTATTTACCCAGGTACGAGCTAGAAAAGACCGACGTACTGTTGCAGAATGTATAATTAATCCAACCATTGAATTTTATAAATTCAATGATCCAACTCTTTTTTTTATTAAGCTGAAATGATCATTATAATTGTGCATTTTTAATTTGAGAAAATTGGTTTGGCAACCGTGCGCCCTTAGGCCCGGACCTTGTGGTAAATCCAGCCCTGCTTTCGGGGTACGTTTTTGTTACAATATATATTTGCGAGTACCTTTTAATGATTTATAAAAAGTGGCCGGTACACCCCCAAACAGCTTTCATTACAAGAATAAACCAAAAGATGTGCAATGTCCGCCATGCTATGCTTACAACTGTAGTGGTCCACAGGAAGTGGCCCGCTTTAAAAATTTCAAATTCTCAATTCGCGCTCTGTCTTCATGACGTCACCCAGTTACTTCTACAGCGAAAGAGGGGGAAAATGCAACTAAGTGAAATTTCCCTCCAATACCATCCCCGCCTTTCCCGACCCTCACCCGACAGTTTATTCAATTCATTCGCGTCACGCCGTTTGTTAGTGCCAGTGCGATAGCAGCAGTTATCATTTTCTTGTTACTTACCGGCAAAGATCCCCGCCAAAACGAATAGGGACGAATTGCTCGCGTTGCCGTTTATTGTGGGCCATATTAACAAAATACCACCACAGGTTAAGCTTGTTCCGGCAGTCGCAACCAGCCTGGGCCAGGTGCTATTCAAAGCAAGAAGTCTCGCTAGCGGTGCTAAAATTTGGAAATTTCCAGTTAGAGAGGGAATAGACGGGGTGAGTGCAATTTTGTTTTGTTAAAGTTACGAATAAGCGTTATTTTTGTTTGCAATTTGAAATGTCGTTTTATCTGGTTTCTAGAGCAGCACGCCGCAATAAAGATAAAAGTGTGCATATTTTTTGCTTTCGATGCACTTATTTGATACTGCTTATTTTTAATGTGGCTTGCAGCGACTTGCTGGTACCTGCACAAATTGTTGTTGACCTTGACCAAATTTTGGGTGCGCACTTTTTGAAAAATTTCTTACCTGCAATAGTCGAAGTTGCGATAAAAAATAAGGAGACGTATGCTATATTGTTGTCCCATAAAACAGCCTGCTCGTAGTTACCATTTGCCACCCTTGAGAAGAGTAAAAATATTCCTAATCCCACCGGTATACTCGGAACCAACACCTATATCGGGCAGAATTACTTCTACGGGCGTTAGTCTTTTCAAAGGACTCACGTGAAAAAACGCGGAAGCGACGACAATGACCCATCCGTATCCGCCGTCGGGAATATTAGGTCCCAGTTCCGGCTGGCTGGCCAGAATATTATCAATGTGCATTCGATTGCGATTTTCGTTACCTCTTTCTTCCATTATTCACATACTCACTTGACACGGTGAACAAATTGAGTCACAAGTAATCCACCATTATCTTATCTTAGATAGGTAAATTCATTTATCTGTTAAAAGGGCGGCGTACTTCTGCTTTCAAAATTTGATAATGATGGCGGAATTTTCTGTAACTCTATTGATCATTTGCAGAATTTGAATTGGCAGCGTATTTTTGAATTATCAGAATATTTTGGCGGGTACATTTTAAATTTTAGTTTTGTATTTGTAGAGTGCGCGGGTGTTGCTTCCGGCAACTCTCGGTGAAATTCGGGTAGGTGGCGTCTGGCATTAATTTCATTGTCCATGTGTATTGCAAAACTTCTACGAAACGAACACGAAAGATGATACAGTTGGGCATCGCATTTTTGTAATGATCTACAAAGAGTAAACTTATTTTGGCCACGTTTATTAATTCGGTAAGTTTGCTTTTTAATTAAATGTTCTACGTTTTGATGCGAGTTGGTAACGCCTTTCAAATGTTCTTTTGAAGTGTTTGTTTTTTGTGTAACGGAATTGAGATTGTTTGTCGGCCATTACGGTTCGAGGTTCATCGCGTGGCTTCTCGCGTTATACAGTTTTTGCCCCTATTACTCAATCCTAATTGTTCGTAAGTAAACAAACACTGAAGTTTTGCAATTACGTATAATTTCCCAACATTGTCTTGTTTATTACAAATTTCTCTTTTGCTCTTATTAGTTGTAATGGATCAGCAAAGAGGACGAGGACGAGCAAGGGGCCGTGCCAGGGGAGCTGGCGATCAGGCAGGTGGTCCTCCGCAGCCGAGGGCGCAACAAGCTCCAAGAGCGCGCGGTCCGCCGGGTCCGCCACAATCTCGCGGTCCTCCGCCGGGCATGGCTGGACCACCTCCGCAACAAGCTTGGGGACAACCGACACAGGTCATGCAGCAAGCGCGTGCACCTCACCCAAGTCAAACTGTAAGTTTTTTTCCAATAGATCTAGGATTAAATCCGTTTTACAAAACACTCGTTCTTTGGTTTACGCACCTATTGAATGGTTCACTAATTCGTGACCGTCAATTGCAGCTTAATTTCCAAATAGCTCATACTTAGAGCTTACGAAGGTGTTTATTTATTTATTTATTTACGTTTATTGATCTCATACACGAAAACAAAAGTAAGAGATACGTCGATTAAATTATTGGAATTATTGATACAGAAAATCAGATATATTATAGTAACAATTGTGGATTAACATGTGCTTTAATCTATCTTTGAAGCTCGCTTTTGTTGGTGCATCTATTATCTCCTTGGGCAGTTTGTTATAGATCCTAATCGTCATACACTTAAAACTGGCATCAGTTAGCCTTAATCGATGTTGTGGTAATAGTAACTTCTTGCCGAATCTTGTACATCTCCCGTGAATGGCTAGGTTTGTACGAAATTTGTTGAGGTTCCCTCTGACATAGTTAGCCGCCTCATACAGAGAGGGTAATGTCAATATGCGTTCTTGAAATAATGGTTTGCAGGATACCCCACTTTTGGCACCCACCAAGCATCTTATAATTTGTTTTTGACTAACAAAGACACTCTTTCCATAGTTTGAGTTACCCCATAGCAGTATATCATATTGCAGCCTGGACTGGACTTCAGCATAGTTAAAACTCTTAAGAGTGCTGATATATAAGAAGGTACGAAGAAACCTGACCTGGTAGCAGACAGAGCTTAATTTATTTATAATATTATTGCAATGGCTTTCCCATGTTGTAGAACTGTCTAAATGAATTCCTAGAAATTTTGCGTTGGTCACTTGGTGTATGATATTATTGTTTGTCCGTAGCAAGGCAGTATCTTCGTTATAGATTCTACCCGCATAGACTAACATAAAATACGTTTTATCAGTATTCAGGTATTCCGTATTTGAGCAGAACCATTTAAAGAGCGGCTCCAGTACATCTGTGGCATGACTGATGACATCTTCCAGTGCAACTTCTCCTAGCAAAATAGATGTGTCATCTGCATACATGGTAATTGCTGCATCAGCAATATATAGAACTAAATCGTTCACGAAAGTAATGAATAATAGAGGTCCCAGAATGGAACCTTGCGGGATTCTAATATTGACATCTTTCACATTTGAAGTAATATGGTGTCCACCAGTCGTACCAATTGAGTGCGATGATGTAAATAGGATTTGCACCATTCTTGAGCAATACCTCTAATTCCATACATATGCGTTTATGTACAAGGATGTCATGTGGGCCACAGTCAAAGGCACGGCTCAGATCACAGAAAATTGCAAGAGGATTTTCTTTATTTTCAAGCATTTTCAGAAGGCTGTTGTAGAAACTCATAAGAGCTGTCATTGTAGACTTGTTTTTTGTGAAAGCATGTTGGTTCCTTGCAATAATGTTGTATTTTGTATAAAAAGCAGTTATCTTTTTAAGCATGGCATATTCTAAGATCTTAGACAACACAGAGAGCAACGAAATCGGCCTGTAGTTTGACACAAGCTGAGGATCTCCTTTTTTAAAAATAGGAACAATAGCAGCCGTTTTTAGTACCGCTGGAAAGTGACCATTCATTAGCGATTCATTTACCAGATAAGTTATTGGTGCTAGTAGTTGGTGCTTGGCTCTTTTAATAAGAACCACAGGAAAACCATCAGTACCACAGGAGGTGGTATTCTTCAGTTTGGAGATGATTGCATCAATTTCTGATTCAGTACAGGGTATGATGCCCATACTGTTAGGATTGAATTGCATATGCTCAGCACTAAATTCAGAATATGGAATTTTACCAGATATTTCAGATGGCGCCCTTATAAAATAGTTGTTAAACAACTCAGCTACAGCGTGCGGGTCCTCAATCAATTTGCCCTCCACTTTTAAAGGCGGAATATTGACTGTTGTAGTAGTTTTTCCTTTGAACTTATTTATTATGGTCCAGGCAGCCTTTCCCTTATTTGAGGAATTGCTCAAAATGGAATTACAGTGGGTTGATAACTGGGAGTTGATTAAGTCTGAGTGTTGTCTTTTCTTAAGGTTATAAATTGGTTTTAGGACTGGGAAATCTCTACAGAGTATACAGAGATCATTGAGATTACGACTTGAGTGAATTATTTCAGTGCTGATATAATGAGCTAACGTATTTTTCTTTTTAATTTTACTCATTGGGAAACACTTGTCGAAATGCATATTTAGCAGTTTAACAAAGGCATGAAATTTATCACTTACTGAGGTCGCGTTATACATCTGATCCCAGGTCTCACCCGTAACAGCTGTATTAAACTTAGAGATTCGCGTGGTATTGTTTAAGCACCGAGACATTACACAGCGGTTATCTTCAGCTTTTACAGGAATTTCACTAGAGAGCAGAATTATTTTGTGGTCAGATAGATAAGTGTCTATTAATAAGGTCTCATATTTGATTTCACAGCTTATGAAGATATTGTCTATAGTAGTTGCTGAGGAACTGGTTACACGTGTCGCACTTAAAACTGTTTGTACAAGATTATATGACTTCATGAGGTTTAGTAAACTACATTTTAGATCAGAGTACCCAGCGAGGTCAATATTAAAGTCCCCACCTATGATTATATGGTGGTTATTATTGTAAACTGCATGCAATACATCGTTCAAACTGCTAAGAAATTTTTTAGAGTCACCCGACGGTGCGCGATACACAATTATCACCAACACTAAACCAAATGTCTTATTAAACCATTTAGCACCACAAATTTCTAAGTCCTGTTCACTACAATAACTTTTTAGATCTAATTCCACAGCATTGACACCGCGGCTCCACAAAGATACACCACCACCTCTTAGATTAGAGCGACAGAAGCCGCTTACTAGCTTATAATTATTTATAAAATTACATGGTAGAGTTACATCCCCTAACCAATGCTCCGCGAAAGCAATAAAGGGTGCATTGATTGCTTTTTCATGCATCAACGCATTGAAGCATGAGATTTTGTTGTTTAGGCTTCGGATATTCATAAAGAGGAGAATTTGTTGTTTTGCCTTACTGGGTTGTAGGTGTTGGCCCCGATTTGTGATACTCTCTTTATTGTAGTTCATGCAAAATCCGCACCACGTGGAATAATATTGGGGTGTTTCGTGAAATCGAACCGTTTGATTCCTACTCCGGCTGGCCAGAGTTTGATGTCATATAGAGCATCCTTTAAATTGAACGGAGCTGATACCACGAATCGCTTTAATCTGCCCTGATCCGATGGAATTTCTTTAACTTCCACTTGAGATTCCTTTAATTCATCCTTATTTTTCAAGTACTTGAGAATCATATCCTCATCTACATGAGCTTGCACCCTATAGATATACAGCCACACCTTTCTTTGTGCTCCATTGAAACCTTCACTCGAACATTCAGCTGTACCTACACGTTTCGGGAACCTCCTCCTTGACGTATTGACTTTTTCCTCTTGCGCATTAGTAGTTTCTAGTGCATTGTTAGGTTGTGTAACACTGGTAGTATCCTTTGCCCTATTTCTGGTTTTACGTTCAACTGTCTTCCACAGACCCTTGTTTTCTCCTTCAGATTCAATCGATCTATGGGATATTGCTGGTGAGATGGTTTGTTGGGGTGTTGATTTGCTTAAGTGAATGACAGTGTTCATAATATTTTTTTGTGCTATTTCTAAATCCTTTGTATTTTGATTAGGCGTTTTGGACTGCTTCCCTATCATTTGTTTATTTTCAATTGCATTTGGAGTTATTGAATTAGATAAGTTGGGTTTTATCAGAATGTCTTTGTAATTCATTTCACTAGATTTGTTAGGTTCATGGTCGTTTATATTACGATTGTACACATAGGAACTCAAATTATTTATTTCATGTGATAAGGTGCTTATCTTCTCGTTGACAAAAAGTTTTATTTCGTTTGTAAAAGCTTCTGACATTTCTTTGAAAGAGAGAATGCTATCTGCATTCTCATGCTCCTTGTTTTTGAGGTGAGTAATTTCTAGCTCAAGGAGATCAATTTTTTCTCTGAGTAATCTCTCTTTTTGTCTTAGGTCATAATTCATTTCTTTCAACAATTTATTTTCAAAAAGTAATGCTTCTTCGACAGTAGAGTCACTTTCTTCGTATTCTTCAGGATTTGTGTTTACGTTGGGGTTATCATCTTCATTTGTTGGATTTTCACAACATTTTTTAGATTTCTTTTGGTAACAGCTTTTGTGAAAATAACTTTCACAGTTAGAGCACTTAACTTTTCTTAGTACCACTGTTTTTTTACAAAATCCACATTGATGCTCAGAAGGTTCACCTTCATTGCCCACCATTTTGAATTTTTTTGTACCTTCAGCTTGGTTAGCTTAATTGTTGAGTGGCCGATTTTCACATTTTTGACGGAATACTTGTCAAGTACCGTGTAATGAATAGATTCTAAAATTAGCATCTTGCGGGGGTCATTTGAGCGGAGGTTGAACTATCACGAAACAGTGCTAGGTTTACCGAACGGTTACTGAAATTGGTTTTGTTTTGGTAAACATAACCTCAATTATATATTAACAAATATACCATTTAATAAATGAGCACTTCCATTCCCACATAAGGATTTATTTTACGAAATTCTTAAGTTAAATTAGCTCTTCTCCAGGCAAGTCAAGATTGTAACATAACCGGGCTTACCAGATCCCATGTATTTAATGTAACGGTTGAATTTCCGTAAATATATATTATTAAAACACGAATCCTGCATGAATCTGAGAAATGTGTCTGGTAAGTCTCTTCTCAAATCTCTCATTGAGGTCTCAGCCACACATTTATAGCGTTTTCGATTGGTAAAACTCGTGCTGCACGAGTGTTGCACGAGAAACTGAAGAAAATATTTGTTGTCATTTGTCCATAACCTCATTATAGATTTAGATAATCGACAAATCTCTATTCTAAAAAATGGCTGAAATGATTTCAGTATTATTTATGATAAACGATGAGGAGTGCACTCCACATAATTTTTGTCATGTTTGCAAATCTACCTACGCGCGGTAATTGCTAATAAGCACTCTATGTAGTCAGGTGCGCATGAAAGCAAAAAGATGTGTGATTTCGTTGTCAAGATCAGGGCAGGACTGAATGTGAAAGCAAATTTTGGTAAATTAAGCTCAACCACTATATAGACCGGGAGGCAGCGTACATGGTAACTAAACCATAACCGACAAAATATTTGACAATTCACAGGGTTGGCAAAACGAAAAACCCATTTTAAAAACCCACCCAACGACCTATACAAAAACCCATACAAAAGCCCAAAGAATTTGAGACAGGAGACAAAATCGAGATAATTTTTATATAGTATTTAATAACAAAATACAGGGTGATTCCTATAGTACCTGCCACCGTTTGGGAGCGTGTAGGTGGTGCGTAGGGGAGTATTTTGATATAGGACACTTGGGGTCGGATATCTAAAATAAGGGTGCCAGAGCCAAATTTACCTTCTGGAATTTCGCGCCTGTAGGTAGGCAACCCAACCGGCCGGCGGTGCACACGGAGCGATCTCAGGCGGCGATGTGTGGCTGACACTTGATCAGAATTTTGTTTAAACCCACGAAATCCCGTCTGCAACGACGCGTATCAAGTGAATAAACACTATGGCAATAGTATAATAATAGTTGGCTAGATGTAGGAAGTGCATTGAGAACAACGGTGGCCACGTTGAACACTTGTAAACGTTATTGCTTTTGACTGTCGTTTTCCCTCCTTCCCTCCCATGGCGCTTCCTCGCGCTAACTCGCTCTGCATCGCTCCGCGCGAAACGTCGGTCGGTTGGGTTGCCTACATACAGGCGTGAAATTCCAGAAGATAAATTTGGTTCTGGCGCCCTTATTTTAGATTTCCGACCCCAAGTGTCCTATATCAAAATACTCCCCTAGGCACCCCCTATACGCTCCCAAACGGTGGCAGGTACTATAGGAATCACCCTGTATAATGTAGTTCACTAGGAAACAGGCAGGTACTGATAGATCAGTTTTTATATTCTTATTCCTAGCTTCAAAAAAAATTTACATTAAAATATAAAATACAAAATGGTTTATTAATTAGGAACAAAATAAAACAAAAATAATAATTAAAAACCTAAAACAACTTTTTCTCTTTTTTAAAGTGGCTCATTTTTATTTTTTTTTACAAGCTTTTCTACGTTATCGGGCAGTAACTTATTCCGAAGATCAGTCCACAGTTCCGGAAATTCGACAAATACCCATAAATTACCCAAATACCCAAGAAAATTAAGATGGCAGACGGTTTCAAGTGCAGCGTTGGTGGCGACAGACGCCCTTCAATGTAGGGACAAACCCCTGAACATCTTTGATCTTTATCTCCGATGACTAATACATCATGGCGCCTCAATGTATATCGAGAATTCTTGAATACTAGCTACATTTTTTTCAAAAACGGTTATGAAGGTCAACTTTTTTGAAAAATATACAGGGCTTTCCAGTATACAATTACCAAATTTGCATTTTTTTCCAAGTTTGCGATATTCAGTTGTTTCTTTACATATCATAAACCTCACAACTTTTGTATTGAAATGTTTTTCATAACATAATAACTGTACAGGGTGTCCTATTAATAAAGGTTACAGGCTATGGAACCGTTAAATGCACAGCTTGGGGATACATTTTGTAAGCAAGAGAAATCTTTTATTTTCAAGTTCCTAGGTTTGCTGCTAGTGGGCGTACAATTCATGATTAAATAGAAAAATAATTCTTTCCTAAGTTATAATTATACCGAACAAACATGCATCACAATCTCTTGTAAAGTTTAAGGAGTTGAATGTAACTTCAGTATTTTGCTGCTAAAAATACACATGGATCGCTTCTTGGGCATCTACCAAACGAGTTTAAGTTTTTTCCCCAAGAAAATGAATGTGTAAATAACGATTTTGACATCTTTTGAAGAAAAATATTGGTCAAAAATACATGTTTGAATCGAGTTTGGTCTTTTTCTCAATTGGTGCATAAATAAGCATTTACACTGATTTTGGGCAATAAAGTTATATGTACAGTGTATAAAGCGATTCGGTATACAAGAGGGAATTTTGTTTTAAATATTGATTTATGAAAAAAATTTATTCTTCATATTTTTTTGCTTGCTTTGAAAGTACCAATAACGTTTCGATAATCTAAAATTTATTTTTAAAAATCTGAAAAAATAATAAAATTAATTTTTTTATTGAAAGTTATTCTAAATTATAATCAAGATAGCGTATTGCTATCAAACCACAAACAATCGAAACGTTACTGGTACTTTCAAAGCAAGCAAAAAATATTATGAAGAATAAATTTTTTTCATAAATCAATATTTAAAAAAAAATCCCTCTTGTATACCCCATTGCTTTACACACTGTATATAGACGCTACAGTATGTTTTCTATAAGTATGGATTACTTCCGGTTTATCACTTCTGGTAGCGTCTCCACGGAAAAATTTTAGGTGGCTCCATATTTAGTATTGATTCTGGCAATTTTTTTACTTATGCCGCATTACTATATAAACTTTTTCAAGCGGTGCGTGGCAAGTTACATTGATGACTACAGGTGTCTATACTGTTGAGTTGAGGCATTATTGTGTTGCAGTATTGCAATCCATCAATGGTTTCACCACTGTTATCCACATTTTTAATAAATATGGCATAATTACATAGACCATCCAAATTTTGCATTACATTATTTCATTTTTGATAGATTTACTGCCAATCCTGCAGGAGATATACATTTGACTATTTAATGCATATTTTATTCTCAAAAAGGAGCGTGATGCTTTCACTGACTGTTTACATTTGATTTTAGCATCCTGTTGGAGGACGAGCTACCCATCGTAGCGACGCTCCTAGTGCAGAAGCACAGCATTCGGGTACAAGTAAGTAGAACTTATTTTTTATAAATTGCGCTTGTAGCAAGAGCAAAATGTTACTAACTACCTGTGGAATTGCAGTTGGTGGTGATAATGGTAATGGTGGAGATAATGGAGCTGCGGGAAGACGTGGTAATATGCGTGGACGTCGTCAGTTACACGTAGGCGGTACAATCATGCGCACTCGTCCTGAAGCTCTTCCGACGAAGAAAGGTATGATACAATATTTGGCATGACCACGATTAGTTTATTTCCTCCTACAGGTACCCATGGAAATCCGGTCAAGTTATGTGCAAATTACTTTAAATTACTCCAAAAACCAGATTGGTCTTTGTATCAATATCGTGTAGATTTTTCCCCAGAAGAGGATCGAACCAATGTAAAAAAAGGCCAGTTCCGGCGAGCCACTAGAGAGGTGTTGACCGGTTACATTTTTGATGGCACAGTTATGTTTACACCAACCCGACTCAATCCAGATCCGATGGAATTATTTATTAAGGATGAACGTAAGGCATTTTGACCAGTTTTTGTTGTACTGTGTTTTTTTGGTGTTTATAGATACCAATGCTGATGTTAGAATAAGTATTCGATTAGTGAAAGACGTTGCGGCAGGCGATTACCAATACCTGCAACTTTTTAACATTATCATGCGAAAATGTCTCTCCCATTTGAACCTGCAGTTAGTAGGTCGCAACTTTTTTGATGCTGTTGCCAAGGTATCGTATAAGAATTAATTGTAATCAAACAATTTTAAATACGAAAATTCTATGCTATACAAATTTGCTTTTTTTTTTTAAATTACGTCGTTATAATTTGGTTTTTTAAATGGGCGGGGTTTCACCAACCCAACCCATTACACATTATTACAAATATCCAGGCCCAAACCAGGGGCCGTCAATTGAGCTTCTAACTTCACGGCGCCAATCGGGTCGGGTAAATAGTTAATGCAGAATTATCTGTTATTTCTCAATCGTATGTTAATTTGTCAAGTCATACATTTGCTTTGATATCTCTGAAACAAACAAGAAATCGCCTGTAAATTATGTAATATTCTCTGAACATCCTGTATGTATTGGGGAACTAGTTTGGGACAGTACTTGATTAAAATGCAGACTAGTTCCTCATTTTGGAGCCCACTGACAGTGTCAGACACACATTATAAAATGATATATCGCATTATTCTGTGGCGTTTGGTCTAATGAGTTTTTGCAAGTCACTTTATTTTGGCTTATTTTTTTCCATATATAATAATTAGGGATGTTACGGAAGTGGTTATATCAGAACCGAATTCGGAAATTTGGTTTATCCGAACCGGAGAAAGAGAGAGGAAAAAGCAAACTTGAACACAACAACTAACAAAGTGTAATCAACAGAAGGCGCGGGGTGAGGGAGGAGTGGGACAAATATAACCTTGTTCGTACGCAAATGCCTTGATTGCCGCGACTGCGCCGCCACTGTGCCAGCCTCCGATGTAACTTTCAATTATAGTTTGTCGGAACCGACATCGGAAGTCCCCACTTTCAGAATCAGCATCAAGCCTCCGTAACATCTCTAGTAATAATGCACTAAAATGTTCCAATCACTCCAGGTATTAGTATTGCTCCAAATTCTACAGGGGAAACAATCTTCAACCTTTGGGTCCAAATCTGTGTACAAAAAAGTGTTGTAAGGTAAGCATTAATAAATGCTAAAAAAAAATCAATGGTGTTTCTTTAAATAATATGACAATACATGCAGGACATGGAAGCATTGTTAAATTGCCAGTAGGCTCCAAAATGGCGGACGAGTTTGCTGCCCTGTGTATACGTAGTACCTATGTCCTAGGCATTATGGCACAATTTGTACATGATCGATACCGTATCTCATTGGCCGGTCCTTTAACACAAAGAAAAAGCAAAACAAATTTGTATAGCATTTAACCTTAATATTTATTTAATATTCTATTGAAATTTAGGTGTCTATACCAGAACATCATATGGAGTTATGGCCCGGGTATGTCACTTCCATCAGACAACACGAGAACGATATTTTAATGTGTGCAGAAATAACACATAAAGTTATGCGTTATGACACAGTTTTACAATTATTGAACGAGTGTGTCGAATCCGACAGGAATAATTATAAGACACTTTTCCAAAAGAGAATTATCGGCAGCGTCGTGTTAACGGAATACAATAATCGTACTTACCACATTGACGATGTTGATTTTAACACCTCGCCTTCGTCAACGTTTAATAAGCGAGATGGAACATCAATCAGTTTTGTCCAATACTTTAAAGACGTAACGTAACTAAATGATGATGTTCGTTATTTAATTTGGCTTTGCAGAGATACAATTTGAATATTAGCGACAAAAGACAACCCATGTTGGTATCCCGCGCGAAGGCACGCGAAATTCGTTCCGGCATGGCGGAGATGGTGTTTTTGGTGCCAGAATTGTGCCGCATGACCGGTCTAACTGATTCACAACGTGCGAACTTCCAATTGATGCGTGCCTTGGCCGATCACACTAGAGTTGGTCCAGGAGCAAGAATTCAAAAATTGTTGGCGTTCAGTCAACGCTTGCGATCAAAGCCAGAGATCGTTCAAGAACTGCAACAGTACGATTTGGCTCTTGCAAATAATTTAGTGGAGTTTGCAGGTGAGTAACAAAGTGGTTTGGTGGAAGCAATTGATGCCTATTTAAATATTGATAAAAGCACCACAATATGATGTGTTTATCCTATTGTTTCTTATTCAATGCATCGTTTCTATTATTTTGTTTGTCATTTGTGGTTCATACGAAGTTTAACTAGATCTCACACCACAAAATGGTTTTATAAGTAGTTTCCTTCGGAAAAAGTTAACTCCATCATTGATCAGAAATTAAATGTTGTTAAAAGTTGTTTGTGCAATTTGTAGTTGCCTTCAGAAACGTTTATTAATTCAAATACAGATCTTTCCGAGTGCTCATTTTTGTACCATTATACAGGGTCATTCTTGAAGAGTGTCAGTTAGAAAGATATGGAGAACCTTTGAAAATGAAACTAAACAGATAAGCCCTTTAAGCGTTTTGGCACATGATGAACTAAAATATTTTCAAGATGGCACCACTTCCGCAAATACCGGCAGCAGCCATCAACTTTGTTATTTTAAATAGAGACCCCCTATTTTTTCTACATTTTCGGATTCTACGTCGAATTTGGAGTACAACGATACCCCACAGTTGACCCTTTGCTCCAAGGGATTTCGTTGATATTCAAGTTTTTATGTCAAAAATTGAATTTGCTGGGGTAATTTAAAAAATTTATTATTCAAAAACGGTAAGAGATGTTGCAAAACAGTTTTCACTGCTTTATTAAGGAAAGATTGATATTTTCTTATGGTATGCGTAACCATCTATAAAATTGAGACTACGTCACTTTTTCAAAGCTCTAAATTTTTAAACATCCGTAACACCATTTAATGAGATTCAACTGCCTTTTATTATACAATAATTCTAACGACCTTCGCTTAAATTGCAATGTACAGTGTGTACATTTTTAACTCTGAACATACAACTCTCCTATGTTCAGTTCTTAATGAACAGACCAGAAAAAGAACTTGCCATGTTTTAATGATAGAACTGAAGTTAAATATTTTAACGTAGGTAGAAGAAAACCCAATTATCACCACTGTTTGTAATTTAGCTAGAGACAATTCATAAGTGGCATATCAATGCATTGACATGTGTATTTAAAAATTGAACATAGGAGAGTTAAAATTTACATACTATACAGGATGTTTTTTTGGGAGCTTTAGTTAAACGTTTCTGGGAAAGTAAAATAGGTAGGTTTTGAAAATTTGTACTTAGGAGTTACTCTGAAGGCCGAATCGATGTAAAATATTTTCAAAATGGCCGCACTTCCGGAAACACCGGAAGTAGATAGTAACTTCGTTATTTTAAATGGCAACCCCTATTTTTATTGCATTTTTGGATTCTACGTAAAATTTCAAATCTTTTGATACCCATATGTCGATATCTGCAATTTATGGTTTTTAAGTTATTTTGACTTTAAGAAAAAAAATGGCGGATGCAGACGGTACCTTGATAATTGATTACTTGAAAACGGTTGTAGTCATGGCAACCCATTTTTATCAGTGCATAGAAAATGAATAGGGCTTTCTTTTAGTGTACTTAAAAAAAGTTAAGTTGCGTACAACCGCACCTATGGAGATCCAAATTTAAGAAACTTTAAAGTCTATAAACTCAGTTTTTAGCGCATTTCCACAAAAATAATAAAAAAATGCGCTATTGTGGCCACTTCGTCCGTCCGTCCGGCTGTCCGTCCGTCCGCTCGTTTTGTGACGCTACTAGTTCTTTATCTTAAGAGCTATTGTTCTACTTTTTTCGCTATTTGGTTCGTTATGGTGTCGAGTCTTGTACCAAGGAAGGAATTTTTTCTGTACCGCTTACAAAAAAAGTTATTGTAAAAAAAACAAAAAACCGTTTTTTACATGTTCCATAATTTTACACTTTTGCCGTTTATTAACGATCCTAGAGATCGTTTATAATTTTGCATTGCTATCTGTCGTCTGCCTGTTGGTCTGTCCGTCTGTTCCTTTGTCTGTCTGTCCATCTATCTGTCCGTGTGAACGATAACTTTGTTTAGAAATGTTCGATCACTTTTACATCTCCGTTAGTTATGAACTGAATTGCATGAAATTCAATATGGGCATAGCTTTAGCCATATAATACGCAACGCCAAAAGTTGAATCGAATCGATTCAAAATTCACAGTGCCCTTTTCGCATCTCGACCATTTATAAACCGAATTGCAAAATTTTTTACTTATAAAAGCATTTGAATGAAATTTGATACATAGGCACTTGGAATAAAGGAAAATCAACTGCCAATTTCAAAATTTGGTTTTGCGCATGCGCAGTGCCAACTTTTTGATTTATGGAAGAATTTAAATGAAATTTGATACATAGGCACTTGGAATAAAGGAAAATCTAGCGCCAGTTTCAAAATTTTATTTTGCGCATGCGCAGTGCCAACTTTTTTATCTATGGAAGCATTTAAGTGAAATTTGATATTTAGGCGCTTGGAACAAAGGAAAATCTAACATTAGTTTCAAAATTTAGGTTTGCGCATGCGCAGTTCCAACTTTCTTATTTAGAAAAGCATTGAAATGAAATTCTTCTCATAAACTGACATTGAAGTAGCACGACAAAAATGGATTGCCCATGTGCAACGCTATCTTTCATATTTGTGGCCGGATTTTTACGATTTTATAGAAGTTGCATCTTACAAATGGGAAATGAATGCAAGTGGAAATGCGCTTTATGTAAATCGTTTACGATTACTTTTTAATGGAATGACCCTGTTCTTAATATTGCATGAGATAGAGAATCGAAATTGGCATATTTTGATATTACATGTTCCTATAGCTATCTTTAACAGTTTCTGACTTATTACCATTTCATTGAATTGATCTAGGAATTGATGCGATTTTTTTGCATTTTCTTTTTAGTAGTTGGCCATGATTTTATAACAATCGAATTTTAAATTTTTAAATAATTCATTAATAAGTTTTTTGTTAAGGACGGAAAATTTATGAAAAATCTAGACAGAGTCGTTCAACTGAAATGATAAAGCCCTATTCATTCTCTATGCACTGATAAAAATGGGTTGCCATGACTACAACCGTTTTCAAGTAATCAATTATCAAGGTACCATCTGTACCCGCAATTTTTTTTCTTAAAATCAAAATAACTTAAAAACCGTAAATAGCAGATATCGACATATGGGTATCAATAGAATTGCAATTTCACGTAGAATCCAAAAATGCAATAAAAAATAGGGGTTGCCATTTAAAATAACGAAGTTACTATCTACTTCCGGTATTTCCGGAAGTGCGGCCATTTTGAAAATATTTTACATCGATTCGGCCTTCAGAGTAAAGTACAAATTTTCAAAAGCCTACCTATTTTACTTTCCCAGAAACGTTTAACTAAAGCTCCCAAAAAAACACCCTGTATATTGTAATAGCAAGATTGCCAAAGACTCATTTTCCATGGAAATCTGTGTCATAAAGGCACTTTGTCTACAAAATGTCACTAGCTCCAGGTTTTAAATCTCATAAACAACAAATGATGATTTACTAACTTTGGAGGAAACTGGCCTAAAATTAATTTTTGTTTATTAGGTCGCGTGTTACCTCCAGAAAAGATCATGTGCGGCGACGGTAGATCTTATTCTGCAGGAGCTGAAGTCGACTGGACCCGTGAACTGCGCTCTAATGCCATGGTACACGCTGTGCCCCTAAACACGTGGGTGGTAGTATGTCCCAACAGAGTGAAGGATAAAGCGCAGTCGTTTGTTCAAATGCTTACTAGAGCAGCCAACGGAATGCGTTGGAATCTTCCTTTCCCTAAACTGCAAGAGATCAGAGATGATAGAACACCATCCTATATAGACGGCATCGATGCGGCAATGGCTAACCATAACCCACAACTGATAATGTGCGTCGCAACTAATAATAAAGCAGATCGCTATGCGTCTATAAAGAAAAAGTGTTGCGTCGAGAAAGCAGTTCCTACGCAAGTTATTCTGGCCAAGAATCTCGACTCAAAGGGCGCCATGTCCATAGCTACGAAAGTTGCAATACAATTAAACTGCAAAATAGGAGGGGCGCCCTGGTCTATACCGTTGCCATATAAAAATCTCATGGTAGTTGGGTATGATGTTTGTCACGATGCGAGCCACAAAGAGAAGAGTTACGGTGCTCTAGTTGCTACTCTGAACCCGGAGTGTATACGATATTTTTCGAGCGTGACCGCTCATTTCTCTGGAGAGGAACTCTCCAATGATCTCGCTCTAGGTGTTATCAAAGCTTGTCGCAAATGGGAGTCCATTAACGGATCACTGCCAGATAAAATTATGATCTACAGAGACGGCGTCGGTGATGGCCAGTTGCCGTATGTGTTTGAACACGAAGTGAAAAATGTAATGAATAAATTGGGAGAGCTGTATGGAGGTGAGAATAAAGTGAAACTATCATTTATAGTAGTTTCCAAACGTATAAACACGAGAATTTTTGCTGGTCCAAACAATCCTGCACCGGGAACCGTAGTGGATGACGTGATTACACTGCCAGAAAGGTAGGTATTGAACGGCTAAAATTTGTTTGATAATTTTTACTCTTTCAGATACGATTTCTTTATTGTAAGCCAATGTGTGCGCCAAGGCACAGTTTCTCCCACTAGTTATAATGTCATTTTCGACAGTATGGGTTTAGATGCAGATAAAATCCAAAGATTGACTTATAAACTGACCCACATGTATTTTAATTGGTCCGGAGCAGTGAGGGTTCCTGCACCTTGCCAATATGCCCATAAGCTCGCTTTTTTGATTGGGCAATTTGTTCAAAGGAACCCAAGTCCTGATTTGGAGAATGTGTTGTATTACCTATAATATCTTACTACTTATGATTTGTGTTTTGTTTTTATAAGCTTCACTTTATTTCGTAGAATTTTCTTTTATTTTTCCTTTTTTCGAAACACATTTAGGTTTTCTTTAGATTTTTAGAGTTTCTGACATTTTTGACCGTTTACTATTTTAAGGAATTTCATAGTTCCTTTAGATATAAGTGTTATGTTCTTGAAGATATCTCATTGTTATATCTGAAAAGTATTATATCTTAGAATTTAAGATTTTGTACGCATTAAAAATATTTTCTTTAATTACGACATTTCTATTTTAGATACACATACAGTTTGACTAATATTGTTTTTTTTTTTTTGTTCGTTTTTCAACTTTTATAATACTTTGCGTCGTGCCATTAAACACGTGCGTTCTTTAAAGATTTGATTATACACTTGTAATAATAATAATTATTATACCATTATCCGTGTGGGTACACTTACGGTCCATCATTAGAAAAAAAATATATATTACAAACAAAATACAAAGGTACATTTAGAGACTAACTAACAGAGTACGATTTTACATATTACATCGCATAACAGTTTTTCATGAACTCTTCCTGACAATAAAAAGCATGTTTTGAGGCGGGACTTAAAGAGCTCCAATGGACAGAGATGTTATATTATTTGGAAGGCTGTTTTAAAGAAGTTGTATCTTAACATACTATATTTCCAAAAATAGTCTTACAGTAGCTATGTGGAAATAATTGTTTTAAAATATTGCTACAGTTATACATATTATTGTTTAAATATTATTTGGACGTCATTTGGTGGTTGGTCGTTTTGTTTCTACAAATTTAAACCTCTTCTGATACAACTCATTCAATTTTCCAATTTAAAATCCTTAGGAATTCATTCTCGCACATTTGACCCAACTTCATTGCTTCTATGTACAGCTGAAAATACTAATCATTGCATAAGAGTTTTTTAAAAATACTTTTACCTTTTGCCGTTTTAGGTTGTCTACAAGTTGAATTTGTTTTTTGTAAGCAGCTAACAATTCATTTTTTTGCTTTTCTACTTGTTGTAGCGTCTTTGTTAATTCAGTTAGATCTTTTTTGTGGGATTCTTTCACTTGCTGTAATCGGGAAATAGCAGTCTGAGCTTTCTGGGAGCGTACTTACCTTTTCTTCTTGCTTTGTCATTTTCAATTCATTTTTCATTCGCTCGTTTTCTTCCAGTGCTCTGTTTAAACGTACCTCTCCGCCAGTTACATTTAAACTTATATGTTTAAGTTCTTTTTTCACGTTGTCTATGTCTCGACGTAATGACGCATTTTCCACCTCTTTTGACTGACATTTTGCATTTAAAGTTGTGATTTGATTTTCCAATTTAGAAATTGTAATCTTATTTGTATTGTAAGCTTGAAACCATTTGTCCTTCTCCGCTTGTTGTTTACTGTTGTCGTTTTGACTTTTTTGTAGATCTTGACATTTGTTCTTGAATTCAATTTGTAATTTTTCATTATCGCCTTGTAATGTTTTTATTTTTGCTCTATAAAAACTGGACATTGCTTTAATTCCCATTTGATCCACACTATCTGGTATGTTTGCAATATCAATATTATCTGGCATTCCATAATTTTCTTTCGCATTCTGGTCGAACAATTTTACTTTGTTCTGTATGAAAGAACTTCTTTGTGGTGCAAACACGTTTTGCGACTCTTGGAGGCGATTTGCTTGTTTTTTCTATAATCTTTCATAAAGTATACCTGCGGAAACCAAATGTGTTAGTTACACTTACTAAAACATCGTCGAATTCTTCCATTAATATTTTGTTTTGCTTTTGCAGTTCTTCATTTAATTTACGATATTCCTCTTCTTTTTCTAACCAATTTGAACTCATATCGTTTATTTTTGCAGCGCAGTAAAATGGCACTGACACCTTTTTCTGTATTTTATTTTAATGTTTCCATGGTTTCTAATGAGTTGCAGTGAGGGGTGTTACTATGGTTATGGTGGTATAAATTATGGGTGTATTTTGCTCTTAGACCATATCATGGACTGCTATTCGCCCTATGCTTTCAATACAAAATGGATGGTCACGGATAGAGGGCACTGTAGTCGTGGGTATGTGAATCTCAGGGTAAACTAAAGTCGTGTAAACACTAGGATCGCTTAAAGAGCAGCTTTATAGTAACCGCGTAGTACGGGAAGCTTTAAATACTCTTTATTATTTGCTATACGTCCACAAATAAAAATAAGTTTGCTTTTTTTGGGATATCTAAGCGATTAATTTATTGACGTTTGTTAATTTATAGGTTGACAGTCTCAAATCGTGTCTCATCGGACAACTTCGGACAGACTCGTTTACCCTGAAACTCACATACCCAGGCGATGTCCTTGACTATATTTTAGTTACAATTAGCAGTCCATGTACTATATGGTCTAAGATTTTGCTATTACATATTAATTAAAGAATTATTGGTTTAGCGTTTATTTGATGGGATTTTCTTAGCGCAATCAAATTTACAGTGATGAAATACTACTAATTTGACACTATACTTTATTACAAGTTTACTCTTCTCCACAATTGCTTTTAGTTCTTTTTCTAATATATAAAAATACAATTTAAATTTTACATGAACTGTATACTTACTCAAACCACCATGGTCGCACTTCTTTAGACCCAGTCAAATTTTTCATTTGATGAATGCAAGTGTTAAGCACAAACTATAGTTACAAGTCAAGTCAAGCTCCCTAATTATTCTCAATTAAATAATTGTCAAAATACCTGTTGCACATAGTTCCTTCTCTCCCACATTTTCATCTGCTTACGTAGATCCAGAAGCTTTATGTTTGTTTTTATGTAATCCATTGTATCTGGGACCTGAAAGATGAATTTTAAAATTTAGTCCTACCTTTTTACATTATTAGTTATTACAGTATAATGTTGTGTTAAATGTTGAATCTTTTGGTATTTTTCTTTTTCTTTGGCCACTTGAGTCTCGACTTCTTTGTACTCACTATCCAAGTTAATAATTCTTTCTTTCTTAGTATTAATCGATTGTTTCATGCTTTTCATTTTGGCCATTTGTTTCTGAAGGTACTTCTTGTTGGTGCTTAATACCAAGTTGGACATACCTATAAAATACTGCAGAATTCGAATAGGAATGTGTATTAGGAAATACCATTCATTTTTTTCAAATCTAATAAATGGGCGTTCTTTTCTTCAATTGTTTTTGCCAAATGATTGTTTTGAATCCGCAACTGCTCAAAGTCAACGGCATCAATTGTTTCACCAAGCTCTTCCTTTTGTATCAATTGGTGGGATAATTTACTATACATTGCTTTCAAAGTGCATGTCTTCAATCGCATTTTTTCTATGGTCAACTCTGCACTTCTCAACCACTCCTCCATGTATCTATTATAAATTGTTAGGATGTATTTGGTAACACCGTCCCATTGGTAACCTTATGAACTTCTCGGCAGGAATTCGTTGCGTTAACGGATCAACTCCTTCCACAACAACGGTTTGCTGGAAAATGTTACGCGCATCTTCCACTTCACTTTGCTGAATATTCAGTTCTTCAAGTTTTGCTTTCAAGTTGCATTTGGTTCTATGCGATTGTTTAAGGAACACTGTTAGGGAAGTTTGAATATTTTCCAATTCTTTCAAGGCAAGATCGGTTCTTTGTGACAAATTAACCCTGAAAAATATGAACTTTTTAGTCTTTAAGCTCATTTTTGCAAATGTATATCATAGTTATATGCATCAAATCAAAAATTCTACTCTGATATTCGATTTTTTTTAAACAAGAACGCTTAATGCTTTCACCTTAAGCATCATATTCCAACCCACACTCTTTTCTACATTCGTACAATTTCACTTAAACACCTGCTGGAATAACAGTGTTTATTTACAATCAGCTTCCACCAATACACGGTTATACGTTATTTGTAATTTACATCAGCGCCTCTATTATAGTGCTAATCTGAATCGCGAATAGAAAGTAGGGGTGTGGACTATCTTTTTTTGAAAACGCGCAACGTTTGTTAAAAAATTGAACGCATTGGCAACAGTGTAAAATTATCCGCTTTATCACTCTAACCTCAAATTTTTAATAAAGTTTATCGAAAACAATTATTATTTTCAAGAAATAAATGGACAGTCAAGTTACTATCGAAGGGTATTTAGTGGATTTGGTTGATGACACGTGGCGGGCAGACGTTTTGCCGCAAGAAGAAATTGATGTACCCGCACATGAGTTACCCGATCCCGAAGCCGATAACGGAGACATTAACTTAACACTCAAAGAGCAAGAACAGAAGTGGACAGACATAGCGTTAAACACCCTCAACGAACATCAATAGCATGGAATTGCCTAATATCGGAATACAGTGTTCAGTGTCAACTTGTAAACAATTAGACTTTCTTCCTTTAAAGTGCAAATGTGGCCTATTTTTTTGCTCAGACCATTTCAACCAGCATTCCGTCGATTGCGCTATCGACATTGCTAACAAACCCAACTTGGAAGCGTCACCCGCTAGCTACCTTTGTTCTCAACCTTTGTGCACGACACGCAGCTACATACCCTTACTGTGCGAAAAATGTTCGCAACACTTCTGCATTGCCCACAGACACCTTGGCACTTGCGTACCAAAAAGTTCGGACGAACTAACCGCAGAATTGGACAAATTTACAGCCCCCGTTAAACAATTCAATGAAATAAAAAAAAAATTGGACATACAGGTCGGTAAATACCTCCACTTATTCCGTTATGTAAGTGGTATAATTTCAGCTCAACAATAATCTCGAAGAGGCTAAGAAGAAAGAAAAATCGCAATCACTAGCCAACAAGGTACAATTAATGCGGATTAAAAACAAAGCGACGGGGTTGAAAAGTATACCGGCTACCGATAGGGTTTACTTTAACGTACAGCTTCCGACAACGGCAAAACTAAAAGAAATGCCTGTCTTTGTTTCTAAGATCTGGACATTAGGTACTTATTACGCTTTTAATTTTTGTTGTGTGGCTCATTTAATAAAAATCTCGTAATTGTCGTGATATTAAAACCGAAATGTTTTGCTTTCCGATTTGGAAAAGTGAAGGGATAGCTAAATTTTGGTCTAATGGTGGACTTTATAATTTTACAGAAAAAGTCCCTACTGATTTGTGTGTTAGTTAAAGTTTCACGTGGGGTTAATTTTGCCGATCATTTGTTAACAGTCAGTTTTACAAAACTAAAATTTGTTGCTTGTTTCATAACACATTGGCTGAGGTAATTGCACTGGTTTTTTGAGCAGTATAGGTCGAATATCAATAGATACTTTTTTTGTCGAAACTTTGCCAATTGTTAGGTTTCAACACTGGAGCTTTTCAGTAAGGGGGCAACCATTACAAGCAAACACAATTGTCACTCTTCTAAGAGAAGCCTAATGCTGTGCAAGTAAAATTTACAGTTACTTTTTTCGGCTTCAGCGATTTGTTGGAATATTTTAAAAAATCCTTATGGCATTTTTGTTAATAAGTCGCATTTTGTTAATGAGTCGCACACAAGTTGCTTTGAATTGACTATAGCTAACGATTTAATCTACTAGGAAGGGTTATTGATGCTGTAGCCGAAGAGGGCAAACTGACTAATAAGAATAATCAATCCAATTTGCCTCAGCTGCGTCTTTTTCTGAAATCATCTCGTGAAGTAGTCTCTTCCAATCTCGGTGTTACAATGCAAGAGTTGCTCTTTAACGGCGCAATTGTTGATGGTGATAATTTAATTATAGAATATGTCAAGGAGGAATGTACCATCTTAGCACAATAAAGCTTTCTTTTCACTTTGCATCGATTTACCTCGGTCCTTTATCTCCCGTTGATGTTGTGGTTGTTGCAAACCTCATCATCGAATCGGTGTGTCTGCTTGATGTCCCACGAATCGAATCCGTGGTTTCTCTTCGATCACCATTCAACAATAACTGTGAAGGGTGTGTTTGAGTTTGTTGCATTTTATTAGCGAGTTCCAATATCTGTGTCATGCCTGTAAATGTAATGTCACCCCGCGTGTTTCGTGTCAATCACACTGATACTTTCCTGTTAATAATGCCGGCTCATTTTTTGACAGAAAGTTTTCAAAAATCTGATTTTCAGTTTCTAAATTTATTATTTCACTTTCCAAATCTTGCACAATTTTTATTAGTAAATTATCTGGTAAATCGTGCAGAAATTTTTCACTTTCGTCAATTAATTCGGACATTTTTAAAGTGTCAAGTTATACAAAGTTAGATCAATTATTACAGCTGTCATCACACAACTCTAAAATGCCTGAACCTTTAATATGCACTAGCAATACTTTGGGCAATATCGATTATGGAATTCCAATTGTCGCAAATAAGGCTTCTGATTTTCGAACATCAACCGGACTGTATCATAGGCTTATTCCAAATGTAGCTCAGGAGTTTGACTGTGTAAGTATATATGCAAAAATATACGAAGCGAAGGTGTGCAGAGGTTTTTGTGTTCAAATGTATTCATTTAGAATCTTTACAGAGCATTTCTAGAGTTTTTTAAAAATGTCAACTTACGGTGTAGGCCCTTTTAAACAAAATTATATTATGCAGAACTTTCTGTAGTAAATGACCGTTTTAATAATTCCTTAATTATAAAGTGTCGGGTAGCGTCTGTCAGGTCATCTTAGACCATACAGTAGATGGACCGTTAGCTCTTAAAGTACTCCTTTCTCGAAAATAAATTACCATACAGTTTTTTTTTAAATTGCAGCTGATAATTAAAAGTAACAAAATATACAATTCACACGAGGTGCGTCGCCTATCATTGTATTTCAGCACTTTCATGCTACGACAAAAAATGATAAATTCATTGTAAAACACTTCAATTGAAACAGAATTTTTTAACAACCTAACATCAACCCCAATTAGAGAAACGTGTTAATAATTTATTAATAGTGCAAGAAACTAAATACAGCACATACTTATAAATTTCCAACGGGCCATTATGATCTACAGGATAGGTGGCAATCGCCACCCGCCCCCCCGGGCCAGTGCGCCCCTGGTTATACACTGCCTTTTTTTGAGCCCCGAAAAAAAAAATTGTCTCAGATCGACCCGGAAAAAAAATTTTCTTATAGAATGTGGCCTGTAGAATCCATAATTTCAAACAGTTCCAAGATTGGGCTATTAGTTCAAAAGTTACAGCCTTTTGAATTTTCTTTCGAAATTGGTTTCTAGTCTATAACTTTTGATTGAGAAGTCTGATCGAAAAAGTACGAATTGTTTTGGATTCTACGCACCAAAATTAATAATAAAAAGTGTTTTCCCGAGAAATTTTGGTGTAGTCGATTTTTGGTAAAAAAGGAAGGTTATACACTGCCTTTTTTTGAACCCCGAAATAAAAATTGTCTCAGATCGACCCGGAAAAAAAATTTTCTTATAGAATGTTGCCTGTAGAATCCATAATTTCAAACAGTTCCAAGATTGGGCTACTAGTTCAAAAGTTACAGCCCTTTGAATTTTCTTTCGAAATTGGTTCTAGTCTATAACTTTTGATTGAGAAGTCTGATCGAAAAAGTACGAATTGTTTTGGATTCTACGCACCAAAATTAATAAGAAAAAGTGTTTCCCCGAGAAATTTTGGTGTAGTCGAATTTTGGTAAAAAAGGAAGGTTATAGACAGGAGCGGACTTGGTACTTACGGGCCATTAAGCCATTAAAGTATTAGTCTAGTAATTAAGGTTCCGGGGAGGGGGGGGGGTAGCTCTGAGGCACCACAAAAACATTATAAAGTACTCCTTTCTCGAAAATAAATTACCATACAGTTTTTTTTTAAATTGCAGCTGATAATTAAAAGTAACAAAATATACAATCCACACGAGGTGCGTCGCCTATCATTGTATTCCAGCACTTTCATGCTACGACAAAAAATGATAAATTCATTGTAAAACACTTCAATTAAAACAGAATTTTTTAACAACCTAACATCAACCCCAATTAGAGAAACGTGTTAATAATTTATTAATAGTGCAAGAAACTAAATAGTAAATACAGCACATACTTATAAATTTCCAACGGGCCATTATGATCTACAGGCCAGGTGGCAATCGCCACCCGCCCCCCGTGCCAATCCGCCCCTGGCCGAGTCTGGACTCACCTGGCTGTATCGGGTCTGGTGGCCAGATTGACTTCGCTTCCAATGTAGGAGTAGCCTTACTCAGTGTCATTCAACAGCCACATTAGTCCATCTCAGAATTTGTTGCATCTTTGAAAGGAAATTTGAAAGAATGCGATTTCTACGTCAGCTACACCTGCTAAAAGAAATTTTCCATAGCAAACACTTCTCTCCGAGGTTTAAAAGACAATTAGATAAATGCGAGGAACGCTACGGCAGGACTTAAGGCTCTTGATGGCCTCAAGAGAGCAACAGGATTAGAATCGTCGCGCTACAAATCTGGACAGTTGAGCAAACAACGCGAAATTTTATCGGTTTTATAATTGCAGAGACAAACAAGATATACAGTGTGATTGATTTTGCGTGTCTAAGCGTATATTTCTTTTGTTATATTGGAGATAGGAAAGAAAAAATCGAGGAAAAAATACTACTCTACTCTCAAGTTCTGATAAAGCTATATATATTCAAAAAAACAAGTGATATAAAAACAAACGAGAATCGGAAAACAAAATTTTTTTTTAAACAGAACATACTTTTTTCTGTAATATTATTAAAAAGGTTTAAATTCTCTTTACAATGATATCAAATATGTTATAATTAGGTACCTTAGAAATTAAAGCTGCAGTAATGTTTTTAAAACCAATCGCAGCAACTGTGGAAATTTAAACAAAAACAAAAGAGAGTTTTTACTCGTCATGTCTGTCACAAAATTAGTTTAGTGAACAATATATCACAATGCAACAAAATAATCATTACACAAATGATGAAAAAATGTTAAGAGGTGTAACGTAATGATAATTCATAGGAAGTGCCAATGTATTTTCTTCGCTTCCTGTTGTAAATTTTTTGTTTTTGTTTAAATTTCCACAGCTACTGCGATTATGGTTCTAAATATATTACTGTAGCTTTAATTTCTAAGGTAATTATAACATATTTGATATCATTGTAAAAAGAATTTCAAACTCTTAAAGAATAGGTATTACAGAAAAAAGTAACCTTTCTATTAAAAAAAAATAACTTGTTTTCTGATGCTATGTTGTTTTTATATCACTGGTTTTTTTTGAATATGTAGCTAGGTAGGGTATTTTTTTTTATGTGTGCGGCGCGAGACCCAAGTGGGCGGAAATGTGTATGATCCGAACTATTGCGTCCTCTGCATCAACTATTTATCTGCTGGAAAACATTTTTTCGATCCATGATGGTTCTCTCTGTCATGGTATCCGATAATGTCACAATTTTTAAAAGCGAGCAATTGCTGAACTTTTGCAAAGAAAGGGGAATCTTTCAGAGCTAGCTTTCCAAAAAGAGTTCCATATTTCCATGAAATTCACACAAAAATACGGAATCCCCTTAATGGATGTAAACCTAAGCTTCTTCATTTTTCTTAAACTTTGAGAAAATACAGAGGATTAGTTTGAACCTTTAATTCAGAATGCTGAAAACTGAATTCAACGGTTAAATTACAAGCTCGAACTCTAAAGACCGAATACAAAAGAAAATCTTAGTACAAATAGGTATTTACACTACATTCTCATTGCTCAGAGAGTGAAGGCAAGGATCAAACCAGAGTTAAACAAATCTAACGTTGTTGTACGTGATGAATCCTCCAAATCGACCTACACAAATGCGCACCATTGGAAATTTCCAGACAAGTCCGTCGTAAGGCATTTCCCTGTACCGATGAACTCGTCGGACATTTCCTACATTCGGGGAGCCCAGGAAAAGGTCAGACTCGCTCGTTTAAAATAGTAAAGATTTTAATACGGTACTGCAGTGTTTTAGGAAGCCACCACCGGTTAAACCGACGAAAATTTCGGAAATGAAAGAATCCTTTTACCCTTCGTATGTCAAGTCTTGTTCCGAAGAGGTGCGCCCTCCCGAACCGTATGCGAAATGCGAAGTAAGTAGAGTTTATACTGCAATATACTAATACATGCGATTTTGCAGATACGAGGGTTGGGAAGGGACGAACAACCGGCGATCCGTCCTGAAGAGAAAGGATCTTGGAAATTAATGGATCCATATCTTACAACGTCTCGATCTACCTATCTACCTTTCACAGTTAATCAGCAAAATGGTGTCGCAAAGAAAGACATTGTGACCTATTATGATGCTTCCAACTTTCCTAAGGTATACTGACATTTACAGTAGCAATTATGCCAGTTTGCCTAGGTGAAGGGGTTCGGTCCTCGGAATGGTCCCGCCATTGATCCACTGGAGCCTAAAAGGAAAGTTCCGATGTTAGATCGAATGCCATTTAAAAAACAACCATTCGAAAGACGACTCTATGTTCTATCAAAAACAGTCCCAAATTTGTAAGTGAATATAATTGTGCTTAATTTCACCTCAGTTTCTTTTTAGTGGGAAGAAGTCCGAGATGAAAGCCAACTTTGTTGGTCAGTCCTTTTCCGATATGAGCCCTTATTTACACCAGTGTGGAGTAGAATTTCCTTGCTCGTTATCGAATGCAAGCGCGTGGCAAAATTTGGCGCCCCCTGGAATGTACTGTACTGAATATTGTCATATTGGAAGCGGATGGCCAGTGAATAGCATTGTGGATTATGGATTACCACCGGAATATGTAAAACACAAACAGTGTTGTTGAAATTAAAATATATAGTCAATTTTTTGGGTTAAATGTAATAAAATTTACATTAAAGAAGGGTCAATTACAAAGCTTGCGTGGCATTGTCAATTTGTATGATCGCTTCCCCAAATACATTTATGGCAAGACAGATTGCGCCCTTTCTCGTCTTCCGTTTCTGTACGACGATGATGACGTCATTCTTGAAGCGGTTGGCATCCACCTGTTCTAGCTATCATCGGGGAATGCAGTCAACAACAAGGAAGTTCTGGAAGGCCGTCCTGGTTGCACTACAATGGTACCACAACGCCAAATCGGAGCTCTGGGGCGACGACGTGGATAATCCAGGACCGTCACAACTTAGACAAGGACAACCATCTACAGAGAGTAGACCACGTACGTACCTCGACCCTACATCAGTGGGGCAGTTGTCGCGCCCAATAGTCCAGTCAAAATAGGAAAATCAGAGGAACTAAAAATACTAGTTACAATTTTTTCAGAAATGTGTAGGGAGAGGTTCCCTAAACAAGAAAAAATAAAGTCCATCCAAATTCCGGTGCCGCTAGGGGAAGGAAAGGGCTTTAAACGACCCATTTTTCAGTTTTTCGCTTTTAACTCGAAAATGGTGCGTTACAGTGAAAAAGTTCTTCAGTACAAAATGAAAGCTTATTAAAATTGCTACAAGTTTGGTTATATACATCTTTACAAAGAACTGAACCGTTTTCGTGCTACCGGCTCCGGAAAGATGGTAATTTCTAAACAAAATTGTTTTTCACTCACGTTTTTCGTATATTTTTGGCTTCTAAATCCTCCCCCGGTCATTTTAGGGGAAAATCGTCACAATAAGACGTGTACAGCATTAACATCCGTCCGAACCTGCTGAAGTACGAATTATCTCCATACCCCATGACTGATTGTACTTGAAGAACTTTTTCACTGTAACGCACCATTTTCGAGTTAAAAGCGAAAAACTGAAAAATGGGTCGTTTAAAGCCCCCTCCTTCCCCCAGCGGCACCAGAATTTGGAGGGACTTTATTTTTTCTTGTTCAGGGAACCTCTCCCTACCCATTGGTTTCAGTCTATATAACTTTTGATTGAAAAGTCTGATCGAAAAAGTACGAATTGTTTTGGATTCTACGCACCAAAGAGACTATGGTTACTCTTTGGTCATACTTATGAATGAATAATTTATGCAAAGAACACGGCTCGCTAGGTGACTTCCTCAATTTTTTTTAAAAATGTGTATTAAACCACCACAAGGGCCCCCCTCTCCCTCACTGAAGAGTATCCTCAGCCGCGGGTAGATCAGTTTTGCAGTTTCCTGTGGCATAGGAAACTAATTACTGTACCTACTCAACAGTAATTAGGAAATTTCAGTCAAAGCGATTTGGAAAAATACCCCCAAGAGGTTTGGATCGGGGATTTATCACGTAAATAACATAATCAAAGTATGTACCCATGTATAATCTTACACAAAATAAGGGTTAAATTAGTGCGTGTGCGTGACGTTTTTTGTGCTAAGGAAATGGCGCAATTTTTAAGAAAACTGGCAACATTGGGCCTACGAATGCAATTCAAACAAAAATAAACACGACATTCAATATAAAAATTGAAGCAAAATAAGGGAATTAAAGTTTGATTGCGTTGAAAGCTTGCAAATAAAACCCGTCTGCCACCCTTTGATGGGGTTAACGGAAGCAGCAACGTACACCAGACACAGTCGAGACGTGTCTTTTTCATACTATTTTTTTGCCGTGCTTGTATATTATTACTGTACAACGACCTTTCCTGTGTTAGACAGAATGGAGCGGGGGTGTTTTGTTTTGATCGCATTCTAACCAATAGCGCAAGTCGTAAACAAAGCGCTCGGCCACGATTGGTCGACGTTCGTTCCTCTACAAGGACATAGCGATACTAGCCTTCGTACTAAAGTTGAGTTACTGTGAGAAGTGCAACGCTAAACTAAAGGTGAAAAACACAAAGGTGTCCGTGTGGATTTTTCAAAAATTCCTTACCGTTAGTTATTTGAGATTATGAGTTATGCGAGCAGAAATAAATTGGAGGTACGTGAATGTTTAATTGCGATTAAAAATTGTGCAATTTGTTTGGCACGCTTATGTTTATAAGATCAGCTGATTTCGACGTTAAACGTCAAAACTCGATCATTTCCTGCTTTTTTCGGTGTATGTCTTGTATTACTTTAATCTCCAGAGATTTCTCGTTAGCAACTTTTCAATCGAATTATATCGGCCAGATTTATTTATAATTTCTTTGTCTTTGGGCAATGTCGTACTATTCTAACCAAACACGTACGCTGGAAATATTTTCTTAGATATGACTTACGTCTCTTCTCGTTTTGTAAATATTATTCCAAAATGTCTAAACATGTGATAGATCCAAAAAGCGGAAAGATGATCGCAAGGTTGCAAAATTTATTGCTCGTTGGAACGTTGAACTTTTTTCGAACTGTGAAGATCATCGACCTAAGATAAACAAAGAAAAATATTGTTAAATATGTAAATTGAGGAACCGCTTAAGCCTTTTTTTTGCATGTTCGTTTGTTTATTTGCACTTTTCACAATTCCATTTAAATTTGCATGTCAAGTCTGCTCGCACACAAAATGAAGAGGACGTAGATGTAGTCGGTCGTAGTACGAGGCATAGACGTCATTGGTGGCAAACAAAAAACAAGCGAAACAAGAGACCGATTCCCAATTATAATAGTATGGCAGTTGACTCGGTTAGAAAGAATTGTTTGCAGGTTTGTAGTCCTCCAAAAGAGCACCTACTAACAACATTAACACCTCGCACTATATCTACATGAATGTCACTAACTGATACTAATAAAAAGTAGACAGTTACCAAGTCTCGGCTGGCCTTAATTTACAAAAACAGTGGACAATGGTTTACAAAAACATATAAAGTGATGCAGATCGATTTTAACTTAAAGACCCCAGTGGTTCTGTTTGGATAACAAAGGTTTCAAATTTTGCATTATTTGCTATTGAGGAGCCACTAGACTAATATATAGGTGGTAGGTACAAACATTAGCGTACCTAAATATAATAACACCGATGGTGTTGGGGTCAGTTCAACCTAGGGGTAACTGAAGTAATAATAGGGGTCTGAGGATTGTAGTACTTGATGGCCATACAAGTCTATTCATATAGCAATTATTGCACGACACTGGAACTTTTAATTAAAAAAAGGGGCCATATTGCTTAAAAATATTTTACATTCACTAGTGTTATTTGTACCTGCACTGAGAGAAATATTCACTTAAAATGAATTTTAAAAAAAATTTTTTTGTAATAAAACATCCCAATTTTTGTAGGTTTGGTAAACAAAAAAAAAAATCTCTCAAATAACTTATTAAAAATTTGGGGTTGCTATTTGAAAAAAAAATTATGAGGCCAGCGGCCAGGGCGCTAAAGACTCAGATGCTATAGTATAAGGAAGGTTAATTTTTGATTCACAATGGTAGCCTTGAATGTTGTGTGCTTAAATTCAAATCTCATTGTTGATAAGTGAATCAGAGGATCTCGCATAAACAATTTTTCATTAAATGTATCACAAGGTGATGTGTCAGATTAAGATTTGTTTCAGGAAATAATTTTATATACAGTATGCTCCTATTTTTAATGCATATCTTGAAATTACAATGAAGGATTAGATCTTCTATAATCAACCCCACATATTAAAGAAAGTCCACATTTCAATTTATTGCTTCTTTAGGTGATCTTCCAATAAAGGTAGTTTCTTTCTATCTAAATAATTTACACTTAAAAACAAATTTCTTGAAAGTGTGGCAATAATGACAAATTACGAAGAATGAAATTCTGATAATGGGTGTATGGTGGAAAAATAAAATGTTTCTATTTGGATATTAAAATATAAAAAAAGATGCCTCTTTTGGAAAAATAAAAATGATTAAGCTCCTTCAAGCACGATAGTGATGTTTTTCATATGTCTTTTTGAGTAGAGTAATTTTGCCAATTGTTTCAACAATTAGACGTGTATATAGTAGGCATGGCTGACTAGATTGTTTAAGAGCATAGTATTTTGGGGATTTTCACTCGGTACTCGACAGTACGTCTCATAATTTTATACTGCTAGGCTACTTATTGACTACTAAGGAAAATGTGTAAATATATATTCTTGTTTGATTAGTGATAATTGATAACGCAATTCTACAACTTCACATTAATGCAACGGATTTTTATTAATTCTTGTTTTGTAACAGATCTGCATCAATTTACATGGCAAAATATCGGTCCAATGTTTTTGAATACTTCAATTCTTTATTGTATGCAAATAAGAGTGGCATAGTTATTTCAAAGAGACCATAATAATGTCTTCTTATAAAGTAGATAACGTTTTGTTGCAGTTAACAAAAGGATTCAACGAAGATGACGCTCCAATTAACAAGAAGTTACCCAAAGAGCTGATATTGAGAATATTTTCGTATCTGGACGTCGTCTCGTTATGTCGTTGCGCTCAAGTTTCCAAATCGTGGAACGTTCTAGCCTTAGACGGTTCAAATTGGCAACGAATTGATCTGTTCGATTTTCAAAAGGATGTCGAGGTAATTATTTTTCGACCGCAGACCCGTACTAAGCGGAAAATGTTTAGGGCCCAATAATAGAAAACATATCGAGAAGATGTGGCGGCTTCTTACGGCAGCTATCACTACGCGGATGCCAGTCGATCGCAGACGGCTCAATGAAAACACTCGCTCAATTATGTCCGAACGTCGAAGATCTTAACTTGAACGGCTGTAAGAAGATTACCGATACAACTTGTCAGTCGCTATCGAAGCACTGCTCGAAGTTGCAAAAGTTAAATTTAGATAGTTGCTCGGCCATTACCGATTTATCTCTGAAATCGTTAAGTGACGGTTGCCCTCAGTTATCGCATATTAATATTAGTTGGTGTAGTAACATTACTGAGAGTGGCGTCGAGGCGCTGGCCAGAGGATGTCCTAAACTTAAAAGTTTCGTTAGTAAAGGCTGCAGGCAGATTACATCGAGGGCCGTCATATGTCTAGCGAGATTCTGCGAGAATTTAGAGATAATCAACTTGCTTGGTTGTAGTGTAAGTATTTATATTTATTTTATGGAAGCATAGAAGGGTCATACAAGTTATGGGTTGATTGTATTCATATCAAGATTTAACATTTGTTTTAGAATTTGGAAGGGTTGCCAAATCTATTTGGGAATTTACAGGTCTATCCTAGCTAGCTAGCGAGATTGACAATGATGTCGAGGTTTTTTTTAAATTTAAGTAAAAGATTATAATTATTTGAGATTTGTCCTGACAGTGGTTCTTATTATGGTATCAATTCTTCGAAATGTACGAAACACAAGTATGCAAAGGTGGTCGTAAAATATTACCTACCTATAAATGCTGTAGTTTTAATTTGATGATCCTCTTTAAGATCAACCTCTCACAAAAATACACATAATGATAATTGACTGAAGCATTCAGAAGGGTCGGATACTTTGTTGTGATTAATATGGGTTGATTGTAATTAACATTAATCACAGATATTTATCACTCCTTGTATTAACGACTTTTGATTAAACGATTAGGTGATTAATCGATTATTTGATTAAATGATTTGATTAATCGATTATTTGATTAATCCATTAATCTATTAATCGATTATTTGATTAATCGATTTCAGGTAATCGATTATTTTTCATAATTTATCGATTATTACCCGTAATCGCCCAGCCCTAATCCTAGCAACTATTCTTTTTCCGAAATTCATGCAACCTGGCTAGTTGACAATGATAGTCTTGAGGCTTTTTTTTAAATTTTTTTAAGTAAAAGATTAGCGCCTAGTATGTACTTTGAGATTTGTCCGATTAAGTAATGACAGTGGTTCTTATTATGGTACTCAATTCTTCGAAATGTACGAAACACAAGTATGCAAAGGTGGTCGTAAAATATTACCTACCTATAAATGCTGTAGTTTTAATTTGATGATCCTCTTTAAGATCAACCTCTCACAAAAATACACATAATGATAATTGACTGATATCATAACTTTAATTTCAATTTTGAACGAAATATTTCAAAAATTGCAAGAGATATAAAGAAAAAACTTAAAAATTTTCAAATTGTAACACCCTGTAGATCGGTAATCTAGCGTTTGCGGACATTTTGTTTATATGTCATAAAATAATCCAAAGAATTAACCTCTTCCGTATTTACATCATATTTAGGAAAACCTTGTATATTAAACTATTTAAATCGGTATAAGCCATATAAGCCCATTGGGGAAATTAACGACTTTGATGCACTATTACTGTCATTGACCTGAGCGTTGTTCCATCCATCCGTCCGTGTGAGGGACTAGATCATATTAAGTCCCTCATTAGTGAAAGAAGAAACCTTTTTGCCAAATCACTTTGGGTTGATGTCCAAATTTGGGTAAAATTTTCAATTATTTACCCAGGGGCGGACTGGCCCGGTACGTCATAATGGCCCGTTGGAAATTTATAAGTATGTGCTGTATTTAGTTTCTTGCACTATTAATAAATTATTAACACGTTTCTCTAATTGGGGTTGATGTTAGGTTGTTAAAAAATTCTGTTTTAATTGAAGTGTTTTACAATGAATTTATCATTTTTTGGCGTAGCATGAAAGTGCTGAAATACAATGATAGGCGACGCGCCTCGTTTGGATTGTATATTTTGTTACTTTTAATTATCAGCTGCAATTTAAAAAAAAACCTGTATTGTAATTGATTTCCGAAAAAGGAGTACTTTAAAATGAAGCAAAAAATGTTTTTGTGGTGCACCGCAGAGCTACCCTCCCGTCACCTTCATTACTACACTAATACTTTAAGGGCCCGTAACCCATGCAATTCCACCTGGCCCGCCTCTGACTAGAAACCAATTTCGTAAGAAAATTCAAAGGGCTGTAACTTTTGAACTAGAAGCCCAATCTTGGAACTGTTTGAAATTATGGATTCTACAGGCCACATTCTATAAGAAAATTTTTTTTCCGGGTCGATCTGAGACAATTTTTTTTTCGGGGCTCAAAAAAAAGCAGTGTATAACCTTCCTTTTTTACCAAAAATCGACTGCACCAAAATTTCTCGGGAAAACACTTTTTCTTATTAATTTTGGTGCGTAGAATCCAAAACAATTCGTACTTCTTCGATCGGACGTCTCAATCAAAAGTTATGGACTAGATTTACCCACTACACACAAACTATATTTTATCTTCCTGCCATACTCCGTTTTTGGTTCAGTTGGTAGAGCAGAAAATCTTCATTTTTTCAATGTGAACCTTTATAAAATGATGAGGTAATATGAAATCTATACTTTATGTATTTGTTGATTATAATGGATATAGTTATTGGCGTAATGGATATGCTCACCTGTTTCAATAAACAACTGATTTTAATAATCAAAATGTGTGTGGCCATATTTTAGGGGCAGTTAATTAGACACTGCATATAGAAGCACCTGATGGTAGGTTGCTGAGAAGGGGGTGGGGGGTGTCCAAAAGTGATACTTTCCGGGTCACAAAATTACTTACATTTACTTAAAATGGATTATTGTTATTGTACTATAGTAGGGGTCCTATCGGTTCCTGCAACTGCAACCTTTTCTTCTGTTGTGATCCCTGATATTGTCTACCCTTCAAGAATGCCTGTATTCTTCGCAAAGTGTAGGGTTTTGATAGAGCGAACCTTTTTTACTTCCTCTTGTGTAATTTTTTCATTTCCAAGTAAGCGTTCCCTTGCCTTTGTGTAGCCTAAATGGTATATGACGTGGTGTGGTGTTCCTTCTTCCTCACCAAAACCCCTGCATAAAGGTCTGTCAGTCACATTTTGTGCAAATGTTTGTTCAACCGACAGTGGCCTGTGACCACCTCTGTCATAAGTTTTATCTTCATCTTACTTAGGTTTGAGATGGACGATGCTATACGTCTTTCACTATAAAAACCGGTGCACGTCATTGATTTATGAATCAATTTCAGACAAGTTTTCTATAGATTTCGCACACTTGTTTTTTTTTTGTACATGTTGCAGTGTTGCAGCATATGTCTGAAATTGATACACAAATCAATGACGTGCACCGGTTTTTATATGGAAAGACGTATAATTCCCTGTGAGGGTTTCCAGAAACATGGTTCTATCCTGGAATTTTCCAAAAGTTATATGTAGCAAACAGAAAAGCGATAGAGCTTGCCTCTGAGATTTCCGCGAGTATCCGCGTTTAAAAAGGAAATCTGTACTTACAATCATTTGTTGGTGGATTTTAGTTGGGATTGAACTCGCCAGATGCTTAAATCCAATTTGCCGTTATAATATGAAATGAGCTCTTGTAGTATATTTACATCTGGGCCTAACAGGTCTGTTAAACTGCCTTATTTTGAACAGGTCAGTTTAAAACCTAACTCGTACGTGAGAGTCTTACTATCTGGTACATTGTGGGATTGTCTCTCACTGTCTGGGATGTCTAGCGTAGGTGACCTGTTAGCTACTGTAATCCATTTTGCGGATTCATTACACAATCCACGATGATTGTCATAGCATATCAAAAAATGCTATCAAAAACACTCGGGCAACTCTTGAACTTTGAGACTTGTATAGCCCTTCTAGGCTTCTTAGATTAAATGTTACTTGGGTAACATTTTTTTGGTAACAACTAAATCTATTTTTAGTACTTAAATTACTTTATGTTTAGAACATAAGGGATGAAGCTGTGCAAGCATTAGCCGAAAAATGCAGCAAGGTACACTATTTGTGTCTCTCAGGATGTTCGAAGTTAACAGATACATCTTTAATAGCTTTAGCCCAACAGTGCCCCTTTCTATCGACGCTCGAAGTCGCCGGTTGTTCTCAATTCACCGATGCCGCATTTCAAGCCTTGGCCAGAGTAATCTCATTTCTGTTCTTTCGCGACAATCACACTTATCTGTTGCAATTTCTAGAGCTGTCGTTATTTAGAGAAAATGGACTTGGACGAGTGCGTATTAATTACAGATGCAACTTTGATACATCTATCAATGGGTTGTCCTAGAATTGAGTACTTGGTAAGTTGAAGTTTGTCTTTTACAGAGTAAACCGCAGTATTTTCCATTTCAGACGTTGTCACATTGTGAGTTGATCACCGATGAAGGAATTAGGCATTTATCGATGTCACCATGCGCTGCTGAGAACCTAACTGTATTAGAATTAGACAATTGTCCACTAGTCACTGATGCTTCACTGGAACATCTCACTTCGTGTCATAACTTGCAACGCGTTGAACTTTATGATTGTCAACTCATCACTAGAGTAGGAATTCGTAGATTACGAGTAAGTGTACCAAATTTACGAGAGGTGTATTGGATTTTTAGACAATCACTGTCTTTAGCCTCTTTGTATATCATTATTTTCAATGAGGCTGTGTTTGTAATCCAAATCATATACAGGGTGATTCCTATAGTACCTGCCACCGTTTGGGAGCGTGTAGGTGGTGCGTAGGGGAGTATTTTGATATAGGACACTTGGGGTCGGAAATCTAAAATAAGGGTGCCAGAGCCAAATTTACTTTCTGGAATTTCGCGCCTGTAGGTAGGCAACCCAACCGGCCGGCGGTGCACACGGAGCGATCTCAGGCGGCGATGTGTGGCTGACACTTGATCAGAATTTTGTTTAAACCCACGAAATCCCGTCTGCAACGACGCGTATCAAGTGAATAAACACTATGGCAATAGTATAATAATAGTTGGCTAGATGTAGGAAGTGCATTGAGAACAACGGTGGCCACGTTGAACACTTGTAAACGTTATTGCTTTTGACTGTCGTTTTCCCTCCTTTCCTCCCATGTCGCTTCCTCGCGCTAACTCGCTCTGCATCGCTCCGCGCGAAACGTCGGTCGGTTGGGTTGCCTACATACAGGCGTGAAATTCCAGAAGATAAATTTGGTTCTGGCGCCCTTGTTTTAGATTTCCGACCCCAAGTGTCCTATATCAAAATACTCCCCTAGGCACCCCCTATACGCTCCCAAACGGTGGCAGGTACTATAGGAATCACCCTGTATAAGGGCAAGCAGCTACTTTTTAGGCCAGTGATTGGGGTCCCAAAGGAGGGGTTATGTGCAAATAACTCGGGGGGTTTTGAAATTTTGCAGGTTTACAGTGAGTGTGTACAACTAAAATTCACAAAATGTACAATTCATTACTTGCCACCGGCGCCGCCATCTTACCAAGATGGCCGCCAAAATCGGGTTTTCGCATATATCTTCAAAACAATATGTAGAGAGCAAAATTAAAGAAGAGATAATTTCTTACAAAAAAATTTTTTGCCATATTTTGGAACATCGACTCTATGTAACACTTACACAAAATGTTATATTTTCTGCCTAAGGGTTAACTTTAAATTACATTTTTTGTAAGAAATTTTCTCCTCTTTAATTTTGCTCTTCATATATTTTTTCAAAAAATGGACAGTTTGGAGATATCTGCCAAAAATCGTTTTTGGCGGCCATTTTGGCCAGATTGGGGGTCGTTGGCGGCAAGTTGCGAATTGTAGATTTTGTGAATTTTAGTTCTACGCACCTAAACCTTCAAACCTGTAAAATTTTGAAACTTCCCAAGGTATTTCCAAATAAAGATCCCCAATGGCTGGCCTAATTTGCATTTGGAATGTGTTTCATTACGGCTCGCATCCGGGCACGTTTCCCATAATTTGTAATTTGTTGTTAGGTAAATGATCACATGGCAAGAGTTTGAGTTGAGTATATTAATAATAATAATAAGTGACATTTATTAGATTACTGGTATGTCATCTTTATCATTTTTACATTAACATGCATAGAACTAATTATGCCATGTTTACACCAGTCGATAAGATTTGCTCAGATGCAAACGAACTTAATATTAACATGTTTAGTGTACCTTTTTCGAAGTTCCGGAGAGAAGTGGAACGTAAATTGTATGGTTAAGTTATTAGTAATTTTTATAATGGATACTGTCCGTCAATATATTATTATTATTATCTCGACATGTATTTGAATGAGAAACAAATGAGCATATAATCAAAGGTGGCTAACATTCTAATTCCATCTGTCTGTGAACACGATAACTGTCAAACGCTTGGACCGATTCTGTTCAAACTTTGCACAGTTGACACATATACCACATATAACAAGCCTATTGAAAATGGGTCAAATTTAATGACCCCATAGGGTCACAGCGAAGCGCTCTGCATCTGCTTTAGGGATTTATTTGTGAAGCAATGTGAATGAAATTTTTATGGTAGGTTCCTCTAATAAAAGCAAACAAACTTTTTTTAGTTCCACTTGTCTGTTTTCGTGGTTAGGTGGAAGATCAGCAAGAGGAGCTGTCTCCCAATGCTGAACCTCGCCACTAGGTTTCTTTACCTTAATTAAAATTTTTGTTTTACATTTACAACTTATTTTAATTTATATATTTATGCAAGGTAATGAAATAAAGGCATTTATTATTATTATTATTATATGCCGTTTTCTCACAATGATTTTGCTATCCGAATAGAAAACTATCCTGTGAATAAAGGAGCTGCTTTCTCGAAGAGACGGTCTTCCAACTACGGCCTATGAATAATTTTACAGTGATCTAGTCGTTTGCTCTTCAGTGTCTGAATAATCTTTTCAAATGCTCTAATTAAAAGAAACTCGGAATTGTGTATTATGTTTTGAACCATAACCCTTTGGCATTATTAACTAATTTATATAATAATAAAAATAATAACGTTTATTGACCTCATAAACACAAATACACTATGATCTATTAGATGTAAGTTATTAGTAAAAGTAATAATCCCCGTGGAGGTTCCGGGTAAAAAAGAATAGGCCTCCGGTTTTCCCTGCCTGTCGTAAAAGCCGACTAAAAGGGAAACCGCAATTTTAATTTTAGTTTGTCGGTATTAACTTAACTCTGTTTCAGAGCCATTTACCAAATATAAAGGTCCACGCGTACTTTGCGCCAGTCACACCACCGCCATCCGCCGGAGGTTCCCGCCAGCGTTACTGTAGGTGCTGCGCAATTCTATGAGGCAGCGACCCCGACGGCTCCCACCACCCATTTCCACCATGATACCACGTGCTAGTGATTATTATTTAAATTTTTTGACGCAAATTACTGATCTTGATCAAATTGGGCCTTATACTCTTAGAGTTTTGTTACAATGTTTTTTAAAAACAATTTGGCATAATTATGTGTGCGAGTGTGTGTATGTATGTACGGCGCAAGCCGCCACCACCGTTACTTCACTTGCAAAATCGTACACATAGATGTGAATTTTGGGTTCGCTTAGTTAATTTTGGAGCCTTTGGGGAGGGTTATTTAACGGAATCTTTGTAAATGTTTACACTATAAATGCTGTGACTAATATCGAAAATGGGGTAGTTTAGTATTATCTGACCACTAACTACTTTATTACTTACTACTACCATTCATTTTTAAACTTAATTTATATAATTTATTGGGTATTTTCGGAATGCGTGACAAGCAAAAATTGTGTGTGATAGAAAGCGGTTAAAATTATTTGAGTAGGTATGACCAAATCAACGAGTTTCGGCAAATGCTTCAATTTCTTTTTATTGGTATGCCTCAAAATGCCTGTGATATGAAAAGTGAGTTTTTGACTGTTTTGAATTTTTGCGCCAACTAAAATTGTGAGTTGGGTAATTTTAGTTGGTGCAAAAACATCATTTTCAATTTTTATCTTTGAAAACCATGATGTTGTTTCTCATAATTTGTAGATAAGGTTAGGTTCACATTAATGTAGTAATTTGATGTAATTGTGTTAATGTAATACTGACTACTTTACCTGTATGAATTTCTTTGAGGGCGTCTTTCTTTTAGTGCAATCATTTTAATCTAGTCTATAAGATTTTTTTAACACAGATGAGTATGAGAAGTAATTTATACAGGGTGTAGTTAATATTTAAGTAACACTAATGTATTGCTTGCTTAATTAACAATACCTAGAATAGATTTTAATTGGTGTTCGAAGGATTAGTAGTCCCACTCGAGTGGACAGTGTTATCGGACGTTGTATTCTTGGTGACGGTTATTAGAAAGAAATATTTTCTAATAACTCTTGCCTTAAGGATGGTCTCTTAGAAGCATAACTTGATATTTTTATATTTATTGAAGTGTATAAGTGTTATATGTAGAATATTTGGCATAACCATGCGGAAATGGTGCATAAACATTATGTCTTATTTGAATATCATTCGGTGGTAATTAATCTGCATTGACCCATAACATTATTATAATATACAGAGTATTCCAATTTTCAAAACTGCTCAATTAAAAGGGATACAGATCTATTGGTTATGCAATGCAGACAACAATTATTAAACTCTCCAATACTGAATTTCAAAATTGTTTCTTTTTCGGTATACCTAGCATCGCCAATTAGGGCAATAAATTTAGAATATTTATTTTTTCAAAGACTGAGCACTTTGCTGGATAGGATTTTTAAACCTAACGTAAAATTATATAAATATACATGTATGTGCATTTTTTAATGTTAATAAACACAGACATATTACTAATATTTCTGTAATCATGTCCAATTTCACAGATGATCATTAATCAGTAAACACAGTTTAAAAACACTAGAATGATAAAACACCCTAATCTCAATTCTATTTTCAATTGTTACGATTTTATTAATACTTAATCATTGATTGGTTTTCCGAGGTTGATTTTTGTGACAAAATATGGTTTGGGGCTTCTAATTAGATGTGTATAATCAATGTTCGCCTGAACACATATGTCAGTAAATAAATTAACTAATATTAATAATAGTAATCTAACCCAAACAAATACAACAAATCCAGGAACCCAAAGTTGAGTTCCGACGGCACGATTATGACAATTGGATGAATTACTATTGCAAATAGTGCTGGGCCCGCCGGGTCCCTTTGCTGCACCCCTCGTCTTGAGAAAATTTTAGACATTCTGTAATAAAGGATCGTTTGATCTCTGTAGGCTTGTGAGAAGCAACTGTAATACTGAGGAAATTTTTCTTTTACCTTTATCAGTAAAGTATTCCTGCTCATTTCAATAAATGCATTTTTTGAAATCAATTTTCAAAAATACTTCGGAAGTAGAATGGTCAGATGAAAAGTATCTTGAACCTGTGTGAGCCCCCCCCCCCTGACTCCACCCTTGACGCCTACATCTAATTGATGATCGTAAAAATCAGTATAAAGATTATGTTTGTGAAATAACCCCAAAATTATTGTTTGTGATGTATTAAGCATATAACAACCTAATTTTTTCGGGTGATAAAAATGCAATTTTCCCCATTTTATCATTTCATTATCTACTACATAGTTTTGACTTCAATTTTAACATCCTGTATGTGATCTAAGGGTGTGATGTACGTTACGACAGTTTTCGGGACGTGAGACACTTTCGATTACCAATCCTACATGTCAAAAAATGAAAATTGCTGTCAAATTTCCTTGTGAAAGTATTTTTCCTTCATTGAACTTTATAACGATTTTCCTTGTATTGTAATCGATAAATTTAGGTACGAAAAATGTAACTTTTTATATATTCCCCGCGCGTTGTGATCTTAAAGTGAGAACGGTATCCTTAATAGTGCCATAAGTGAAGAGACAAATCTGGACAATTACCTTTTAATGTCACCACCAAAATGGGCAATTGCTGTAGTAATACTCCCGACCGAAGAGAAATAGACAGTAATATCAGACATGTGGGAAACACCATCGAAGATGTTACCATACAGAGTAATCCGATACCGACACCTCCTCAAGAAACGATTCGACCCGTTATAGTTAATACGACCGAACCTGATCTGCCGAACGCAAAGATCTTTGTGGCGTTATACGATTATGATGCGAGAACGGATGAGGACTTGAGTTTTAGAAAAGGTGAACATTTGGAGATACTAAACGACACGCAGGGAGATTGGTGGTTGGCCAGAAGCAAACGTACGCGACAGGAAGGGTACATTCCATCAAATTATGTGGCTAAGCTGAAGAGTATCGAGGCCGAGGCGTAAGTACCTTTTTATCTTAGTTTTGAGTAGGTAGTGAAAGCTATTGGAATGTCCAAAACTTGTTCTTGATTATTTCACCTTGAAAGTTTCCTACCTCATGTATTTTTAATAACACCTTTTGTTGGGTACTTTTATCAGTGTAGGCGGGTATTCTAGGAAAAACTATGATTTTTTGTGCGGATTCCATCTAATAAATTAATTATGTAAGCGAGATTAAAAAGAGATTTCAATTTATATTAGAAAGTTTATTCCTTAATAAGTAATAACGGACATTTCAGTTTCTATATTGCAGATGTTAAAACAATTTCACCTTAGGGATGCGTATTGATTTGTGCCGATGAGTTACTGGGAAATACAGCATATTTATTTCAGGAAATCACAGTAACATAACATAACATCCTCTAGATAAGGTACAGGATATTTAAAGTGGCGTAGAATCAACTTAATTGGAATTTCCTTTTGTTTTTATTGTAATCATTTTAGATTAATTAAGAAAAGTTTAAACCTAATGAAAATTATATAAATTATACAACATTTTCGTAGCGATCTTTCTAAGTACCAGATTTATCTGATCAGAAAGAAGTTTGAGTTAACTAAAAAGTGCCATTACTTTTTTATCATTATGTGTGTAATGTGTGTTGCCTACCAACCAGGTGTAGATTATATAATATGATAAAAGATTTTTTGATAGATTCAGATACAACCCAAGCGATCTGATTAGGGTCCGCCTTTTGTTTTAGTTAAATTTCTCCTGTGCGAATACACTTGCGTCTATATGTAGAAACTTCTAGATATTTTTAATGATAACATGCAAAACCTGCAAAATAAACCTTAAAAAAAAGAATGTCTCAGAAGTTATATAAGCATAGTGTGGACAAAAAAGCCTATATCTACACAGGCGCATTCTATTGCCTTATGTGTTAAATATTTATCCGTCTGTCCAGACTCATTTCTGCGGTTTAACTACTTTTAGGGGAAATTGTTCTGTAGGCGTGGAATTTTTTGCAATAGGTAGCCTATACCGCGAAGGTATGACAAGTAAAACTTTTGCGATAGGAGAAAGGGGGGGGTGAAAGCATGTTCTACCTTCATGGTATTCGAATGAAAGGTCTCATTGAGTTGGTTTGCATATAAACAATAACTTTCCTGCGCGACTCTTTTTCGAGTGACAGGAGGCGGGGAAGGGGGAAGAGTACACATTAATTTGATCTTTCATGGTATTCTAATTAAAAGGAACTGTTCTCGACCAACTACCTCGGCATCTACTTAATTTTTTTTAAATGTTACAATTTTTTTCAAAGTTTTGATATCTGAAAATTGAGTGGAATCTTCTTACGATATATTATCATATTTAATTTGTTTTTAAATATTACAATTTTTTTATTATTTAAATTGTTCCATTTTTTTAAATCTTCCTTTTTTCGAAATTTTGGTGTTTAATCATTTACTTAGTGTAATCTTCTGAAGCAAAACTTATTACAAAAAAACCGTTTTTAATTTTTTTAAATTGTTACATTTTAAACTATTCAGATTGTTCGATGTTTCGAAATCTTTCGGATTTTTGAAGTTTTGAAAATTTAGTGGAATCTTCTGAAACAAAACTTATTACAAAACCTTAGGAGATAAAGATAATTTTTTTGATTTTTGGAAATTTTTCGTTTTTTTGCAAATTTCGATATATGTAGTAGTTTAGTGGAATCTTTTGAAAAAAAACCTGTTACAAAAACCGTGACCTAATATTTTTCAAATCTCTCGGCGTTTTTTCGATATACATACATATTTTGTTCAATCTTATGTACAATCGTAGGCCTAATAACTGTACAAAGTCATTTCTTGACATAAAAAACACGTTTTTGAAACTAAAGAAGGTCAAAAAATTTGCGGGGAAGAACACTTAATTATTCACATCGGTGAACACTCGAGCCTTTTAAAGAAAGGACAGTTCTTTTCTAGAATTTGGAGAAAAATTCGACAATTATCGATAAAAGTCGGCAACATTGCATGTCTTTTAATTTTAATTCATTACAATGATAATGCTTCAAGGATTGCACGTCTTTGAATACAATTTTGGGTATGCCTTTTTCTGTTTTCAAACTTCATACCCCAAAATATGGTTCGGAAAAAAATTTACAAATAGACATTTTCTTTTGGTTCAGAGAAAAAGTGGATTTCTCTAGAAAGATGGATGGAATATTCGAATTCGCAGAAAATTAGAATTTTTCAAAATATCAACAAAAAACCCAATTACACAATTGACCCGATTCCAAGTGCACGTGTAATTTTATGAAAACTTATCACATACACGAACAGCGGCCTCTGTTTGGTAATAAACTGGCGCGTACTTGAATTTGTTAATTACGAAAAGTAATTACGAACAACCTTATTCCACGTTTATAATTCGATAGGGAGGAAGTAATGAATTTTAATAATATTTTAAAGCAATAATCGACGAAGTGTTTCAAGGAACGAGCCGTTCCGTACGTGAAGTAAATTGTTTATGGGATTTTTTTGAGAAGATGCGAAACTGGCGAAGTCCAAATGATCAATGGCCGTTGTAGCTGAGCTGAGTAAGTATGGCCTAACCTGGAGACGTACTTGAAAGGTCGTGGGAGGAATGACCACTGACTGGCGGCCTTGGAACATCTGTGTAGGATGCAGACACCTTCAGAGACAACTACAATCACGTTGAAGATGAGCCGGCGCGCGGTCGGGGGAGGGGGAGGAGGTTCGAAGAAGAAGAAGAGTTGAAAGAAAATGTAATTTTGGTTGTTGACACGGCACGCCGTTCGTCCAAGAACATTAATTTGCCGTCATCCATTATTAATTAGTCTCACTATAAATAGACCACTACAAGAAAATATCTTATTTATTTAAAAGTAGTATTATACAACAAACGTGTAATAAATATAGCTCGGTCATGTAACTCTAACCGGATTCACGCTGAGACATCGAGGAGCAGGAACAACGGTACATATTTATCAAATGCAATTTTTTCTATTTTTTGGCGCCGCGATGATCCCTAGTATTGTCGCGTTGGAAATAAACCGAAGCCCGAAAATGGGAGCCGACCAACGAACCCATTATTTTGGTTCCCTTCGTGACCTCAGTGCGGTCGTTTATGACCTTACAAGGACAGATTGTAACTGTTTTGTTTTCTACACTCGAACTCCTTGTTTATTTTGTCTTCTACTTTTATTTTCTGCGATCTCTTCGAGTCTTCGAACCGTGTGATGATGCAACGATCAGGTATGCGATGAAATTCAGAGAAATTTCAACCGAACTGGATTTCCCCCTTTGTAGCTTTTTCTCCATTTTTATGATCGGAGATATCTTATAACTGTGTACAAACGAAATAAAATATATGGGGTCATAAAAATGAAATCGCTTAATATTTGGTTCCGGATTTTTTGTTTTCATTTGATTTTTGGTTTATTTTTGTTGGGGTGATGTAATAAGTTTATTAGAAAAATAAATTATGTAATTCGCCTTGGCCAACAACATGTGTAAAGGTTTCATATGAAAGT